GGGGGGGGGGGGGGGGGGGGGGGGAGGGGAGGGAAAAAAAAAAAAAAAAAAAAAAAAAAAAAAAAAAAAAAAAAAAAAAAAAAAAAAAAAAAAAAAAAAAAAAAAAAAAAAAAAAAAAAAACAAAAAAAAAAAAAAAAAAAAAAAAAAAAAAAAAAAAAAAAAAAAAAAAAAAAAAAAAAAAAAAAAAAAAAAAAGGGGGAGGGGAGGGAAAACCACCCACAAACCGAAAAAAACGGAAAAAAAGACCCAAAAAAAAAAAAAAAAATATAAAAAAAAAAAAAAAAAAAAAAAAAAAAAAAAAAAAAAAAAAAAAAAAAAAAAAAAAAAAAAAAAAAAAAAAAAAAAAAAAAAAAAAAAAAAAATAAAAAAAGAAAAAAAAAGGAACCCCAAAAAAAAGGAAAAAAAAAAAAAAAAAAAAGAAAAAAAAATCCTTTGTTTTTTTTTTTTTTTTTTAAACCTTTTTAAAAAAATTTTTGTTTTTAAAAAAAAGGGCCATTATTTAGTTGCCAACCTGATAGAAATCCCGTTTAATACTCATTTTCTGTACAATTCCCCTCATTTTCTTTTCCTCTTTCTTCCCCTCCTTTACTGTCTAGTCTTTTTTTTGATTTCTTTCTTGCCTTCTTTCCCATTTTCTCCAAGGAAACACAAATTTTGTCTCTTTTATTCCCCCCTTTTTTTTTTTCCTCATTCGTTTTTTTCTTCCCTCAAAGTGATAAGCCAATTTTTCTGAATGATTTCAGCTCAAGCGTTTTGACCAAATTTTTGTTTTCTTTTCGAGAATTTGAATTTTTTTGATGTACCCTAAAGTCGCGAGTATAAGTTCTGTTTGGTTTTCGCATGCAAAATGTAAATTAAGGCAGAACTTATACTCGGATGAACTTATACTCGAGATTTTAGGGTAAAACTTCTCAAATCTTAGCGCACTTTGTGCTCATTTTCAGTAAACGAACCTTTTCTGATGCACTGTTCTTCTTCAGTTCTTCAGTTCTTCAATTTTTCTTTGATATTGAAATTGAAAGAAATGCGAGAAATTCAGTGCTCCAGATGTGTTTGTTTGCGCAAAGAGAGCACAAAGAACGAACTTGTGTGCATTTTGTGCGAAAAGTTTCCAAACAAATCTCTTCTAGTGCACTTCTAGTACACTTCTAGTACTTCTAGTACTTCTAGTGAATTTCTCCTTTTTCGATGGTATCATGGTGAGATTTTTAAGGAAAATGGAGAGATTCAATGCGCCAGAGGGTTGCGTTTAGGGAGCACAAAGTACACTTTTGTTCTTTAGTTCTTTGTGTTAAATTTTTTTGTTTCTTGAAAGATTTTCTTATTTCTTGAAAGATTTTTTGTTAATGAAAATTCGAAATTCGAAAGATTTTTGATAAATTTTGCTCACCAAAAGTGCTCGGAAGTGTTGTTTTGTTTGGAGAAATGATGAATCGATCGATTTTCCCGAAAAAAAATGAAAAAAAACAAAACTAGTTCTTTTATAATCTATTAGCTAAATATTATATTTTGTTTATTTTCTCTGAAAAAAATGGATTATCCTTTTTTTGAGCACAATTTTTCATTCAATTTTGGCGAGAGGTGAGGCAAAAAAAAGGGCGAAAAGCCGAAATTTACATATTTCCCGAAAAATTCTTGCTGATTTTCCATTTTTCTGATATTTTGTTATATTCCTAGAGCTCTATTCCTTTTCATATAGCTCTAGAGCATAAAGTTGGCTGCAAAATTTGAGCTGTAAGTCTATCGATAGGCAATTTATGACGATCTTTCTAATCCTTCTAAAGCTAGAAAAGGATTGTGGTAGCGTTGAGCGCCAATTTTGCGACTCTAATTGAATTACGGTGCTTTTCAAATGCAAATTTGCGTACCCTAGTGCTTTTAAATGGAAATTTTATGGATTCTGATTTGATTCTGATTCGATTTTGGGTCCGGATTTGATTCTGATTCCATGCTGATTCAACTCTCATTCAATTCGATTCGTTTTAATTCGACGCTGGTTCTGATTCTGATTCTGATTCGATTCTGATCCTGATTCAATTCAATTCGATACGATTCTGATTCTGATTCTGATTCAATTCGATTCTGATTCGATTCAATTCGATTCTGATTCTGATTCTGATTCGATTCTGATTCTGGTTCGATTCTGATTCTGGTTCTAATTCAATTCGATTCTGATCCGATTCTGATTCTGATTCAGATTCGATTCTGATTCTGATTCGATTCAATTCGATTCTGATTCAATTCAATTCGATTCTGATTCTGATTCTGATTCAATTCGATTCTGATTCTGCTCCTGATTCGATTCAATTCGATTCAATTCGATTACGGTGTGCAAATTTCAAATTCTAACTGGCCTACAGTACTACTAAATGCAAATTCTCGACCATAACTGAGCTACGGTACCCAAAAACCAAATCCTTTATTTCTACAGCATCATCAAATGCAAATTTTTCTATAATGTATGCAAATTTTGAGCTTTATCGAGAGGAGCTCTCGGGCTATAATGAAAGAAAGATCCGTCAGAGATTCGAGAATTCGAGAAAAAAGGAAAAGGCACTATTCAATAAAGATATTCAATCAAAAACGAAGAAGAAAATCAAGAAATCGAGGCATTTGGGGAGGAGTCTCAGTGAACGATTCGTTGTGAGAAAAGAAGCAAAAGAGGAAAATCGAGGAGGAAATCGGTGAGTGGAGATTCGGTTACTGTAATGGCTGTAGGGAGTTACGCTAGTAACTCTTTCCCTCTCTCTTTCTCTTTCTCTTGGCAAGCTGAGGTACCTGATGGCTCAGTGATTAGAGAACTTGATTAGAGAACTTAGCTAGAAAGCAATTGCCAATTGACCGGTTCAATCCCCGCTTCGGAAATCTGTTTTCTCTTGTCAATTGTTTATTAATAAAAACTGATGCTTGGTTACGGTAGTTTTCTAGATGCCTTTTAGAAGAGATGCCTTTTAGAACGAGATGTCAAACTTTGTGAGACCAATGTTTTTCTGACGTAGTCTCATCTCCTTTGGCTACTGTACCCGTACCTTTGGCCGGGCTACGATAGCTTGTTTTCCGCTTTAAAACATGAAAAAACTATCGTAAACCCGAATAAATGGGTTACGGTAGCTTGGTGATGCTTTAAAGCGAAGAAAAAGTTTTGTTTTGTTTTGAAGAGTGCTTTTTTTCCTCTGGACTCCGCAAGCATTTTCTAAAATTTTTCCCTTTTCTCGTCTATCGTAATCTATCCTTTTTTTAAAATTTCAAATAACTATCCACTCTTTAGACTCTAGTTTTTTAGTTTTTTAGAGTTTACACATCGCTACTCTTTTCTTGAGCTGACTTTACTCATCTCTTTCAACTGCGGTCGGCATAGTGGACAGTGGGCTTGTCTACGGCGTTGTCAAGTGAGGGATTCGAACTTTGGTCGGTCTGTTCGTCGAATTCGGTCCGTCCGTCAAATTCAGTCCGTTCCAAGCACACTATCAACCGCACCACGACCGCCGCTGAAAGAGAATCTGTAACGAAAAGGAACCAAATCTGTAGAGAAATGGAATTAAATCTGTAACGAAAAGGAACCAAAAACTCAGCTCAAAAGAAGAGAAGCGAGAAGTGAAGCGTAAAGCCAGCTTGTTTTCCAGCTCAAGAATATATAGCAAAAACTTTGATGCCAAACTTTGATGCCTTTGAGCTATTCAACAGCTTTTTATTACAATTCCCCATTGAATTTTCTATTTTCTAGATCTCGTTTCGAAATCCCCCAGTCACCTAGCATTCTTCGCTAGGATCATTTTCACAATTCACAATTTATAGAGAAATTTCATCACCAATTCCCCCCAATCACCAAATTCCCAATATGCTAATCCAAAATGCTTACAAAGTCGATCCAGCTTGGCACAAAATTCCTCTATAAAACTTGCGAAATTATCGCATAAAATCATCATTTTCGCTGACCTGAGATCTTCAATAAATTTGCTGATCACAAGACAGGAAAAAATAGGGAAAGAGCTCCAAAATTTCACCGATTTTCGCTATTGTTATCGGAGAATTGGACTCGGAAGAAAAGAAAAAAAGGAAAGAGGAAAAGAGACGAACATTGATAAGGTCAGAATAGGGAAAGTCTTTATTTTATGCGAAGAAAGAGGTTCAATTTTTGTTTTAAAACCAGAACTTTCCTGGAATTCTCTTGGAAAGTTTGTTTTGTGGTTTTGGATCTGCTAACGGATCTTTTTTCAGTTACGACCCTAATTTTCGTCCCTTTCTAAGTCGATTCTTTTTTTTTGAGTTTTTTTAAAACCCTGATAATCTTTGCTTTTCAAAAGTATCTTCAAAGTAAAAGCTGAAAGAGAGCCGCTATCTATCGGGGCCATGTGCCAGATCGAGAGCGATTGTGTGCGAGTACAAAGAACACCACGTCAGTCATTCTGGTCATTTTGAGGGTGGGCCAAAAGTAACCAAAGGCCGAAAGGGAGCCGCTATCTATCGGGGCCATGTGCCAGATTGAGAGCGATTCTGTGCGAAAACAAAGAACACCATGTCAGTCATTCTCGTCATTTCGAGGGTTTTTGACATTCAACGTTTTCATCTCGCTTATAAGGTCCAGTCGCTTCCTTTGAAAATTTGCCTGGTAGCCTAGTGGTTAGTAGTGTAGGTTTCCTGTGCATACCTCGCTGGTTCAATCCCGGTCATGAACAGAATTTTTGTTCTCTTGATTGAAAATCGTTGTTAGGACTATGATTTCATCTTTTTTCAGCTTTGCAGCTCTTTTTTAAGCTCAAAAAAGTTTTGGTTTTGTTTCATTTGATTTGTTTCATTAATTTCATTTAATTTAATCTAATTTTAATAATTTCATTTGATAGAAAATCTATTTTGAAAACTAGCTACTAGGCAATCAACTAGGTAATCAACTAGCTTTAAAACTTTAAAACAAATAAACAAAACTATTGCAAAATCTTCTCACTCTTTCAACCATTTTTTTCCTTTTCAAACTTTCTTTTAATGATTTCTGATTGAGCAAATGATGCCATCGACATTGATGACACCAGTGAAAGAAAAAGATGGACACTTCGACGAGATTGAGCTTCGAATAAACCCTACCGAGCACTTTACTGAGCGAAATGCTTCTTTAAAGAGAAATAATAGGTTAGAAGAGGCGAATTGCTTCATTTTATTCCTTTTCGCAAGAGCAATAGGAATTTGAAACTCTTTTCTTCAAGCATGTCCACTTCGGCACTGCGAGCTCGACGCACGGGATCCCCAAGTGGAAATGATGAAGTGATGTTGTTGAGTCGACCAATCTCATTGCATTCCGATCATTGCATGCCGATTGAACAGCAAAAGTTTGAAAGATTCATTATTTTTCTAAATTGTGTCTTTTCTATTTATCTATTTTTGTTTTGTTTCTAATTGTGAAAGTTCAAAAAGGAAATCGAAAGATGGGATAGGAAGAGAGGAAGATAGGAAGATAGGAAGAGAGGAAGATAGGAAGCTAGGAAGAGAGGAAGATAGGAAGCTAGGAAGAGAGGAATCTAGGAAGATAGGAAGAGAGAAAGAGAGGAAGCTAGGAAGCTAGGAAGCTAGGAAGCTAGGAAGCTAGGAAGATAGGAAGAGAGGAAGCTAGGAAGCTAGGAAGAGAGGAAGCTAGGAAGCTAGGAAGCTAGGAAGCTAGGAAGCTAGGAAGATAGGAAGAGAGGAAGCTAGGAAGCTAGGAAGAGAGGAAGCTAGGAAGCTAGGAAGATAGGAAGCTAGAAAGCTAGGAAGCTAGGAAGCTAGGAAGCTAGGAAGCTAGGAAGATAGGAAGAGAGGAATCTAGGAAGATAGGAAGAGAGAAAGAGAGGAAGCTAGGAAGCTAGAAAGCTAGGAAGCTAGGAAGCTAGGAAGCTAGGAAGATAGGAAGAGAGGAAGCTAGGAAGATAGGAAGATAGGAAGCTAGGAAGCTAGGAAGCTAGGAAGATAGGAAGCTAGGAAGCTAGGAAGATAGGAAGAGAGGAATCTAGGAAGATAGGAAGAGAGAAAGGAAGCTAGGAAGCTAGAAAGCTAGGAAGCTAGGAAGCTAGGGAAGCTAGGAAGATAGGAAGAGAGGAATCTAGGAAGATAGGAAGAGAGAAAGAGAGGAAGCTAGGAAGCTAGAAAGCTAGGAAGCTAGGAAGCTAGGAAGCTAGGAAGATAGGAAGAGAGGAATCTAGGAAGATAGGAAGAGAGAAAGAGAGGAAGCTAGGAAGCTAGAAAGCTAGGAAGCTAGGAAGCTAGGAAGCTAGGAAGATAGGAAGAGAGGAATCTAGGAAGATAGGAAGAGAGAAAGAGAGGAAGCTAGGAAGCTAGAAAGCTAGGAAGCTAGGAAGCTAGGAAGCTAGGAAGCTAGGAAGATAGGAAGAGAGGAAGCTAGGAAGATAGGAAGAGAGAAAGAGAGGAAGCTAGGAAGCTAGGAAGATAGGAACCTAGGAAGCTAGGAAGCTAGAAAAGTAGATTGATTGGATAAAAATAGAGACAAGATTAAGAAAGAGGACACGATTTAGAAAGCTCTATGGCTTTGGGCAGAGCTTTGGGCAGGGCAGAGCTTTCTTGCACAAGAATATCAATGAGTGTGCCAGAGAACTAACCTTTGCATGAATGCTTTCGCTTTGCACATTACGCTTTGCACAAATGTACATTTGTGCACTCTTTCTGTAAACAGACTCTTTCTAACGCACGAAACTCTTCCAGTTTACAGAAATCTTTAAGGAAAAATGAGCAATCATGCTATTTCATTTGAATTTAAATTTCTATCAATTTCTATCAATGCTTATCAATTTAAAATCGAAAAATTACACAGTTAAGTGAAAATATTAAACTTATAAGCTAAACTATAAGGATTACAAACTTACAAACAAAACTAGAAAGATTACAAGCTGAATTTCCAGAAGTGTTCCCACTCCATTGATTGATCATTCGAATCGATCTTCATCACCGCATCTCTCACCGGAAAATCCCCTCCCACGAGCTCCATCAACAACTGGATCCACGAGTAGTCATGAAGGAAATACCAACAATGGATCAAAGTGAGTTAGAGTAAAGGAATTAGCATTCAGGGATGTCCATAGGACTCTAGAGTAAGACAGGTATGTCCATAGGAGTCTTGAGATCAATCCTGTGAAAAATATATAGGCGGATTATTGCAATCACCTCAGGGTATCAATGTTATAGTTTGCTGTATAAGTCTTTACAATACTTGTTTTTCAAACGTCTTTTAAAAAGCTCAAAGTTAGATTGCCAATGGGAAAGGGGTGTATAAAAGGTCCGTCGCCCCGCCCCCTGTGGCAGTGGCAATCCAACTTTGAACTCCAATTTCTTGATGCTCGATTGATCAATTGAAATAGTTTTTGTACCAATCGATAGCGAAAGACTTGGCGCATCTAATGATATCAAGAATATTGAAATTGAACAACCCGACACCAAGAAATTTGAGTTCAAAGTTTTGCCAATGGGAAAAGGAGCGTGGCGTGTGTCCCACAATGTCAAATGTCCCACAATTTCTCCCAAATGTTATCAGGCTTGCATTTCTGCCCATAGAGATCTTTTTTTTTAGCTTTTCTTCTTTAAAATTTCCTTGAAAATCAATTTTTAATGTTTTTGAGTTGATTTCTCTTTTATCGGTTTCGATCCTTGAAAAATATTAATTGCAATAATCCTGTCGCTGTCACAGCCAAAGATATTCTAAAATCTGATCTGGAGTTGTTTCAAAGACTATTTTGAACTAGTCAAGGTCAAGGCCAGGCCCGTCAGAAGCCTGAGCATTACCTGACTGTTCTAGAAGCTGATTCTCTGTTCTAGAACCATCTAGTATGCAAGTATATTATAAAAACAGCATTATACTGTTAGAACTACTGTTAGATACTGAATTTATAATAAATATGATTGAATAAATGAAGAAAATCTAACTGAAAACTGTTTCAGGGATGACGATCCATCGATCGATCAATCACATGACGCCATTCACGAGGCTCGCCTATTCGCAAAGAAAAAATATTTCTCTGAACGGCCCACAAATAAAAATATCTTTCGACGGGTAGATTTTAAGAGAATTTCGAATTTGAAATTTTATTTAATCTTTAGTATTTCCATCCGACTTTTCATCAACGATCTATTCAATTTCGAAAGATTTTCTCCGGAACTGTGCCCGATGAGGATCGATTGCTTTATAGTTTGTTTTAAAAAAAAGCTATTAGATGTTTACTGTAGTACTATAAGTTGCTTAGATATTAAGCCAATAGGCTAAAAGGTTTCTGGATTGGTTTTAGTTATTTAGTTCACGCAGGATTAGATCAGGGTCAGTGGAAAGGTCAGGGCTGGGACTGGGCTTAAGCCTTGCTGGCGTAGCCTTACTTTTACATTGGTTTTACAAGTCTGAACTCATCAACAGATACTCCTAAGTCTACTCAACAAGTTTAGCGTCAGCTAGATCAGCTAGATCAGATCAGACAGTCAGGATTAGGCCAGCAAGGCCAGGCTTGGGCTTAGACTTGGACTTAGTGCGAAGGCTAGCGGCTAGCGCCTAGCACTAAGTCTATTTGGGTTTGGGCTAAACCCCCATTTTCTGGATCTCAGCCAGTTCTGGGAGCTAAGGGACACCCGTTTGGCGATGCTCCCCATATGAGCATCCTGGCATTAGGCTTAGGCTAGGCTTAGGCTTAGGCTTAGGCTTAGGCTAGGCTTAGGCTTAGGCTTAGGCTAGGCTTAGGCTTAGGCTTAGGCTAGGCTTAGGCTTAGGCTTAGGCTTAGGCTTAGGCTTATGCTTAGGCTTAGGCTAGGCCAGCAAGGCTAGGTCAGCAAGGCTAGGCCAGCAAGGCTAGGTCAGCAAGGCTAGGCCAGCAAGGTTAGGCCAGCAAGGCTAGACCAGATATTCAGTCACCAGTGACCAGTATCCAGTCCCCAGTCCCCAGTATCCAGTCCCCAGCAATCCAGCTCCTAGATTTGTACGTGCTTGATTCACTTGATGCATCAGAAGGACTAGACTTGACTTCTAGCTCTCGGTTTAGTCTTTGGATTTAGTCAATAATTGAGTCAAACGTGATAGCTTTTAAGAATATTATTTAGTTCTAAGTTTACTTGACTTAAACTAGCTCCATTGCCCGATTGATCTCAATCTTTTCAGCTTTCTCATGCGCTTTCCAACGAGAAATCCTTGCTCAGGGTCGAATCTTCATTTCTCAACAAAATGTCTCCTTTTATGCAAATATTTTCACATGGGAAACGCTATTCGCAATACCGATCAAGGATATTAAAGGGATCACAAAAGAAAGAGCGGCAAAGATTTTCCCGAACTCGATTCAGGTGTGAAGAATTGATCTTTATCTGTGAAGAATTGACGAGCTTGTGTATGAGTTTAATTTGAATATTTCTACAATTGTGTTTTCTACAATTTCTACAATTGTGAATTTGATTTGATTTTCAGATCGAGACTCGAAATGATGAGCGCTTTTTCTTTGCCTCATTTATCAATCGCGAGAAAACATTTACTGTTTTGGAGACTGTTTGGAAAGCCGTACAAGAGGAGAAGGTTTGTGAACAGCTAGAGAACTTGGAGAGCTAGAGAACTTGGAGAGTTAGAGAACTTGGAGAGCTAGAGAACTTGGAGAGCTAGAGAACTTGGAGAGTTAGAGAACTTGGAGAGTTAGAGAACTTGGAGAGCTAGAGAACTTGGAGAGCTAGAGAACTTGGAGCTAAAACTTAGACGATCAAAAGAAAGTAGACGATCGCCGGACTCAGTGCTGAGTCACGGCTGTTTCTCGTGAATGGCTGAAGAAAATGAGCTCAAAATGTGTAGGAGCATGTAATTTTGGGTCCTCTTTCCGAATCTGACATTAGTTGTATTAGGAAATTGTGTGATTTCTCGTAAAAAGCGAGAAAACTGATGGATAAAGCTTTGAATTCTTCTTTCTTTCTATTTTCTTTAAAATCTTTCAAATTCAAAAGAAATTTCTCATTTTATAACAATTCAATTGACTAATTTGCAGGCAATTTCCCCGGAAGAGCTTTGGGAATTGATGAATCCTGAAGAGGACGAGCAGAAATTTGTGGGTTTATTGTTAGAGCAATTATTTTGCTTTTTTTTTGTTTCCTTTTTCCCTCTGGAATCTTTTTCAGATATCAAATAATTGATAAGATAATTGTTCTCGTAGATTTTGGACATTTCTCGTACATTTCTCTTCATTTTCTTATTCATTTTCTTATTCATTTTCTTATTCATCTTCTTATTCATCTTCTTATTCATTACTCAAGCCAATGAGCGGTTTTGCTTGGTGGGACGGCGTTTCGGATAGAGTTAACTTTGAGGTGAGTGATCTGCCAGTGATCGTGGCATTCACTCTTCTTCATACATATTTAAGGATTCACTCTTCTTCATATACTTACATATACATTTAAGGCATTTATTTCGTTGACATCAAAGTCTTTGCACAGATTGTCAACTGGAATTTCGACCCATTACCATTAAAAACTTGTCTAAAGGCTGCTCACTAAAAAAGCCACCAAGAAAGTCAGCTGAAGAAAGTGCCCCACTCTCTAGTGCCCAATGCTCTAGTGCCCAATGCTCTAGTGCCCAATGCTCTAGTGCCCAATGCTCTAGTGCCCAATGCTCTAGTGCCCAATGCTCTAGTGCCCAATGCTCTAGTGCCCAATGCTCTAGTGCCCAATGCTCTAGTGCCCAATGCTCTAGTGCCCAATGCTCTAGTGCCCAATGCTCTAGTGCCCAATGCTCTAGTGCCCAATGCTCTAGTGCCCAATGCTCTAGTGCCCCAGTCCCTAGTGCCCTACTTCCCTAGTGCCCTATCTATGTATGCTTTTTGTTTGTCTACTTTCTTTCTTACCAATCTATGAATACTTGTCTTAGTTTCACCTTAATTTTCAAGTATCTGAGCGACGGGGCAGCCATTTTTCAGAAGAGTGAGGGATAGTTGAGAGGGACGAACGGGGAAGGGTTGTCTCCAGTCCCAGGGTCCCCCTTTCCATTGATTCCCCATTTCGGAGCTTCAGCCTCTCTTTTCCCTTTCCCTTTCCCTATTCCTTTCCATTCTTTCACCTTGTCAACAGCTCCATAGCACCGCGTTTATTTTAGCTGAAAAGAATGTTTTTTTAGTTTTTTAGTTTTTTTTAGATCTTTTCTTCTTTATCTTCTTTATCTTCTTGATATACTTGACTTGAAAGGGAGTTTAAATAATCACTATACATTTGTAAAGGTTTAAAATCGACTTAAAAGTGTATTTTATTTGGATTAAAGTTTAAAAAAAAAGCATAAACTTGATCAATTCAATTGCTCAATGCACCGAATTTTATTAAAAGATCATTAAAAAAGATCTTCTTTGTGTACTTTTTGCTTAGAAATGTATAAAAATGAAAAAAATGGGTTTTTAAAGGCAAATTAAGGAGCTAAATCTTTGAAAACACAAATTTACAGTAATCTTTTGATTAGAAAAAACCCTGAAATCCTCTAACTTTATCGGGGTAGGCTAGTTTCCGCAATTTTTTTTGAGCAACTGGATCATTTGCGCAACTCGCCATAACTTTTTTTCTAAGTGGACCAATCTTTATGCTTTTAGTTTCATTTTGTTGCCCTTATTGAGATCTACAAAATGAAACTAAAAGATTGGTTCACTTAGAAGAAAGTTATGGCGAGTTGCGCAGATGACCTAATGGTGCAGATGACCTAATGGTGCAGATGACCTAATGGTGCAGATGACCTAATGGTGCAGATGACCTAATGGTGCAGATGACCTAATGGTGCAGATGACCTAATGGTGCAGATGACCTAATGGTGCAGATGACCTAGTGGTGCAGATGACCTAGTGGTGCAGATGACCTAGTGGCGCAGATGACCTAGTGGCGCAGATGACCTAGTGGCGCAGATGACCTAGTGGCGCAGATGACCTAGTGGCGCAGATGACCTAGTGGCGCAGATGGCCTAGTGGCGCAGATGACCTAGTGGCGCAGATGATCTAATGGCGCAGATGACCTAGTGGCGCAGATGATCTAATGGCGCAGATGACCTAGTGGCGCAGATGATCTAATGGCGCAGATGACCTAGTGGCGCAGATGACCCAGTTGCGCAGATGACCCAGTTGCGCAGATGACCCAGTTGCGCAGATGACCCAGTTGCGCAGATGACCCGTTGCGCAGATGACCCAGTTGCGCAGATGACCCAGTTGCGCAGATGACCCAGTTGCGCAGATGACCCAGTTGCGCAGATGACCCAGTTGCGCAGATGACCCAGTTGCGCAGATGACCCAGTTGCGCAGATGACCCAGTTGCGCAGATGACCCGTTGCGCAGATGACCCAGTTGCGCAGATGACCCAGTTGCGCAGATGACCCAGTTGCGCAGATGACCCAGTTGCGCAGATGACCCAGTTGCGCAGATGACCCAGTTGCGCAGATGACCCAGTTGCGCAGATGACCCAGTTGCGCAGATGACCCAGTTGCGCAGATGACCCAGTTGCGCAGAGTTGCGCAAATGAAAAAAGAAAATCGTCAATCTCTTATTAGTCATCACTTTTTTGCTAAATCGATTCACAAATATTCAATTCAATAATATAAAAACATTGAATAAAGACCAGCCCTTACACACGAAATTCTCTCAAATATTGGCTGATTTCTCTCCTTTTCTATTTCTTTCTATTTCTACTTCTTTTTTGTTTACTTTTCTCTTGGTACTTTCTTTTCACTTTTCCCCATTTTCCCTCAAAGAAATTCCCCAGCCACTTCACTAGAAAAATTCTTATTCTTTTAACTTTTTCTTTGACAATTCTATACCAATCTTATTTTATGCTTTGCTAAAAGTGCTTATTAAAAAAATACCGACTGGGGCTACCAGTGGTGAATTTATCGCATACACGAAATATATCAATCACAATACAACGACACACACAATACTAGGCTATATCTTAACTTAACCCACGTCATGACAGACGGCTCCCTAACCCTAAGCTCAATGGGGAACTAAATAGCTTTTTTGGTGGTGAAGGGAAGATGACGATGAAGGAGTGGCTTGTCACTTTAAAGAACTGGGGCCACAACCACCAGACTGCCCTCCAGAAAACCTCTCAAACCGAAGGGAAAGGAAATCCGAAGGGGGTGACCATGTCGCATGTGGGGTTCGAACCCTCGACCTTCCGATTAAGATAAAAGACACTTAACCTGTCAGCCACACGTGCTTATGTCTAAAAATAACCTTTCTACCTCACTGAATACTTTAATAATTCATTTTTCTTACAAAAACACGAGAAAACTATTCAGTTTATTCAAATTCAGTCAATTAGAAAAGTTTCCAGAAAGTTTCCAGAAAGAATTTCCACTTTTAAAGCACTATTTTTTTTTGTTATCTTTATTACTTTTTGAGATACACTACTGGACAATGAAATATCATATGTGAAAAAAGATCGTCACTTTCGCGCGTCTGTAACTCCTTTGTCTTTACCGTATTTCTAAATATTAATATTACCATTGTGTAGCCCTTGAAAAGAGCTTTCAGAAAATGTATAACACTAATAGTTTAAACTCAAAGACAAGAAAGTTATAGACGCGCGAAAGTGACGATCGTTTTTCAAATATCATATTTCATTGTCCAGTACTATAGATCATCATAGCCATCATAAAATTGAGCTTTTAAATCAATATCTTGACAAAAAACAAAACGAAAGCAAGTAAGCAATTTTTCAGCCCAACAGCAAAGTGAAGAAGTCACGATCGAGCGAGAGTATGAACAAGAATCAGTGAGTTCATTTAAGCTAGAGAAATTTTGAATTTAAACTAAAGCCATTAACTGAAACCATTAACTGAATATTATTAAAAGAATATTTGTTCAATTTTCAGCTCAGCTCCAACCCTGTCTCCATTATCCGTTCCACCCACTCCACTCTCTCCACCAGATTCCGAATTCCCGTCGATTTCCGAGATACACGAGCTAGCTGAGGTTTGGTTCAGATATTAAGAAATGTTGCATTGAATTCTTTCTTTCTTTCTTTCTTTCTTTCTTTCTTTCTTTCTTTCTTTCTTTCTTTCTTTCTTTCTTTCTTTCTTTCTTTCTTTCTTTCTATCTTCTTCCCCCTTATCCTCCCCTCTTTCTCTTTATCTTTCTCTTTCTCTTTCTCTTGGCAATTTATTGTACCAGATAGCTCAGTATTTAGAGCAATTGACCGGAAAGTAAAAGAGTAACGTCTCCGGCTTCAAACATCTACGGCTACGGCTCTAAAAATCCAAATTCTGGATCATCTTTTACTGTAATCTTTTAACCCACAAATTCTATGATGAACAAATGATTTGCCAAAACGAGATTCAGATTTTACTAAATCCCCTGGAATTAGATCAATCTCCTGATCCCCTGGAAAGCTACTTTTTCAAATCTACCCAAGAGAGATCAATCCCCTGGAAATCTACTTTTTCTTACCAATTCCTTCAATTCTTTTTTAGTATATATACCCAGGAATTAAGCTCAAGTTTTCAAAGCGTGGGTTTGGATTGATCTTGTCCTGATCTGAGCCTGGTTCTGGATCTGGATCTGGATCTGGCTATGAATCTGGCTCTACCCTAACCTAGACAGTTTTTGATCTAGCTTGATCTGGATTTGTCTTTGTCATGGTTTGATCCTGATCCTGGTCTAATTGTATCTTGGTTCTGGATCTGGCCGATTCGGACTCTGATCCCAGATCTGTTCTTGGATCTGTTCAGATCTGTTCTTGGCCCTGAAATCAGCTCCAAACCTGGCCCTAACCTTGTCCGATTGACTTTGATCTTATTCCGGATTAAAGCTGTTCATTTATTGATGCGATTTTCAATAGAAACAACGGAAAAACAAGATTTCTTTCAAGAATTTCAAGAACAAGAACAACTACTTCAATGGCTACTTTTTTCAGGACTTTTTGAGATAAGGGTACAATTTTCGAAGCTATCTTTTAGTCAGAAAAAACCCTGGAAAAGTTGGTGTTGAAGTTGGTGTTGAAATGGTGATTAAAGTTGCTGTTAAAGTGGTTAAATCTCGTTTTTCCAACACTAATTGGCAATGAGACTCAAATGAAGCTCTAAAATGAGCTCTAAAATGAAGAATTCGGAATCTTGTGCTATTTATAGACTGAATCCTTAAATTCCAGCCATCCGAGTGTCCATGTGAGAGTCATTTCGGTCGAATTCTTCTTGATCGATGTTTCGATTTGCCGGTTTGTTTGCCATAAGGGAAATGCGTTGAAATGGAATAAATGAATACGGTAAATACTGTAATAGTACCCCAGCCGCATAATGACGATGCGGAGCGTTGCGTAGTCTAGCTTTGAACGCGTTTTTCTCGACACTGGTTTATGCTAGAATACGCGTTTAGGTATCAAAAAATAGCTGAAATTCAGGGCTATTTTTTGATACCAAAGACGCATTTTTTGAAAGTACGGGCGCATTGAAAACAAATGAAATACTAAAAAACTTTTGCGACTTGCGACTACGCGACTGTACGAGGCGGGTGGGGTACTATTATAGTATGTTTATCGCTTCAATAACCGAAGATTATTTAAATATATGAAGATTAAATTGAATTCAAGGCAAAGATTCGATTCAAATATTTCAGGTAGACGAAATGTACACAATTCTTTTCACCGACACTCCATGGTTTCATCGTTTCAATGAGCAAATCAAGAACTCGAGTTGGTTTTCGAGGAAAGGCTACTGTAGTAAAACTATAGTACAATTGCTATAGTACTAGTAACTATAGTACATTTGCTATAGTATAATTGCGATAGTACAATTGCTATAGTATTAGGAGCTATAGTACAATTGTTATAGTACTAGTAGCTATAGTACAATTGTTATAGTACTAGTAACTATAGTACATTTGCTATAGTACAATTGCTATAGTACAATTGCTATAGTATTAGGAGCTATAGTACAATTGTTATAGTACTAGTAGCTATAGTACAATTGTTATAGTACTAGTAACTATAGTACATTTGCTATAGTACAATTGCTATAGTACAATTGCTATAGTACTAGTAACTATAGTACAATTGCTATAGTACTAGTAACTATAGTACAATTGTTATAGTACTAGTAGCTATAGTACAATTGTTATAGTACTAGTAACTATAGTACATTTGCTATAGTACAATTGCTGCTGTAAAACTGCTTTAACTATTGTTACCGATTACTCGTAATTGTCAGCATTTTTCTCTTTTTCCAGTTCATTCTCGTGTTCCCCGGGGAATCTCAGGTATTTGTGTGCTCTATTTTTCATCAATTTACAATCTAATAACGTTTTTTGCACAAATAATCCGATTACGAATAATCCAATTACACAGAAATCTATCAAATTAGATAGAATTCAGTGCGCCAGGTCGTAAACGATTAAGAACACGCGGCTTAGCTAATCCGGATTGTACTTTGTGCTCTTGTAAACGTATATTATCTGCCACTGGGAATTCTGTTGATTAAGTACACCAGAAAAGTACTTTTACAAAGGCACAAAGTACATTCTTATATAAGATCTAATATTCTTATATTATATAATATAATATCTCATTCTAATCCTCACAAAATGCACTGTTTTCCAATGGAAATAAACCCGGGTGATGGGAAATTTTGAAATTTTATTGATTATTGTAAATTTCTAGATTATGCGGCATCAGATTGGACAATGGATCGAGAAGGAGGAAGACAGAGGACTGTCACTTACACAGTGGCACTCAATCATGCAATGGCACCAAAGAGTTGCACTGTCACTGAGACACAGGTTTGGATAAACTGAATAATTGTAGAAGTAGAGCAAGTAGAAGGGAAATTGTAGAAGAAGACTGTAGAAGAAGGCTGTAGAAGAAGACTGTAGAAGATTACAGTAAAGAAAAGAATGGGAGAGAAAGATTTTCGGAGAGGGGATTGAACCCTCGACCCTTTTGAACCAGATGCTCTACCACTAAGGTATCTGGTATCCTCTTGCCAGAGAAGAAAAAGGAGATACAAGGGGAAGAGGAAGGAAGAAAGAGGAAGAAAGAGAAAGGAAGAGAAAGGAAGAGAAGGAAGAGAAGGAAGAGAAGGAAGAAAGAGAAGGAAGAAAAGAGAAGGAAGAGAAGGAAGAAAGAGAAGGAAGAGAAGGAAGAAAGAGAAGGAAGAGAAAGGAGAAGGAGTCTATAATGAAATGTTACAGTAACCCTTGACCTTGAGTACCTATCGTAACCCTTGACCGTATTCGATTTCTATTCGCGACAAAGCTTACAGTATCCCGATTGTCTAGAAATCTAGATTTATATAAACTGTGCCACTTTCCTGCTGACTCATTCGTTTTCTAAAGACTATGGAAAAGCTACCGTACTCAGGCTCTAGATGAACAAGGAAATGGCACCAGCATGAAGTCCTAAATCATTTCTTGAATCCAGAATCGTTTCATCAATTCAGAATCTCATAGAATCGGCTATGCTATTTCTGAATCTGTAATTAGCTTTAAATTAGCTGCAAGCACTCCTTGTTCACCTAATGCATGAATACGGTAGCTTTTCCATAGTCTTTAGAAAACGAATGAGTCAGCAGGAAAGCGGTTGAAGACACAGGAATCTCAGGCATCTGGCATAGAGAGTTCCCTTTAATTTCGGACTCTCCACAAAGAAATGGCTTCTTTGGTCTAGTGGATAGCGTGCTAGCCTACTGAGCCTATCAAGTCTACTAAACCTAACAAGTCTACTAAACCTATCAAGTCTACCAAGCCTATCAAGTCTACTGAGCCTATCAAGTTCTTTGGCTTGGTTCAAATCCTTCCCTAACCAATATCGATTTCAACGCAGACTTATAAACTTCAAAATGTAAAGATAGGATCTTGCAAAATGCGAAGAACAATGCAAAACTTTGCGTTGGCGAATTGGTCTTTGCGAATTGACCAGGGACTCGAACCCAAGCCAAAGAACTTAATGTTTTATAGGCTAGCACACTATCCGCTAGACTATTGAAGCCTCGATCCCCTCTATCTCGAAAAGCACTCGATCTTATAGCCTAAGCCTAAGCCTAAGCCTGAACTTCAGCCTGAAGCCTGTAGCCAAAAACTTCAGCCTAAAGTTCTAAGCTTCAAGCTAATACCATTCTCTTGTCAAATAGTTGTCTTACGGTAGCTTTTTCTGGAGTAGCTTTCTCTGCTTTATAGAAAGCAAATACAGTCTTGAATTTCTTGAATTTCATTTACTGCTTTCCAGGTTTGTTCTCATTTGAGTGCTGATGGTTTCGTCGTTCGGAAAGAGTCTCACAATTCGGGGGTTCCTTATGCCGATTCGTTTGCCGTTCTCGTCACATATTGTGTGACAAGGGTGGGGTGCTTTTAGATTTCAATCAATGACTACAGTAATCCAATTGAAAGTTTGAGCACAAAGTACAGCTTGATATGATATTCATTTCAGGTCACATCCACCTCATCTCGTGTCCGGGTTCACGGTGGAATCGACTATCGGAAAAGCATTTGGAGTATGATGAAAAGTGAGTGATTTGGAGAATTGGATTGGAGAATTGGATTGGAGAATTGGATTGGAGGGTTGGATTGGAGGGTTGGATTGGAGGGTTGGATTGGAGGGTTGGATTGGAGGGTTGGATTGGAGGGTTGGATTGGAGGGTTGGATTGGAGGGTTGGATTGGAGGGTTGGATTGGAGGGTTGGATTGGAGGGGTTGGATTGGAGGGTTGGATTGGAGGGTTGGATTGGGGGTTGGATTGGAGGGTTGGATTGGAGGGTTGGATTGGAGGGTTGGATTGGAGGGTTGGATTGGAGGGTTGGATTGGAGGTTGGATTGGAGGGTTGGATTGGAGGGTTGGATTGGAGGGTTGGATTGGAGGGTTGGATTGGAGGGTTGGATTGGAGGGTTGGATTGGAGGGTTGGATTGGAGGGTTGGATTGGAGGGTTGGATTGGAGGGTTGGATTGGAGGGTTGGATAAGGATAGTCAGCAATATAAAACTATCAGCTTTCAGCTTTCATTGAGAAGAACACGAATCAAGGCCTTGATGAGCATTACGCTGCTTTGCACGATTCGTTGAGAGATGAGATTCGAAGACGACAAAATGGATTCATCGAGGAGGCGATTCGGTAAAGAAATTGAATAAGCTGGATAGCTGGATAGCTGGATAGCTGGATAGCTGGATAGCTGGATAGCTGGATAGCTGGATAGCTGGATAGCTGGATAGCTGGATATCCTTTTATAAATGAACTCTTTCAGCGTTGAACCAAGCACATCAGAGGTGGTGGAGTTGGTGGAAACGGTCGAGCAGCAAAAACACCTCCAACCAACTCCAAGACGTGGTAAGCACTGTAAAAGACATTTAGGGTTACTGTATCTAGATTATTGTATAGATACAGTAACCCTTAGTGCTTAAAAGACTTTTGAGTACTAAAATACTTTCTAAATAGCTTTATAATACTGTAGGTATTAGATAGAGTACTGTAGCTATTAGATAACATTGAATAGTACTGTAGAAAACTTGATTTATCTTGATGAATCTTGATGAATCTTGATTTAATCATGAACTCCTTTGCAGAACGTCTCCCAACTTTCCCTCGATCAGTCTCTGTGGCGGCTTCACGAGTGAATTTCCTCGATCAGACACAAATCGAGCGACAACATTTACCCGCGACTTTCGATTTCTATGCAAGGCTCACTATATTACTGTAAGCTTCTACAGGATATAAAACAGATCTGGCTACAGCTACAGCTACAGCTACAGCTACAGCTACAGATTTTAGTCCTGTCTCGGGATTACAACCGGATCCACCGGGAATCTCGTCTCGGGATTACTGTCAGCTACTTATTCAGACTTAAACTTAGGGCCTACCATACAGGCTACAGTATTAGGCTACCTGCATACAAACTACAGTATTAGGGCTATAATTCCCAGGTTATTCCTTGGGTTACTGTAGCTACAACATTATCAGATAATCTTCTTTGTCTAAGCTCAAAATTTTCAGCCTCGTTTGTATTCTGTTGGTGAACGTGGCTACGTGGTGGCTCCATTTCCGGGCTGAATCCCCGCGGTGAGTTGAATAAGAAAGATTTGATATTTAGTAATCTGCATTACATAAGTGTATTAGATCCAAATTGCATTTCAGATCTCCATTCTCAAATGTACCTGGGCACACAGTCGAGACGCTGGCTGAGGCCGTGGAAAAGGTGAAATCATAAAACAATACAGTAACTCGATTAGCGTATACATAGACAGTAACCCTTTTACAGTAATTCGGTGACTTTTTTCATGTTGCTTTTTCAAACTAGCAACTCGTCTTTTCAAGCTCTACAAGATCTGCTCAACATCGAGATTCCAACCGACTCTTTGTTAGTCCTGTAGATCCGTTAGCGTCCGTTAGCGTAACCGTAAATAAATAAACTTACCGTAATCCTAGATGTTCCTAGATGATCCTAGATGATCCTAGATGATCCTAGATGATCCTAGATGTTCCTAGATGTTCCTAGATGTTCCTAGATGAGTTACCGTGCTCGATTCACTTTCACATGAACAAAATCTACTTAATAGCTGAATAAATAGACATAAATATCTAGATATTTAAAAAAAAAACATAAAATACATAAATATAATGCAAATTTCAGATTTCCGTCGAGTTGCGCCGTTTGAAAGAAGGGAAAAATGAGTTGTAAAGCAAGAAATGACCAGAAATGAATGATTGACTTCTTTTAAGAGATTCCCAAGTTTTTTTTCTCATTCCAATGGAAAAATCCTTTCAAAAAATGTATGCAAATATTGTGATATTCGGCCGTAAAATTTTCTTTCTTTCTTTCTTTCTTTCGTTTGCCTTGAATTGCTCAGAGAATTTCTGTATTTCTGTATTTATGTGATTTGCTAAGTGATAGTGGAAAGTTTATCGGTGATTTATGTTTGTCTTTACATTTTAGATTTGTTTTATGTCAAATTTTAGACTCTAGAAATGCTACAGTAATCTTGGTACTTGGCCTGAGTATAGTAAGACTACAGTAGCCTGACTGATAGAATACAGTAGTCTGACTAGGTGCCCGTGAACTTTTAAAGCGAAACAAACTCCATTTTATAGAATCGATTTTGAATCATTTTATAGAATTCCCTTTTGCAAATCTCTGCGTTACGAGTTTTAGACCTCCTTACTTGAACTCATTTTTTTGGGAGGAAGCTGGCTAGTGATGTAGTGCATTGGTAAAGGTTTCAAACGGTTCAAACCACCCTGGTTCGCCCTCGAGGACTTTAACGCGAGATATCTGCGTTGCTCTCCTTACTTCATTTTTCGCAGTGCGGCTAGCTAGCGACGTGGTGCATTACCAAAGCTCTCGACTACGGGTTCAAACCACCCTGGTTCGATTCCCTCCTCGGCCAATTTCGTGAACCAAAATAGAAATCGACCGAGGAGGGAATCGAACTAGGGTGGTTTGGACCCGTAGTCAAGACCTTTGGCAATGCACCACGTCGCTAGCTAGGCACGCTGCGAAAAATGAACAGATGGGAGCAACACAGATGGGTTCGATTCCCTCCTCGGCCGATTTCGTGAACCAAAATTAGAAATCGACCGCGGCGGGAATCGAACCAGGGTGGTCTGGACCCGTAGTCAAGACCTTTGGCAATGCACCACGTCGCTAGCTAGGCAGGCTTTGAAAAATGAACTCAAGTAAGGAGAGCAACGCAGATATCTCACGTTTAGAGTCCTCGAGGGCAAAATTTGATTCGATTTGAAGATTTGAAATTCAGAGCTTTGTTTTCTATAAAGTGCTATTTTTCAGCGGATTACTGTATTCGCATTTTTTTCTTATTTCATTACTGTGGCAATTTTATCCACTTAGAAATTGTTAGTCTTTAAAAATTACGATACGGTGATTAGTTTCTGTGTGCTCAAATTATTAAATTGCGTGTATTTATGAAAATTTACGAGCTATATTCTTCTGAAATACACCCAAAAACAGCATTTTTTTTTTTTTGCGATTTACTGAATTTGTAAATTGAAATAACTTTATTCTACATTCGTTTACAGAGATTTTCAATCATTCGATCGATTTTCAATCATTCATTCATTCTTCTTCTTCTTTGCCTCATCCTTTTTTGAAACTGAAATTGATTTGATTTGAGTTTTTTTTAAAGAAATTCCCCCTTTCAAACCTTTCAATTCTTTTTCCAAATCGATCTGCTCCGATTCCTCGTCTTTATTATAAAAATACAAAACAACGCAAATAAGAAAAACGGCGATTAACGGGATGAACACGTGAATGCCTGTAAGAAAGGAGTTGAAAGGATTTGAAAGGATCGAATGAATTCGAATCGAAATTCGAATGCTGCCATGGTCGAGTGGTTTGAAGTTAGGAGGTTAGGAGGCTTGCAAAAGAATCGAGAGGTCATTGCTTCGATACCAGTGACCAGTAGCATTTGCCTCTTTCCCTCTTTGCTCTCTTTCTACAATCTCTACAACAACTTAAGGGGTATTGGCAGGGTTTGGGTCTTTTTTGGTGTCACATTATTGAATAGATTCAGACTTTAAACCGTTTTCAAAACTTTTTTTTCAAAAATGTGTCACCTTTTTCGAAAACACACTTTTTTTCCCCTTTGAAGCAAAAATGGACTCTTGGATTTGGATTTGAAAAACCCTAGTTGTCGAGGTATAACGCCGAATTACTTTCCCTAAGCCACTGACCAAATGGTGTAGAGGATAGTGCGCTTGCACTCCGGTCCTATTGTCCCGGGTTCGAATCCCCTCACTGTCAAAATTCTTTCCCCTTTTTTTGTGAAAGCACTTACTCGTTAGATCGTTCTTTAGGTACGTTAAAGCACTTACCGTAAATGCTTTAATAGTACCCCACCCCCCTCGTACAGTCGCGTAGTCGCAAAAGTTTTTTAGTATTTCATTTTTTTCAAAGCGCCTGTATTTTCAAAAATGCGTCTTTGGTATCAAAAAATAGCCCTGATTTTCAGCTATTTTTTGATACCTCTGCGCGCATTGTAGCATAAACCAGTGTCGAGAAAAACTCGTTCAAAGCTAGACTACGCAACGCTCCGCACCGTCATTATGCGGGTGGGGTACAATTACAGTATTTACGGTGGTTAGATTTCAATATTCAATATCAATATATATATATATGTTGTGTCCGATTTAGATTTCCGTCCGATTTAGATTGAATCTAAATCGGACGTCAATGAACAATAATATAAACATGCTTAATATATGTTCTTAAGCGTTTTCTGTAGTTTTCTGCATTTTTCAAAGGTCTTTTATTGATTACAGTCTATATCGGAAAATTTCTTTGAAAAGCGCAGAAAATTGCAAAAAAACGCTTAAGAACATATATTAAGCACGTTTATTATTGTTCTCTGATCTGTCATCGGACGTCCGATATAGACTGTAATCTAAATCGGACGTCCGCGATAAGTTCAATCTAAATCGGACGTCCGATTTAGATTCAATCTAAATCGGACGGAAATCTAAATCGGACACAACATATATATCACGTTATCAAGATTCTAAACAAAATCTAAACAAAATCAGTTTTCTAATTGTAAATATAACAAGTTTATACTTAAAGTTAATTTTTAAATGTCAAAAATTCTAAAGGAATTAAGAGATTCTATTTTCTTATTTCTTTTTTAAAAATGTTATAACTTTTTGTAGAGTTGAGCAAATTTGATGAATTTTTGTATCAAAATGTTCGTGAGAGTCTCTAGAATAAAAATTATCCCCTCGTTTTTTGTTCTAGACCCTGATTGTCGAGTTACGAGCCCCAAACTGCAGGGTACCACAAAATTTCCCATACAAAATGACCAAAAAACCGCTAAAACTCAATTTAAAAAATTTCTGTCAAGGGGATTTGAAAAATTCCTTCAGATTCGGAATCAGCACAATTTTTCGCATCTAAAAAAGGTACTCCCGGAAAAATCCGATAGAAAACGCATTTTTGCCTTATTTCGCGCTGATGTGGGGCGCGGGTCCAATTACAATATTTACGGTAGTTCTTTAGGCATTTTAAAATGTCTATAAACAACTTCTATAAACAACTTCTTTCAAAAACACAAGCTTATATCGATCATTAGTTGAATTTTCGTCGAACTCACTTTCCACCAAGTCGTACACGATGTCCATTCGCTGTTTCTTCCAGATAATCGAAATTTTAAGCACTATATAACAAGCATTATCTTAGTCTAATAAAAAAAAAATGTTGTGCAGAAGTGTTGTCTTCTTTGTGTATTGAAAGTTGTCTCTCTTTTCTTTCTTCAGCCACGAGCTCAAAATCGATACACCCAAAGGGGAGAGTTCCCTAAAAGAGTTCCCTAGAAGAGAAGTTATCGGATTTTCGCCAGCTTAAACCCATAAATCTTTCTGATTTCTTAATTTCCAAACTATCAGTTAAGCTTTGTTAAAATCGAATATTTTGAAAGTTGATTCTCTCTGAAAGTCTCTGGAAAAACTCTGGAAAAACGTATCATCATCATTTCATTTAGAGAACTAATCAGCTAGCTACTCTAAAGTGTGTTCCAGCTACCGTAATTGAGCACATCGGGCTTAGATTTACAAAATGGGTAACGGGGTACGGTAGTCAAGTCATAATTTAGTTTGTAAAACGTATCATTATCGACTTACTTATATAGTTTTCTAACTATTCAATTCGCAATCAACAACTCTGATTGAAAGCTATTCCCCTGAAGTATCGTTCCGGGTTCATTTCCCTCTCAATGTCGTCAATCAGTCCTTCGACTTTTTGCCCACTTTTTATCTTTCTTTTCTCGTTCTTTGCTCATCCCTCTTTTTGCCAGACGGCTGTTCTCTGCACAGGAATCCTTTTCTTTCCCATTTTCCGTCCCACTCCTCGTTGACCCTTTCCATTGCTTGCCCGGTTTTCAAGAGATTTATCGATTTTCCGAGAACACTTCATTTTTTCGCATCTTTCTTTCTCTTTCATCTTTTCTTTATCGCCCCACTTGGTTTCCCAGGGTTTCCCCCATCCAACAACCACTTGCAAGATAGGCAATCTTACAATTATACTTTCAATTCAATTCAATTCAATTCAATTCAATTAGAAACTCTTTTGTGGAATTGATTGTACTACTTGTTTCAATAGGTTACTCTTTTTATAATGTTACTACGCATATGTAGCTAAATACTAAAGACTTTTACAGTAAAGCCTGCGGTACGAATGAGTTGTTACAAAGCTCAAGTTTAAAAAAAGCTGCCTTTACAGAAACAGGCTTGTGAAAGTCATCTTTCGAACCATTCTTGGGTTAGTAACATTCCAACGTTAAGCACCTCTAGTCGACATCTTTCATTATCCAAGAATTCACGGTTCAAATATAAGTTAGCATGTAAGTATGAAAACTTTTCTCTTTCTGAGTCAATGTATAGCTTATTTAAACCATTGGCACTTTGCTAGCTGTTAAATACTTTGATAAAGAGCATCACTTTCTTTTTTCAAAAATTCATTCGTTCAATAAAGCTTTAGCAAATGACAAAACAGCTTTGAAAAACTTGAGCTAGATGAATGAAGCTGAACTGGACAAAAATTCAATTGTACTTGTTTATGTATAATTAAATAAATTGTACAATTACCAGCTGCGCTGGGCGTCCGCACGGATATCCTACCTAGAGGTACTGGGGCTAGGATACCCTCAGTACCTTCAGGTAGGATATCCATGCGGACCGGTAGCACAAAAAAGAACCGTATTGGAACCGCATTGGAACCGTTTTGTAGATTCAGATTCCTCGCCCCCAAAAAGCCCCAATTACAAATTTTCAGCTTTCTAGGTCACTTCGTTGTAATTTTACGTTAACGTAATATGTATTGTCGCGTAGGCGTGACAGACAGACCGACGGACGTTTTAATTTTTTTGTATATAGTAGATTCAATTGGACTTCAAATCATGGACAAACGCCTCTTGAAATTTCATCGATTTCTCTTCCTTTTCTCCAACTCTCTTCTTTCACACAAAATACTTCTATTCGGGCGCCTTGCTGACGTCAATGACTCAAATAGCACCAAAAAGCTTTTATTGTGTTCATTCATTTCTTCAAAATGTTTATGGCAAGACTTTTTAAAAGGACTTCTCACATGAGAAATTCTTTTAAAAAGTTCTTTTTCATTCTCACATGAGTTCTTATCAACTTCAACGAAGCTTCGCACTTTGTACTTTTCGTGCACAAATCATAATAAGTAACAAATCAAGAATGAAAAAAACTTGTTTAGCGCTGAATTTAAGCACCAAAACCCGGACAGTGTACACAATTGCACAACTGAATATCTTTATTGTAAAAGAAATATGGTATATATTAGATGAAAAGTGCTTTTGCCATTTTCTTTCAAAAAGTTTTGAGGGTGGCTACTTTGAGCCAAATTTTTTGCGCAACTTTATATAAAAGATTGTTTTATCTGCCTAAGTTCAACTCAGCACATGGTAGTTACTGTTTTTAAGCTTAAAACGAAACTTAGCCTCTTGGGAAACCAAAGTCTGGTCTCGTGGATCTTTCTCGATCATATCTCAATGTCTTTTCTTCTTTCCTTTTCCGCCCACATCGCACTATTTCACGTCCATTTCACGAGTTTGGACTTTGTTCCCTCCTTTCTCCCCTTTTCCCCCATATAAATGCCTCCTCTTCGCTCTGTCTGGGAAATTTCGTCACCCACACCTGAGCTTTTTTCCTGCGCTTAAATAACATCGATATTCGTCATTTTCAGTCTAAAATTGATTTTATCGTCTAAACTTTATTGAAACTTTGTAAGTGTTTTGTTTCTTTTCAGCGTAATTATTTTATTTATCGACATTATTTTATTTATCTTTTACTTTAGATCCTCGAACTTTGGGTCCCCGACGCGACACTCGCGCAACACAGAATTTCGAACGAAAATGAAAATCTGGACATCGGAGCATGTTTTTGAGTGAGTTTTTTTAAAGAGTTGATAACGAAACTGTTAAACGTAACTTTGTGGTAAAATGAAGATGTCATGTTGTTACTTAAACAGTTTTAACTAGGTTTTGACGTAAATATGACCTATTTGTTATGTTTAAATCTTCCAATTGGAAAGAGTTCAGAACGTTTGCCCTTTAGTATTAGGATTGAATTATTGGGTCAATGCATATAAAATGGCTAATCCATGTCAATTTCTCCACCGGAGCAGCTATCTAATTTCTGTTTGGTTAAAATAAAAAGTTGTAATCTTAAGATAATAACAGCGCGGCAACTTTTTTATTTGACAAGAAATGATGGAGAAACTTTTCTCTCATTGGAATCAACTCAACTTTGATGTTAAGTTGAGCCAAAGTTCTATTAGCTCGATGCTTTTTAATTAACATGTTCTTTTTAAATCAACATGGTTCTATTCAAAGATTTCAGTGTTTTTATCAATATGTTTTGTTGAGTTTTGAAAATAATTTGTAGGGATAAAGCTTGGGATTTCTTAATGAATTTAGTTTTTATTGAAAAGTCATGATTGCTTGAAATCGTTTGTTTCACAGCTGGAATCTTTGGTGAAAAAGCTGATTATTGCATAACTTTTCACTAGCAACAAATCATAAAAGGACTTTTTGGAATCTGATGATTGGTTGGAGAAATCTGAAAACATTTAGCCATTTCATATGCATTGACCCAATAGCTTTTGAATCGTGCGTGTTAAGAACTAAATTGATATTAAAATATTGTGTGGAAGTTATAAGAAATTTTCATCTATCTATTTTAGACATCCTTGGAGTACAGTGGTGAATGCGGCTTGGCGAAAGTATCCGAACCCTATGAATGGAGCGGTGACGAACATGGATGTCATCAGGTTGGTTTTAAGCACAATTATTAGGTTGTTTTTACGATAAACGTACAAAAAAAAGCCTCTTTTACTCTGTAATTTTAGTCAACAAGTCGACGAAGGCGTTGTGAAGAGCGAACGAATCATTCAATCACAATTCAGCATACCTTCTTGGGCAACTAAGGTTTGTAATTTAAAAGATTCTAAACTTATAATTCTTGAATCTTGTAATGTTTTCATTTCAGTTGACGGGCTTCTCAGGCACCCAGTATTCACACGAATACTCAGTGATCGATCCAAGCAAGCAGACTATGTCGCTCACCACAAGAAATGTAAGATTTGACAATAATTTTCACTCGCAATCTCTTGAATTTTTAGATGAACGGTGTTTCTTTCCTGAAAGTCGATGAGAGACTTACTTACGTGCCACACACAACTGATCCAAATAAGTAAGTTTCTTGAGTAAAAAGTTATAATTTTAATAAAGTTTCCTTAACTAACTAAATTAACTTTATTTTGACTTTAGAACCATCTTGAAGCAAGAAGCTATCATTTCCGTCAAACTCCCAGCCTTTGCGGATTATTGTGAGAAGACCTTCTTGAGTGTTTACTCATCCAATGCAACAAAAGTGAGTGTTTAAGCAAAATCAAACAAAAGCAAGATACCTTCGATCGATTGAGAGAATCTTTGCTAATGGTGATAAAGTCAAAAGTTGTAAATCTTCAGTAAAACTATTCATTATCGTTTTGTTTAGGGGCGCTCCGGAATCGAATGGGTGATTGGCCAATTTCGCAAGGAGTACGATGAACTGACGAACAAGGTATGTTTTAGCTTACAATTTAGCTTTTAAAAGTTGTAACACTCATCTATTTTAACAATCTTAAACACAACTTTAAAACACAACTCTATTCGTTCTATAATAAATCTTTAATATTCAGGTTTCATCCGAAGTTCACGAAATGGGCGAGAAAATGATGGGAGCGTTTCACAAAGTCAAATAAGCGCACCTTCGTTTCTTTTCAGCATTAGATCCGGTATTATCTCCGTTTGTTTTTTCGAATTTGTCGTTTTGTGATTGTGATATTTCCCCAGCCTCTAATTCATCAGGGCTTAGTCTCGATTTGTATTTTAGGATATTAAATTTCCTGTTTTGCAATAACTTAAGATGAGCTTTTATTCAGGGCCTGACTTAGGGTTTTCCGTGTGTGTTCTTGAGGTATTCTCCCAGCTCCCATTTGTAGGTGATCTTCGTTTAGCTTTGTTTCCCTCTTCATCACTTGTGCACGGGTTGTCCTTTTGTTCTCTAGTTTTCAAGAATATTTGTTAAAACTTCAAACTAATAAATGAATTTATACGGAAAGAAATTTATTCTTCATCGAGTATCTCTTGATTGTGGCCAAAAATCAAAGGCAAGAGTTTTGATATCGTGATTCTACAACATAACAAGTCTTACGGGGATTAGTGTAGATACAAGGTAACATGGAAACCTGAAGGATATAGGCAAGGTAGAAAAATTCCAATTTAAACTCTAAGTGGATTGTGTTCTTCACTACTTAAGTACAATCGAAAAAGTGTGTTAGTAGTGAGGCTAAGTTACAGCTAGAGTAATCCTGACTTGACAATGAAACAATATAATTCGGCTCCATTTTCTACATTAGAGACCATTATACAGACTCACTTTATGAATTAAAAGTAAAGTAAGGACAATGGGACTATGGTAGCTTTTCTCCAGGTGTACCTTTTAGAGAAAGGTTTAATTAAAAAAAGCACAGTATAGCACAGAGATAAAATTTGTGAGAAAATGACAAATATGATTGAACAAGGCTCAAAGAGTTCATTTCAATCAAGAAATCCATTTTTTTTTCTACAAAATCCCCAATTCTTGGAGCCAAACAGCGCCGAAGAGGATGATTGCGAGGAGAATTGGAAGACAGATCACACCGCCGATCAACCAACCCATTGGAACTGAAATGGATTCAGATTCTGTTGAAACATTGTTCTTTCTCTGACTTGTGACATTGAAACATTGACTCTAAAAACTCATTTCTAGATTCGGCTCATATCCTAGAGCCTAAGCAACTGTTAGACTCGGAATTGAAGATGATTCGATCTGGAAAATTTTCTAGATTAGGCCAAGCAGGAAGAAGCTCTGGGTATTTGCTTCTTTCTTTCTTTCTTCGTCTCCCTTGTCTTTCCTTCTTTCTATTGGTGAGTTAAGATACCGGATAGCTTAGTGGTTAGAGCAATTGCTTGCTAAGCGAAAAGTTGAGTCGAGGTCGAGGTTCAATCCCCACCCGGGAATTTCACTTTTTCACTTCACTTCTTGATTAAACTTCTCAGGTTTAACCTGGTCTTATTTGGTATATAGTATTTAGTCGATCTGACTTGTACCTATTGATTGTTTGATTACAATTTCTCGCCTACTAGGGTGAAATCTGGACTATTCCGGGCCAAAGTCACGTTTTCCCGACTGGATTTGGGTTGTAAATGAAATGCTTTTAGGAGAAATTTGACAGTAACCTTGAAAAAAATTATCTGAGTACAAAAATCTTCAGACTTTAGGGAATGCCATCATACCCAAATAACCTTTATTTACTCACTTTTCTTCTTGTTCGGCATAAAAGTCGATGTGATTCGTGTCGATTCTCCTATCGTCGATCCAGTGCCATTGAAGTGGGGATCTAAAACAGAATTTTTCAAATTCCCAACCATTCGCGTTGTAGTTGGGGGATTTTTCTGATGAAAATTCGAAATTCCACAAACCTGCCCGGTATTCGCAAGCAAGTTGTGGTTGCGGGGGGGCTGAAATTTTTCATTATAAACTTTTTCAAGAACATATTGGGTTGGTGAATTGAAAACTGCGGGACTTTAAACTAAAATTTATTCAACATAAAACCATGAATTCATTCCAAATAATTTCCATTATTATTGACGACTTCTGCCCATTTTAGAAGCAATTTGCGGATTCCTCTTTCGTAGTAGGATTTTGGTTTTGAATCGAAAAACTTTTCGAGCCAATTCACGCCAGAGATGGACGGCAAGGATCGAGGCGCGCTGCCACTTCTGGGGGTTATTGAGGTCATGGCGCACCCAAGCCCCAAGTTTCGATTTAAATCCAAGCGTATGAAGGTGCCTTAGCACTGTAGCATGATCAACCCCTAACTCTTCTGATTTTGGTTTGTGTGTGAGACAAGTGTGAGACTCAAAAATGGAGGACTGGAGATGTCCCAGTTTGAGCACTTTCTTCAAAAGAAACCCATTTTGGTGTCAATAGAAAAGTTGTAGAGAATCAAAAATTAGGCTTATAGCCAAATTTCCAAAAAGATACACTTAGTAGTTTCGCTTAAAATGCAAGTTTTGTGAAAATTGGTAAATTTGGCATTTCTTGAAAACCAATTTTTGAATGGTTCTGAAAATTTGGATAAAAGCTTGATTTTTGATTCTCTACAACTTTTCCATTGACACCAAAATGGGTTTCTTTTGAAGAAAGTGCTCAAACTGTCGCATATGACAATAGCCCGCAGTTTTCAATTCACCAACCCAATAAATTGAAAGTAATAATCAAAAAAGTAATTAAACAAATTGGGTTTAATTTCATTTTACTTTAAATCAATTTAAAGGAATTCTCTCTTGAAATAATAAAATTCTGATGACAGATGCCTTTCGGACCGTCCACCGTACACTTTACCTTTCAGACGTTTCCGCGCCAAACGTCGGAAACTACCGTAACCCGACGCAATAAAACGACCCCGCCACAAAGAATTTTTCAGTCTTTCGTCGTGTTTTATTTTTTCAGTCTTTTTTTTTCTTTGTTTTCCATTGACACGAAAATGGGTTTCTTTTGAAGAAAGTGCCCAAACTGTCACATATGACAATAGCCGGCAGTTTTCAATTCACCAACCCAATAGAATCATCGAGAGACCGTAGAAGTCGAAAAAGTCGAAAAATGGTCTCTCAAAACATTTTTCTAAAGTCAAAAACACTTTTTCTGGCATAATTTAACCTATTGAATACGTTTTTTGATCAAATTAAAGCAAAATAAAAAAAAAATTTCCAAATTTTGACCATGTGGTCCCCCACATAAGGAAAAATTTCAAAATTTTTTTTAATTTCTTTTTCTTCTACCAGTCAATTTAAGCTAAAAAAATGAATATTTAGTGATTAAAAATGCTTTTAGCTCTAGTTTTACTCTAGTTTTTACCTTAAAAACTGCTTCAATAGTCGGTGGCTGCTATAGTGAAGGACACTATAGAAGCGCCGAAACTTGGCTTAAAACGCGTTTTCCTAAGTGCCCGTCGTGTTTTTCGGAATCTACGCATAAAACTACCCCAGAAAAAGTGGATTTAAAGAAAAAACTGAAGAAAAACTGACCGGCTCGATACTCGCAAGCTAATTGGGCGTTTGGTTGATCTGAAAATGGAATAAAATGGTTAATTTTAGGAAACTTCTTACAAGGCAACCACATAAACTTACGGACGCCGATTTCCCACCAAAATTGATGAATAGGTTGAGTCGACTCTGGGGAACAGCATATTAAAAATTCAGCTCCAAGATTACAGAAGTTATAACGATGATAAGCATTTCGCTTTCTATCGTGAAAATTGCCTCTGCTCTATTTGACCACTCTTTCTCCTTCGAATGGTTCGATGGTGTAACTTGTAACTTATAACTACCGTAATCTTCGAGCTTTGCAGCTGAATTTTTAATATGCTGTTGCCCAGAGTCGTTTCTACCTACCCATCAATTTTGGTGGGAAATCGGCGTCCGTCAGCTTATTTGGTTCCCTTATTAGTTCTATATTATTATATATATCTAATCAATCTGCTAATCTTTACTTGTTGTGTACATTTGTGTCTTCGATCGATACTCGTGAACTTCTCTTGACGGGGCTCGGGGTGGGGCAGCTGAATGAAGTGAAATGAAAACTTGCAAACTTATCATTTGTCTTGTCCATAAAGATTTCTGATTCATGAGTTTGCTCGTTAGTTACCGTACTCCAGGAATACTTACCGTACCTATAAGATGTAGTACTCTATGAGGCTCTACAGCGTTCCAGTTACGGTACTCTATGAGGCTCTACAGGACTCCAGTTACAGCATTCTAGTTACAGTACTCCTACAACTCTTATTGTCATTCTTATTCAGAGTAACCATGTGCCCACAAGCTCTATAGCCAATCTAGGCCTGATTCCGGTAGTCGAGACAGTTCGAGTTGCTACCCAAACCAGTAAATGCAAGTTGTCAGAAATCTTGAAATATTGAAATCATAATTGGATTGAGTGGTCGGATCCGTTTCCTTCCTTTTTGCGTTCGTATTTTGCAATTATTCGCGTCGCATTTTTTCGTCTTTTTTTCTCTCTTCCCGAAAATATTTTTATTGGAGGAGAGAGAAATTGAATGATTGGGCGTCGAGTTAGAATCGAAAAAAGCGAGTTTCCACAATTGTGCGCTATCCTGTAGTTAGGTTTCGGTAAAGATTTATAAAAGATAATTTTTTTGGCAGAGCTTTTGGCCCTTTTTGGGGTTGGGGTTGGGGTTTTTGCTTTCGTTCTTGGGGGACTTTGATGTTTCTATTCATGCGCATGCTGTTTTATCATTGCATTTTTGGTTCTGTACTAATAAACAGTGAAATTATAAAATTTTACTTTCTGTTACCCTTCAGCTTTTAAAATCCTTTTCAGAGAGCTGGTTTAACACTGTAGAAAGAATTTACTAACATTTGTGTCGCCATCGACGAAGTAACAATCCGTTCTGTACTCTTTTCTGTACTCTTATCACGAATATTAGCCTTATGTTGGATGCTGCGTGTTCTTGTTATGTTGTAAGCGTTTTGGGGAAATCCTTTTAACCTTTTTTGTGCTAATCGGCTATTCTAAAGCAAAGTCATCCCCGGTCAAAGCGGGTCGCACCCCAAACTGACTTCTAAAACTATTATCTATTAATCTATCTGTCGTAGCCGATTATGAATGAGTGGGTCTAGGAGCGTCCAACCATCAAGTATTTAGTATCATTCAACGCAGAATCATTGATAATTATGTTAAATTTTTGAAATTAGAAAGATTGGATAAAAAGAACACAAATTATGGGGCTTCAAAGTTTTCTCTTGAACAAACAGTTTTTTTTGCTCTAATTTTTTTTCTTTTCATCAAATCTTGCTAATTTTAAAAATTTAACATAATTATCAATGATTCTGCGTTGAATGATACTAAATACTTGATGGTTGGACGCTCCTAGACCTAGACCTAGACCTAGACCTAGACCTAGACCTGGACCTAGACCTAGACCTAGACCTAGGCCTAGACCTAGACCTATCCCTAGACCTAGGCCTGGACCTAGACCTAGACCTAGACCTAGACCTAGACCTAGACTAGACCCACTCATTCATAATCGGCTACGGGGGTTCCGCCGATTTTGAATGAAACGTTGTAGCGCCGGCAATTTTTAACCTAAACTCACAAATTTGGTACCAATCGACGCAGAATTGAATTCGCTACAAGATGATATAATATTGTCCTCCTACATTAAAGGGTTGCTCTACTAGAGTTGCCTAAAAAGATTTGCCAAAAAATTTCATTCATAATCGGCTTCGACATATCTATTAATAGAATCAGTTGTGAACATAACTCTTCACCAAAATCAATTCAAGTCAATCATTTTCCTTTTTCAAACCTGGTGCAATCGATCCGGCACTGCTTGGACTTCGATTTTGCTCGTAGTGTTCAAAAGTTTCGCGAGGAGTCAAAAAGTCGACCGGTCGACGAGACATTCAAAAATAAACTAATAGATAATGGAAAGTGGATGGAATATTATGAAATATTATAAAATTAAGCAATAAATAATTCAGGTCAAAAGTTGAGGAAAAGAAAAGAGAAGAAAAGAAAAGAAAAGAAAATCGAAATCGACAGGAGTGAGGGAGCCTTTGTGCAAGAGAATCAAAAGAAACCGGTTTTCGAGAGCTGCAAAAATTCCCCATAAAGGAAAACAGAAACAGAAATATGGGGAAATGTATTGTACACTTGAAATTTCACCAACTTTTAACATTTTGATCTTTTTGTCAGACTTTTAATCAAAAAACGAAATCGTTGATGTAAAAAAAGGCAACAACTAGCATTCATCAAGTTCTGAGCAAGTTTTGAGCAAGTTTTGAGCTAGTTTTGAGCTAGTTTTGAGCTAGTTTTGAGCTAGTTTTGAGCTAGTTTTGAGCTAGTTTTGAGCTAGTTTTGAGCTAGTCTTCAAAGTAAAATCCGGCGGTTTCAGTTTGAAAAAGGGTTTGGTTTAATTTGATTTAAATTTGATTTAAATTTGATTTAAATTTGATTTAAATTTGATTTAAATTTGATTTAAATTTGATTTAAATTAGTACAAGGCGCACAACTATGGAAACTCGGTTTTTCGACTCTAACTCGACGCCCAATCATTCAATTCCCCAAATTTAGATTTATACAAGATTTCAAGTTAATTACTGTTAATTAAAGTTCAATTTTTAGTTGAAAAACACAGTGCTACGCTTTTTATAGTAGTATTGGATTGGTGAATTGAAAACGGCCGGCTATTGTCATATGTGACAGTTTGGGCACTTTCTTCAAAAGAAACCCATTTTGGTGTCAATGGAAAAAAAAGAAAAAAGACTGAAAAAATAAAACACGACGAAAGACTGAAAAATTCTTTGTGGCGGGGTCGTTTTATTGCGTCGGGTTACGGTAGTTTCCGACGTTTGGCGCGGAAACGTCTGAAAGGCAAGGTGTACGGTGGACGGTCCGAAAGGCATCTGTCATCAGAATTTTATTATTTCAAGAGAGAATTCCTTTAAATTGATTTAAAGTAAAATGAAATTAAACCCAATTTGTTTAATTACTTTTTTGATTATTACTTTCAATTTATTGGGTTGGAGAATTGAAAACTGCGGGCTATTGTCATATGCGACAGTTTGAGCACTTTCTTCAAAAGAAACCCATTTTGGTGTCAATGGAAAAGTTGTAGAGAATCAAAAATCAAGCTTATATCCAAATTTTCAGAACCATTCAAAAACTGGTTTTCAAGAAATGCCAAATTTACCAATTTTCACAAAACTTGCAACAAAACTTACATTTTAAGCGAAACTATTAGGTGTATCTTTTTGGAAATTTGGCTATAAGCCTAATTTTTGATTCTCTACAACTTTTCTATTGACACCAAAATGGGTTTCTTTTGAAGAAAGTGCTCAAACTGGGGCATCTCCAGTCCTCCATTTTTGAGTTTCACACTTGTCTCACACACAAACCAAAATCCTACCACGAAAGAGGAATCCGCAAATGGCTTGTAAAATGAGCAGAAGTCGTCAATAATAATGGAAATTATTTCCAATGAATTCATGGCTTTATGTTCAATAAATTTTCAAAGTCCAAAGTTTTCAATTCACCAATCCAATATTTAAGTAAAGATTATACCGTAAATACTGTAATAGAAGCCCCCTCTAGAGGCAAAGGGGAAAAAAATACAAGCCTCACTCAAATAGAAGTCCCCCTTTAATAGAATCAATTAAAAATAAAGCTATAAAATTAGAAAAAGATTGATTTATGAAAGTTGTTCAACACAAACGCTTAGGGTGCCATTACTTTTGAGCGACCTTAAGTTTTCTTTTTTATTTCTTTTAGAAACCATTCAAAATGAGCTATTTATGCATATTAATGAGAAATTCTATTTTTAAACATATTACTTTTTTTTATTTGCTTTATATGACCTCGCCCCTTTTGATTACTATTTATTCCGGATGATGAGTAATGAGCTTGCGGGAGAACACTGCGACTCAGGAGAACACTTCGATTCGGAAGAAGCATTCAAAAATTGGCTTTGAAAGTTTTTCGATTCAAAACCAAAATCCTACTACGAAAGAGGAATCCGCAAATTGCCTGTAAAATGGGCAGAAGTCGTCAATAATAATGGAAATTATTTGGAATGAATTGATGGTTTTATGTTGAATCAATTTTAGTTCAAAGTCCCGCAGTTTTCAATTCACCAACCCAATAGTTTGACAAGTTTAGTTCATTTTTATTCATTCATTTACCAGTTACATTCAAAACAAAGTCAACTATCAATGTTATTGGGTTGGAGAATTGAAAACTGCGGGCTATTGTCATATGCGACAGTTTGAGCACTTTCTTCAAAAGAAACCCATTTTGGTGTCAATGGAAAAGTTGTAGAGAATCAAAAATCAAGATTATATCCAAATTTTCAGAACCATTCAAAAACTGGTTTTCAAGAAATGCCAAATTTACGAATTTTCACAAAACTTGCATTTTAAGCGAAACTTTTAGGTGTATCTTTTTGGAAATTTGGCTATAAGCCTAATTTTTGATTCTCTACAACTTTTCTATTGACACCAAAATGGGTTTCTTTTGAAGAAAGTGCTCAAACTGGGACATCTCCAGTCCTCCATTTTTGAGTCTCACACTTGTCTCACACACAAACCAAAATCCTACTACGAAAGAGGAATCCGCAAATTGCCTGTAAAATGGGCAGAAGTCGTCAATAATAATGGAAATTATTTGGAATGAATTCATGGTCTTATTTTGAATAAATTTTAGTTCAAAGTCCCGCAGTTTTCAATTCACCAACCCAATAAAAACGGGAAAAGTTTAGGAAATAAATAAATATTATTTTTTTTTTTGCATTGAATCCATCTTTCCCATAGTAACGTTGGAAAAAGTGGAAAAAAAGGAAAAGCGCATGAAAGAAAGAATAAAAGAGAAACGAAAATTCGGAGAGAGAAAAAGGAAAAAGAGGTATTTATGTGTTTTTCTTTTCCAAAAATCCATTCAATAGCCACAAAAATTATTGGAATTCATTGAAAAACTTCTAATGGATTTATAGGAGCTTTTCCTAGAGAAAATCTTTTAGAAAATAAATGCCTTAATCATGTTTAGAGTATATTACGAAAGCTGAGACTGAAAGAAAGGATTCTTTGAGAATTTTAAACTAAAACTTCAATCACAATTCGAACTCAAATTAATCGTGCAAGAAAATCGCCTAAAAATCGCCTAAAAATCGATCCAATCTAGGGAAAGGTGAGAAATGGATTCAAGGACACAAGAAATTTCAAATTTCAAATTTCTTCCACTTCAAGGTCACCAAGAAAAGCAAAAGAAATCAATTTGAAACCGAAGAGGCAATCTTTTACAAATACCCAAGTATTGTATTGTACGTAAGTACTCAAGTATTCTAAAACTTTCAATCGCAAATATCACAAAAAGTCTTTCAAGTTTTCACCCAAGTTCGTAAGAGTTCATCTAAATTGTTTTCCTTGTGTAAAATCATTGTACTATCATTGTATCATTGTATCATTGTATTGTGCATTTTTTGACGAGGCTCGTTTGAGTATGGTCCTGAAAAAAACGCAAATCAATCAGAAATAAGGACTTTTAAGAGATGAATTACTTAGAAATTAGAACTCAATTACTTAGATGATAGAAAGAACGCTGGAAAAGTTGGTGTTGAGGTTGATGTTGAGGTTGATGTTGAGGTTGATGTTGAGGTTGATGTTGAGGTTGGTGTTGTAGTTGGTGTTGAGGTTGGTGTTGAGGTTGGTGTTGAGGTTGGTGTTGAGGTTGATGTTGAGGTTGGTGTTGTAGTTGGTGTTGAGGTTGGTGTTGAGGTTGGTGTTGAGGTTGGTGTTGAGGTTGGTGTTGAGGTTGGTGTTGAGGTTGGTGTTATAGTTGGTGTTGAGGTTGGTGTTGAGGTTGGTGATGAAGTTAGTGTTGAGGTTGGTGTTGAAATGGTTAAATCTCGTTTTAGGACAAGACTTTTGCTTTGACATCTTCTCATCTTCTCATCTTCTTTCTGCCTTCTAGAACATTCTAGACCTACACTAGGCCTAGAAGCAGGCCTACTTCTAGGCCTTCTTCTAGAAAATTCTAGGCCTTGACTGGATCTGTCCAGCAAAAGCCCGCAAAAAAGAAGGCAAAATTGCTTCTAGAATAATCGTAGTCCTGTCCCAGCTCTTCCGTTTATACTCGTTTATACTCGGAAACTCGGTTGTTTCCGTTATAAATCACACTCAACTCAGTGCCCAACCACAATCAATTTCCAACTACATTACCGTACCTTCTTCTTTCTTCTCAATCCCGTCGAGTGTCCCTTTCCTCGCCTCTCCACTTTTCCCTCATCCCTCTCCATTTCTTTCAATATTTCTCTTCATCACCTACAAACTACACCTTGAATTTCCCCTCAAAAGATCCTTTTTCCTTCATTTTCTCTTTCCAATGTACACGTGGACCACTAAACAAAACAATCCCAGCTTCTTGCTGACTTCTGTATTTTCTCTAAAAAAATCGAACTAGATTGAAAACAAGAAAACATTTGCTGTGTAAATAGAGACATTTGAAATACTTTTTGATGCTTTTCTGCTTTTTCTTTATTCTCTCTTTTCTATTCATATATTTCTATGCTTTATTTAAATTTTTCCAGATGGGTACAAGTGAAGCGTTATGGGGAGCGCTTGTCTGTTGCCTTTTTGTCAGCACTATTGGACAGGTAAGAGATTTGATCGAGATTTAAAATCGATATTAACTGAAGTTCCCTGAAGTTCCCTGAATTCCCTTAATATTTAGGCACCAACCTTCAAGCGATTTGAATACAAACACTCATTCCGAGCGCCGAATCTCGCTCAACGCGATGGAAGCATTCCATTTTGGACGGTTTGTTCTCAAGATGGACTTGATTTGAGAGTGTGCAGATGAGCTGTTTAATGATTTATGCATATTATTAGCTTGTACAAATGCTTTATCATATCAGTAGATCTCTAGATTTCTAGATTAACCTTTTATTTCTAGATTCTAGATTCTAGATCTAGATCTAGATTTCAGTATCAGCTACAGATCTACTGTTTTCTTTTCTTTTTAATTGTAAGATAACGATGTAAGATAAAGATAGGGTTATAACTTTACTTTTAGGTAGCCGGTGATGCGATTGCTTCTCAAGAACAACTCCGATTAGCCCCATCGATGCGATCAAGGAAAGGAATTGCTTGGAATAAACGATCGTTTGTAGAAAGCGAAAACTTTCAGGTAAAGCAAGGATTTATTTAGAGAGATAGATTTAAATTGGTCTGAGAATTGAAATTGGCTTTCTTTAATCCCCAATTTCCTTGGGAATTAAAGAAAATAAAGGAAACAAAGGTACACTACTGGACAATGAAATATCATATTTGAAAAATATGATATTTCATTGTCCAGATCGTCACTTTCGCGCATCTGTAACTCCCTTGTCTTTACCGTATTTCTAAATATTAATATTATCATTGTGTAGCCCTTGAAAAGAGCTTTCAGAAAATGTATAACACTAATAGTTTAAACTCAAAGACAACGGAGTTACAGACGCGCGAAAGTGACGATCGTTTTTCAAATATCATATTTCATTGTCCAGTACTGTACTTCGAGGATAGGATTTAACTAAGTAACTTAACGCTGGAGCTGGAGCTAATAGAGCTCTGGAGTTGGAGCTACTGAAGCTCTGGAGCTCTGGAACTCTGGAGCCCCGGATCTCTGGAGCTCTGGAGCTGGAGCTTTTATTATCACTTTGTCGTTGTCATTCTCGTGTAAATTTCAGGTCGACGTAGCACTAAAAGTCTCAGGCCAAGGTCGGATTGGAGCTGATGGAATGGGCCTTTGGTACACGGCAACTCCAGGCACACTTGGACCGGTTTTTGGTGCAAACGACTTTTGGACTGGAATGGGTTGGGCAAAATGTGGCAAAACCTTAGATAAACCCTATTTTTTAGGTCTATTCTTTGATTCATTTGACAACGATGGTCAGAAGAATAATCCAATGGTAAGTTTTTGGTCTTTAAATTGGCTCCGCCCCTTTTGCCATTGGCAATCCAACTTTGAACTCAAATTTCTCGGTGTTGGGCTGTCGAATTTAAATATCCTTGGTATCATTCGATGCGCCAAGACTTTCTCTATCGATTGGTATAAAAACTATTCAAATTGAACAGCCCAGCGCCAAGAAATTTGAGTTTAAAGTTAGATTGCGAATGACAAAGGCACTGCCAAGATAAAATGTCCCACAATTCTTTAAATTAACCAAATTAACCAAGCATAACCTTTTTGCAGATCTCCTTGATGATCAACGATGGAACACGCAGCTATGATCATCATACAGATGGAAGTCAACAAATACTTTCAAGTCAGTAATAAAGTTTAGAAAATGTAAGAACTAGGGGCCAGGTAAGAACTTCAAAGATGTTGTTCGGTTAACCGCTTGATATTATCAGATTTTTCAGGTATTTTTTCAATCAATTAATACCAAAGTTGGTTCATTTGGACAACAGTTTTATCGTTAACTTGAACAACAATTGTTAGAGCTTTCCCCTCGCGGAAAACGAGCCACTTTCTGCATTTTAGCTTCTGTTTTTGTTTCGTGGATATAAAAGGACTTAGCAAAAGTCCTTTTATACGCAAAAGTCCTCCACGAAACAAAATCTGTTTACTTCAAATGTCTAGTTTACGGTTCTAATTCTAGTCAGTTCTACTTCTAGTCAGTTCTAATTCTAGTCAGTTCTAATTCTAGTCAGTTCTAATTCTAGTCAGTTCTAATTCTAGTCAGTTCTAATTCTAGTCAGTTCTAATTCTAGTCAGTTCTAATTCTAGTCAGTTCTAATTCTAGTCAGTTCTAATCGTAACACCAGCTTAACTTCAATTGCAGGTTGCCAACGCGATTTCCGGAATAAACCTTTCCCGATTCGGGTACGCATCGAATACTTCAAGAATGTGCTTACTGTTCATGTCGATGATGGAATGAGTCAAGTGCCCAGGTATAAAGTAGTCTGAATCAAAGTAGCATAGTCTGAATCAAAGTAGCATAGTCTAAATCTAGCTAACTGGATTAGACGAAGTTAATTTGTGTTCAAGAATCAAAGAGGATAGTAGAAAAGGATCAAAAAGGATAGTATGAAGCATGGAATTGTACCAAATAAGAGTTCAGAGTCAAGAAAAACAATTCATTTAGATATGAGCTTTGCATTCGAGCCGAGAATATCTTCCTTCCACGAAATGGTTATTTCGGAGCTTCGGCTGCAACTGGTGGACTTGCCGGTTTGTTGTAATTGTAGAAATTGAATGTGATACATCCACTTGTACAATACTGTAAAGATTTTAGTTTTTTTAAAACTAATAGTGTTCTAGTGTTACTAGTGTTCGAGAAAATTCTGGATTGGCACTTTAAAGCGTGGTAAAACTACCGTACCCCTTCCTAATTTGCGCGAAATTTCAATTTTTTCATTTTTCTTCATTTCATTTTATTCTTTTTGCGTTTTTCTGATGTGCTCGTATTTGTTTTTGCAGGAAACAAAGAAGATAAAGCTAAGCTACGTTTTTAACAGCATTTTCTTTGACAAAAGCTTTGTTTGTAGAGTTTTTTAGACCCACTTTCTTCCCGACGACGACTCCACGAACTTGGTGCCAACTAACGTTAAGTTAAGTGGTTTTTATCATTTTCTATGGCAAAAGCTTTGTTTTTTTGACTTTTTAGTTGAAAAAACGTTGAAATGTTGGAAAAAACGCAAAAAGAACAAAATGAAATGAACAAAAATGAAAAAAATGAAATTTCGCCCAAATTGGAGGGGTACGGTAGCTTTACCACGCTTTAAAGCGCTAACCCAGGATTTTCTCGGAAAAAGCTCGCAAGTACTTTTATAAATAATGTTCAGCGGTACAAAAACAGGATTACTGTGACTTATTCATGCACACTTTTTAGCTTAACTGACTCTTTATCTTAAAAACTCTTCAGACGACCACGATGTCACCGATTTCTCCGTATATTCTCTCTTCCAAGAAACTCAGAAACCGGCCGCTGAACAACAGCTTCCTCAAGTGAGAAGACTTACAAGGGATGATCGACTGGCTCAGCCAGTTGACCTTCCCTTGTGAATATTTTCATTTCATCTAAATTTCAATGTTTTCAGGCAGAAAAAGCCAAGTACGACGAGGAATTCCAAAAACAGATGGAAGAATACGAAAAGGAAAGACAACGGTAAACGAAATGCTTCAATTTACCAATTCCTCGATTTCAGATACAAGGAAGAACACCCGGACAAGGCGAAAGATGATGAGGAGGATGAGTACGGGAAATATTTTGAGGTAAATAGATAGAAAGTGGTGCTAGGACAGGGTCGAAGACAGGCCCAGTCTTTTCTGCAGTTTTGACCACAAACTTTGACTTATCTACCTGGCCTTTGCTGTAGGAAAAATCGCTAGATGGAGCAAAAGCCAAGTAGATAGGTCTATTGATCGTTAGATTTTGATCGAGGACCCGATTAGCAAGTTGGGGCAGCCATGCGGTCGATCCAGACTCCGACTAGCGATTTTTCGCTAGAACTAGCAGTTCTAGCAGATCTAGCAGTTCTAGCAATTCTAGCAGATCTAGCAGACTCGGGCTTAGGTCTAGCCTTTGGTCCTATGAGTCCTACAGTAAAACCAGGCCAACTGGACCAGGTATGGGTAAGAGATTATGCCAGGACCTGGTTTTTGACTCGGTTTAGTTATCGAACCCCAATCTACCGGAAGAAAGATGATACAAATAGACCAGATAATTACTAAATACAAAAATAAATACAATTACAGTTACCTTTAACGAATCGTCATTTTCAGGATGCCACCGCCAGGGAACTGCGCTTGATTTACGAGTCACAAACGGCCATTCACAAGGTGATTTGACGAGCATAGTAAACCTTTGAGAACCTTCGAGAAAACGAATCTTGTATCAAAGATTCATCAAATTTTACTTCTACTATAAAAACTTGTAATCTAATCAAAGCTATCTAGGTAATGCAACAAATGGAGCAGAAGTTGATCGAGATTCGACAAGGACAAGTGAGTGGCGGAGTGGCTGTACCACAACAACAACAACAACATACAGGCTCACAACGTGAGTGTTTACGATGCAACGATGCAAATAAGCATTTGATAAATAGCCATTTGTATCTACAGTAATGCTTCTTCTAAAACAATCATGTTTATCCCGCAAAATTAACATTCTCCTCCTTTCTCTCCCCTTGTATTCCCTCTTTCTTCTCTCGCAGAAGGGTACCAGATAGTTCAGTGGTTAGAGCATCTGCCTGGCAAACGAAAAGGGTTCAGAAAGGTCGAGGGTTCAATCCCCTCTGTGGAAATCTTTCTTTACTATTCCTTACTTTATTGCATTGAAAAGTCCAATCGCACACTGGAATTGCATACAAAAGTTCAATCACACACTAATTCTCATTGTTTTAAAGCTTTTGAAATGCAAATTTTGCGGAGGAAAGTATCCATGAAATCCGATTAAAAGTACAGTATTTTGGCTTTTGTTTAGACGTCGCAGCCGGCCAGCCATCATTCGCTGTTCACGAGAAAAATGAAGTCATTCAAACGTTGCGCGATTTGACGGCATCTCTTCGGTAAATGAAACTTTCACCATAATCTACTAAAATTAAGTAGTTATGAGCTCAATTCTAGAAAAACAATTTTCAGAGACATGAAGAACTACGTGAACGAGATCTTCACAAAGACTTACAACATTGAGCAGAAGATCGGAAGTGAGTTGGAAGAATTTGCTGATTGGAAATCAGTACATGTACCGGGTTTCTATCTACTAGAACTACTAGAAGGATCTACTAGAACCAAAACTGATTTCAGGCAGCGGTGGTGCAGTGGCTTCGGGTGGTGCTGGTGGTGGTCAAGCCGATGTTGCCACTCAACAACGACTCGACAGGATATTGGCTGAATTGAATGCCGTTCGAGCTAATCAAGGAGCGGTGAGGAAACTATTAGAAAACAAAGAAAACATCGAAAATCGATTTACAGAGTGGTTCGGCTGGTTCGGCTAGTTGTCCCGATGTTCCCTGTGCATCAACATCACTTTTCCTCGGCATTATCTTCGTTCAATCAGCTGTCATCATTGGGGTTATATTCTTGAGGTCTGTTGACAAATAGTTTCTTTCTTCAAAGAATGCATTTCCTAAAAGATACGCTTCAGAAAAGCTATCGTAATCCTGGTAACTTCAACAATTCAATTTCAGAAGCAAACCTGAGAAGTCAAAATTCTACTAGCCGATGCGATTTCCGTCTTCTTGGTCTATTTTGGCAGCTACTTTCACCCTTTCACCCTTACACATTGCCATCATCGAGAATGAAATTGTGATTTTTTTTGGGGTTTACTTTCTTTTCTTTTGTATGATATGGGTTTAGGCTATTGTGTATTGGTTCTCCTTTATCCCCAAATTGGTTGTGATTTGTACCCATTTCTAAAATGTGCTATTTCACCAATTCCCCACTTCTACTTTCCTTTCCTACTTCTTTTTACATTACCTATTCTACCAAAAATATCGTTTTATTATAACGGATTTTTTTATGGTGCATCGTTTGAAATTTCTTTATTCGTTTGTAAATAAACCAACGAGTTTACCCGCATGCACCATGAAAATATAACAAAGCCGGATAAATAAATAAAATAAGATGTACAAACAGCGAAAAATTATGAACCAGATCCAATAGAATCAACGGGTAGTGAAAGAGAAACAAGCAGATTCCAAATGGGAATCGCTACAACTGTCAATAATGGGAATAAATTACAACCAACCAGTAAATTAGAAGAAACAATTTTTTTAATCGGATAGACCACGTCGAAGAGTTGTAAATTTGCTGCATCCAACCCTTCCATCATCAGCATAGGCGACACTAAAAGTTAAATAATCACGGTTGAAGGTTCCAGTTTGATCTGTTTTAGGTAAACATTTTAAGCGTCTTACCGTAAACGTTCCAGAAAATATACAAAGCCAACGGATGTGTCAAAAAGCTGAACATCAAGCGAAAGCCCTGTCGATACCTAAAGAGTACAATTTTTATGCAAAGGACAAGCACACCCACCTTGGTCGATCATTTTGTGGTCTGGTGAACAAAATCAGAAGTGGAACCGATGGGAGCGCCGTCAGCAAGGCCAATCCGAAGTTGACGAGGCTCACGAGACCGAACGCAAGAGCTGCTTCCAATAGTAGAACAAAACGAAGGGAAGAGATTGCTGTCGGTGGTCTAAAATAAACATTTGGATTTTAAAGTTTAACGCCAAGTTTAAAAGACAGCTAATACTAGTGCTGCATTATCTGAAAATTCATAAGCAAACATAACGAAGAATAGGGCTATTATGTAACATTCCAATCAAATTTAACAAACTTACACTTTCCAGAATAAAGCAAGTGGTATCAATAGTGTTCCAAGCAAAATAATCCATGGTGTTTCATCGCCGGGCACCAATGCTTGCTCATCTCCAAAAAAGTGTGACGAAGCTGTCCACGTCAAAATGCCAATGCTATGGACAACCCAGATGATCGACGGAATCTCGAGAGCTTCAATTGAGTAAACCCACTCTCGATATGCCTAAATGAAACGCTAATTTTAAATAAAAAATATTAAACTTACAAAGATCAACAGAGGAGCGATGACGCCGCCCAAAATCGGCATGAAGAAAGCGATTGACACAAAGTTATCCTCATCAGCGAGCACGTAGATAAAAAATGACTGGTGAAATCTGAATTATTACTGTTTAAGCCGGTTTAAGAATGGATCACCGCTCAAGCATGTTGTTTAGTGAGCGAACGGTTGCTTCGATGAGTTTTGCTGATTTGCGAACAGACGATTGCGTCTTCAGTGGTAGGCCGAGCATTACCCCCTAAACACAATAAATAATGAGCGTAATTTAATTAGTAAAAAAAACTTCAAAAAGCTCTCACACTGGTTCCATATTTAGCGCTGAGTGAATGCAGATCTTCCACCGAAACGAATGCTTGTGTGAAGAGGGCTCTCGCAGGAATTATCCACCACGGAATATCTTGTCCCTTAAGAACGTCTGTTAAAATGTTTTTACTAGTATGCTTATTACTACTATGCACTTCTTATCATCATTTCCTGCTGAAGATACATACCTTATTTGAATCTCGCAAATCATAGAGTACTGTCGGCATTCTGAACCGTCCCAATCCGCTGATGCGTACTATTCTAGATAAGTTAATCTTAAAAGCATTTTCATAAGAAATAACTCACGTATTCACATAATCCAAATTTGGAAGTGCTCCATTAAGTTGGTTCAAATAAAGTTCCATTTCGTTCGACTTTTGACCAACGTTTGTCTAAAAATATTGTGAATTTGTGAATTCTAAACAATATTTTTTACTTTAAAGCTAAGAGTTGCCAGCAAATAATCTCCACGTTCTTGTAATGCATCGAATGCAAGCGATTTTGAAGAAGTGAGATGAAATGCATTGAGAAATGCTTCGACACCAAGAACTCCGCCATCGCTCAGAAGGAAGAATATGTCACGAGACCAATGGAGCTGCGCTAAATAAAAGTTTTTTAAAAAGCGTAACATTAAAATCTAAATTTTTAATTAGCCAAATACGAAAATAATGTACATATAAACATCTAACTACAAGTCAAACTTGGTAATCCAGACTGATTTTATATCTTAGAAGCTAGTCTTTAACTTGTGAGAAATCGTGGTAGTTTTTACCCTAAACATAGAAAATCATTTGTGAACATAACCGGTCTTTTACAAATAACTGAATAACATGAGCAAAGCCAAACCACTTGGTTAACGAAAAGCACATTGGAAACCCAATAACCCCTTTGATATTTGAGTATTCATCCACTTACATCTGAAATATCCAGCAAGGGCGACCAAAAGTGCTGTTGCCTGCGCATCGTTTTGATTGACGATAAGTAGTATTGATTCCGCAGATGGTCCCCGAAATCCCCTTGTTGTTCCCCACACGTTTACTCCCGAGGCATTCTAAAATTAAACCTCAAAACAAAAATTGCTGAAAAGCTCACCAAAACACCAACGGTGGTTTTCCACCTTTGCTCATATGCGTAGACTCCGTAGTTAGTTAGACGATCCAGCAAAAATTCCCGCTTATCCCTAAAATTTAAGTAATCGCACCGCTAAAAAGAAGCAAAACCCACTTCTTGTTTTGTAATCCGTGAAGTACTTCGGCATAAACACCCTCTTGATCAAACTTCTCGTTGACCACTCCACCCATCAACGCATGTTCCGAGATTCGAGTGTGCTCGCACATCTAAACAAACTAGGTAACAAAAATAAACTTTGAAAAATACCTCGGGCCGGAAGATCGTGAATGCCCAATATATTGCTCCAACATAGGCTATCTAAAGAAAATGTTTATGAAAGCTGACCACAAAATTATAAAAATTAAGTAAAACTATAACAGGAATAGCATTAAATGTTTTAACAGTCATTTAAAGCACAAGATCACCTAACTTGTCAACTTTTCAAAGACGATTGCATAAAATAAAGTTTGTTTAGATAAAAATCTAACATTAGTCTCTCTTAACGCTCAACAAAATCAATAAACTAACCAATGCAATGTGTGGGGCCTTATTGAGGATCTTCTCAAGTATTGGAAGGCGTCCCGAGCCCGTCATAGCTACCCGCATTGTTCTCGACACAAAAGTTCAGCCAAGAATAATTTTGGGCACAGTCCCGGCTAAACAAATAAGCACATTAATCAGAAAAAAAACCCAAAGATTTAACTGAATATCTTTAAGTGTTGAAATAAAAGATTTAAAAAGCTCCGCTTTCTTCTTTTTCATTTCAAACTTCTCTTCTCGTCGTTGTTTTGTTATCGGCATTGGGTTATTCACCCTTCTTAAATCCCCGGTTCACCCTCCACCCGAATACTAAAGACATCACTGATCTATTTGCCGTAAGAAATGTTAAAATTTGTGCTGCAGCTCATTTGATGAAATCCGGCCAGACTTTTCCTTGTTTTCTTCTAATTTCACGTCTTACATACCGTAAATACTGTAATAGATGCGGCCTGATACTAGTATGTTTGAGGAGCCCCACTTTTTTTCCGAGTTAAACACTTACAGCTATCCGTAGCAGATAAATGGCTTCGTAGCAAATATGTTAAAAAATTTTTGGAAGAAAAATTAGTAGCGCAGGCGCTACTACTACATTATTTACGGTATTTGTGGCCATTGTCTTGTCTAATCGTTGCAGCTTTAGGAAATCTCTTCCGAAATTGTAAAAACTAGCGTTAGAAACGATATCATTTTGGTTCCTTTGGGTTTTCACGTTTTCTTTCCATTGCATCAATATTTCATTAAGTTTTTCTTTAGATGGCTCTTCGTCAAACGTCGGTTTGCCTCGTTAGAACCTCGTCTCGCATCATGAACCTTGGCGACCCTGGATCGGGAGCTGGAAAGGTTAGTTTGTGATATATGATACAATCATGTGCCGACATAAAATTGATAGAGCCGCGCTAGTTTGCGGTGCGTAAAATTAATTAGGGATAAACACAGTAAGTCGGGTTGAATGATTGCTTTGTTCTTTTGTGCAGCATAAATCTTTAATAAAATACTGTTGTTTAAGAGTTGATTCTTGTTCTTTAGTCTGGCGGAAGCGGTGGATCGATTCGCGATGCTGGTGGTGCTTTCGGGAAAATGGAGGCTGCTCGAGAGGGAGAGTACTTCCACAAGCTTCAGAAGAAACAAATCGCCGAAATGAAGAAGCATCTTGCTGTGAGTAGTTCTTTTGGTGATGAACCTATTGATTTCTGGTCTAGAACTAAATGTTTACCAGCCGGCACCGTTGCCTTCGGCGAAGGTTTGGCTGGATGAGTCTAGAAAACAAAAAGTCTTTTAAATCTTTTTGAGGCCAAATAATAAGCATATTTTCTTGATCTCGCCGCCAAAATCGATTTTTCACCATAACTCAAAAACGGTTGGAAATTTTTCAAATCTGATTTGATAGGCCAAACCGCCGTCATTGATTACATATTATCCCAAAACATGAAAAAATATCAACTGGTTCGTGAGATATGAAGGGGGCAGACAGACAGAAACACGGACATACTTGGCCTCTTATAATATAATAAGTAAGATTTCTAGTTAGGAGACTACAGGGTGCTCCAAAAAAACCTTTTCAAACCAGAATTCCTCAAAAATTTCTGGTGGCTAGAGGTGTTCGGTGTGGTGTCATAGTGAATCATTTGTACTCTAAAGTTTTTCATACTTTTTTCACGAAAACCATCACTCGATAGGCGGGGGGGGGATCATGAGATTATGGGTGCCACCATGGTCACCACCATGAGACCATCAATAGAGTAAAATTTTTGCCATAAAGTGAAGACTTTCTACTGGTATCGTGATGTCATATTAGAGGTAATATGTAAACTAAGACTATCTAGTGGTGTTTTTGTGAAAAAATGGGAAAATTTTGGCACAAATGATTTGCTATGACACCACACCGAACACCTATAGTCACCAGAAATTCTAAAGAATTCCGGTTTGAAAATTTTTTTTGGAGCACCCTGTAATAAAATATATTTAACTAATATAAAATTTTTTAAAGCTTTTGCAAAATTGAATGTTAAAGTGAGATTTAATCAAGCATCCTTTTAAATTTGGATTTTAAATTGCAATTATGAAAAATTGACACTGTATTTTTTAGGACACCATCAAGCAGACGGAGGCACAGCTGCAACGCCATAAGGAAGTACGTTTAATATTTTTAGTACGAGCTAAATTATTCTTTTTAGCAACTAGCTGAGCTCGAAACTACCCAGAAGAAGTAACTTAACGATTCATTGCTAATGTGTTTGTAGGTCTATTTTTTTGCTTTTAAATACGGTTTGTGATATTTTTATGTAGATATTTTTTTGTACCAATATATAGTTTTGAGCTACTTTATTTTTTAACACAAGAACAAAAGATGCACATGAGAAGCGATTGATTCAAGCAATTGGTCGGGGTTTGAAGGCAAATGCTATTGTCAATAATGGGAAAAAATTGACGAACTTTTTCCCTCTTTTTCATCGAGAGACACTGGGCTGAATGGTTATTGTGTAGGGAATATTTGAAGGGAAACAGAGGCAACAATCGAGCAATGCCATTCTTTCTCGCAATCCTTTCTGACACTTGACTCGTTATTGCCCTTGACTTCTCACTTTTCGACTAAAAACTTTCTAGGCTGAGGTTTCTTCCCTCGAATTCCGGATTAACTTTACGAAGGAGCTATTTATTTTGAACAATTCGTTGAAATCTTGCAGGTCTTTAAAGCGAATCAAATTGAAATAGCAGAAAAATGACAATGAGTTTGATGCTAGCCGACTAACTATCGAATATAAGTTGAAATGAAAAATCGTGTCAAGTCTCAATAAAGTATCAAAATAGGTATCAAAAAATTGCTGAAATTCAGGGCTATTTTTTGGAAGTATGGGCACTTAAAAAAATGAAATACTAAAAAACTTTTGCGACGTAAGAGGGCGGTGGCCACCGCCCTCTTACGTCGCAAAAGTTTTTTGCCGGTGGGGTACTATTACAGTATTTACGGTAGGCAGATTTTCTCGATCATTTTCACCGCAATTTTCGCCTTCTTAAGGGCAAAACACCATGTTGACTGTTTACTGAAGTAAAATCGGTAAGAAAAGAAAAGATCTTCCTTTCTTTCTTTTTTTTTTCTTTTCACTTCCCCAAAACAAATCCCCCACCCCAATCCATCGCACCGTTTTTTCAAGGTCATCCTTTTTCTCAATTCTTTCTTATTTTTTTTTCCTAAAATCTCCATCTTTTTTTGCCTATTTCCTTTTTTTCACCCATAAACAGCTCAGCCTCTCTTGTCTTCACCATTTTTCTCCTGCAATTCGATGAATTTTTCTTCAATTCCTTTCCAGTTCCACGCCCAACTCTAGTGAGCGGGGTTTATAGCTTCGGAAAATCGTTTACTTTAAAAAGTTTCACTTTTATGTTCTTAAATGCATAGAATCTTTCGATTTGTGCTTGAATTTAGACTTGTAACGAAAACATCAGTCGATTCTTTTTTGTCGCTGGCAACTTAAGGTTTTTCATGTTTTTCTCAGCACCAACTCTTCGATTTTAACTATTTTGATTATCATTCGATGCAGAATAAAACTGCACGTCGAATGATACTAAAATTAACTCAAAATGTAATATCCATGCAAAGTTATGAGGTAAAAGGTTAAGTCTCGCTCATAATAGGAGGATTTTAGGTTTTTAGCTAACAACTTTACGTGGATATTACTTTTTGAGTTAATTTTAGTAACATTCGACGCGTAATTTTATCCTGCATCGAATGATAGTAAAAATAGTTAAAATCGAAGGGTCGGTACTGAGAAAAACATGAAAAACCTTAAGTTGCCAGCGACAAAAAAGAACCGACTGATGTTTTCGTTACAAGTCTAATTTCTAACCATCCGTGGCTTTGAAATTGACCCCTGCGCTTGTAAATTTCATTGCTGCCTTATTGAGAACAATTCTTCGAGTGATTCGTTTCTTATCGTTGCGATTGAATTCAATTGATGATCAACTGATCAACTTCTGCCGCCAAAAGATGTCTTCCACCTCCATCAAGTCGTTTTCTCTTCTTGTTGAGATCATTGAGCTTCTTGTTTCTTCTAATAAATGACTGACGAACGTGACACACCAAATTTGTTTGCAGCCACATTGTTCGAAGTCCGTTTGGTATAAGCAAGAATTTCAAGCTTTGTCTTCGTCTTCGTCTTTGCATCGAGTGCCTTGCGTTTTCCTCCGTTCCTCGTTGCGGGTTTCCTCCACTTTATCCTCATTTTCGCCTATTGCCTCCGTTGAGTTCTTCTCAATCTGAACCCTCAAGTTCCTCGTAGACTATCAAAGTTGTTTATCATCTCTGTTCTTGAAGAATGAAGAATTCTCCCTTGAAGAATTCTTCTCGTTCATCATTTTCCCGTTGAGCTCGAAATTCTTCAAATCCATCGAGGGATCTCTCGTCGACCGATTCCATTCCTAAAAAGAATAAATTATTGAAATATATGAAAATCGAAACAAAAATGAGAGAGATAAATTTAATAAATGTTTGGGGCGAAAATGAAAAGAATGAGCTTTTGAAAATGAATTTTAAGCTGCCCAGCTGCCTGCGTAGCTGCCCCGCTGCCCATGAATTTTAAACATTGCGTAGCTGCCCAGTTTGAATACAAAATTTGAATGAATTTTTAAAATTGATTGTAAATGGAGTGTCGTTCTAATAGAATTTACGATTTTCCGTTTTTTTTCTTTCTGCCTCCTTTGTTTAATCTCACAGAATTGCAAAAGTCGATTGATTCGATAAAACTACAGAGTGCATCATAATTATTGCAACAAGAGTTCAAAGACCGTTTTAAAGAAGAAAGTTTTAATGAAGGATGTGATGTCATGGGCGTGCAAAACCAATAACAAGCAAAATTGAACCTTCATGCAAGATGGAGCTCCCGCTCACACGAAGAAGACGGTTCAGGACTGGTGTGTGGCCAACTTTCCCTCAGTGATCACCAAGGATGAATAGCCTTCAAACTCACCGCATCTCAATGTGAGGGACTTTTCCATTTGGGCAATCTTAGAGGCTAATGTCTGCTCTCGAAAACACACAAGTTTGGATTCTTTGAAGAAGTCTTTGACCTTGAAGAAGTCTTTGACCAAAGGATGGAAGGCGACTCCTCAAGATGACATTCGGGCCGCAGTGGAGGCATATCCGAACCGATTGAGGGCTGTTATCAAGGCAAAAGGCGGTCATATCGAATGATCTCTTGTTTCCTTATTTGTTACTGTTAAATAAAGCTATTTCTGTCTAAAAATCTTCTTCCAGTGAAACTTCTTGGTGTGCAATGCCTTGAGTATCTTGTTGCAATAATTATGACGCACCCTGTAGAAGCAGGATTAAGGTATTTTTCTGAGTTGATAAGTTTTAGAGAACGCAAACAAACCCTAATTGAGTCTAGACTCATTTCAACAGCTTTAAAAGACTTGGATTGATCTTTTTGTTATAGATTCAGTACCAAAAGGTGACTCAATCGATGCCATTTCTTCAATCAATCTCCTCTCTTCTCCTCTCCTCTCCTCTCCACCAATTTTACATGAATAAGATCTCTTTCTTTCCCTTTCCTCTTCCAATCCTTTCTTTTCTTTTCTTTCTTTCCTTTCTTTCTTTTCTTTCTTTTCCTTTCTTTTCTTTTTTCCATTCAATCCTCGATACGATCGAGGGATTTTCCTCATTTTTCCCTTTTCAATAGACTAAACTCAGACGTTTTCTTTTGTCAGATTTTGTCTTTTTTTTCCGAAATCTCTTTTCACCCTTTGCTAAACATTTATTGACGAATTACCGTAAACACTGTAATAGTACCCCACCCTCATAATGACGGTGCGGAGTGTTGCGTAGTCTAGCTTTGAACGCGTTTTTCTCGACACTGGTTTATGCTACAATGCGCGCTTAGGTATCAAAAAATAGCCCTGAATTTCAGCTATTTTTTTGATACCTAAGCGCGCATTGTAGCTTAAGCCAGTGTCGAGAAAAACTCGTTCAAAGCTAGACTACGCAACACTCCGCGCCGTCATTATCTTTGGTATCAAAAAATAGCCCTGAATTTCAGCTATTTTTTGATACCAAAGACGCATTTTTTGAAAGTACGGGTGCTTTGAAAAAAATGAAATACCAAAAAAACTTTTGCGACTTGCGACTACGCGAATGTACGGGTGGGGTCCAATTACAGTATTTACGGTAGCTGCTTTTCAGTCTTGCAAATGATGTCATTTTGTAAAGTAATGACAGGGGTTACCGGATTTGAATCCGTTCGCTATCTATATTTCGAGATTTTCATACTTTTCTGAGTATAGCTTTGTATGAAAGAGAAAAAAAACTCAAATTTCTCATTCGTTCTCTTCTCAATTCCTCTTTCGTTTCTTGTCCTTTCTTTTATTCATCTCATCGTCATTTTCATTTGACGTTTTTCGGAGATTTCTCTATCTTTAAGATTTGAGATCCAAAAATCTCTTCGAAAATTAAAAAATGATCGATCTCTCGCGAAAAAATTTGACAAATAAACACGGAAAACACGTTTCCCAAAAACGCAATAACATTCGTGATAACTGTTTACATTAAAGAATCCTTTTCAGTGACAATTTGATGACTTTCAAAATATGAAAACAGGATAGAAGAAATGCCCAATTTCTTTCTGCGTCAAATGCCATCGTCTTTTGAGTTGAAAAGAACTTTGATAATAATGAAATGCCAATTCACTAGCTACATGTTCAATTCAACATTTATGCCCCGAGTTTTATTGTCAAAGAATATTGCCTACTAACAAAAGAGGCCATGAAAGGCAGGTTCTCGACCCCGCCCCTTTTGCCATTGGCAATCTAACTTTAAACTCAAATTTCTTGGCGTTCGGCTGTTCAATTGAAATAGTTTTTGTACCAATCGATAGAGAAAGACTTGGCAAATCTAATGATACCAAGGATATTTAAATTCCACAGCCCAACACCGAGATACTTGAGTTCAAAGTTTGTGAAATGAGTGGGCGGGACTTACATTGCCAATTGCCTCGCCCAAGACCCTTAGAAGGCCATTTTTTGTTGGTAGTTAATATTTTACTAAATCAAGGGGTTTAAAAATAGGGAAAAGTCGAAAATCGCAACTTTTAAAGCTCATGAAACGCTCAAGCTGAATTTGCGACTCTCTGGGATCTGCTTTGCGCACAAAGTTGGCAAAATTGAATTGAATTTTCAATTGAAGCAAAGTCTGAATTGGAGTCTTTACGGAAAAGTCATTTCTCTACTGAAGATTTGTCGCTTTGATGTTGATTCCACAGTATATTCGGCATAAGCATTCAACTCAACATCTAGTCGACAATGAGAATGTGAGTGCTCAAGATATCTTTCCTTTGACGGACCTCAATCTCTCACTGGGAGTGAATCCAGGATCGAGGTTAAACGTTGATTAAACGTTACTCCAATCAATCAACACACTAGGCTTTTAATGTAATTTATTCTTCATTCGCTACAACTTGTGTTCAATAAGTTTACTGTGTGTCGTTTCGTCAATTGGACATGTTCCGTTGTCACTTTTTCGTGCTTACATGCTTAAATATTGATATACCTCCGCTGTTGCTCCCCAGCAAAAAAAATTTTTGAAACAAAAAGCATTGGGGCAAGAGGAGGCGAAACCCTCTCTCTTCCGTTCGTTTGAAAGACGCACACGTTAACTACTCGGCCATGCTCTGGTAGATGGCGCAGTGCGAGCGCAGTTGTCTCTAGCCCACTGTCTCTGTCTCTAGCCCTAGACCCGGGATCGACTCCCGCCTGCGTTGGTACTTTTGATTTTTTAAAAATTTAAGAACATGCTGCAGAATTACAGGAAATTCTAAGCCTTTGAAACCATTTGAAACGGCCAACTGGACGCGGAGGAGTAGCGCGCACAGACAGACATACGTCTTAATCCCTTTATATATAGTAGATTATTATCTTCTTGGGGAATTCTGCTTGCTGTGTTAGATGGAGATTCACATATCTCAATCAATCCATTTCATCATCAATCTTATTGACTCATTCTTAATTTGTGCATTTCTTGTCCATCCTTTCCCCCTCATTTCTCCCTATTTCCCCCACTTTGGACATTCCTCCATTCTTCAAGGTCACATTTCACCATTTCACCTCAAAAACACGAGAGAATTTGAAAAACCGCAAAACACACTTGGTTTTTAAGCCTAGCCTTTGAGTTATTTGTCATTTATTTTTCGAATTCCTTCTTCATTTTGAGTTATCTTTTATAGGAAATGCGGTGGCCACCCTTAATATGGACGCTGTTGTTGGTGAGTTTAAAAATGAAAAGTCAAAAAGCAAAAAAATCCAGTGCTTTGGATAATCTGTTAATATTTTATAATTAAACATTCAAAATTGAAAATTAAAATTAAAAAATTAATTAAAAAGCAAAATCAAAAATTAAAACATTCAATGCAACTTCTTACAAAATCCCGTTTAGCCATCAATTCTCGCACATTTCGACGCGTCGAAGTGCGGCTCACAGAAGAAATGCATCTACGTGCCATCAGGATGCGAGAAGAACAATGTTTGCAAAAATATTTTCAGGTATCAGAAAAGCTATGAAAAACTGAAAGTAATCTACTCAACTATCAAATTTAAGAATGAGTAACGTCTTACGCTTCTAAACATTCTAAACATAAGGTAATTTTAGGGCGTAGAATCGAAATTTTGACATATCAGAGCTTGTGGAAACAAACGGGCGGAGTTATACAAAGCGAAAAATCGACAATTTTCTGTAATTTGATCTAGCCGTTTTGTCTTTCAAATTGGTTCTACACGCTCTGTTATGTCAAAATTTGAATTCGACACCCTCAAATTACCTAGAAAAACAACATTTGGAATAGAAATTGGTTAATATTAGCTTTTTAGAGCTTTTTTAAAACGCGAAAAAAGGTGCGCTAAGGGGCAAGGTGCGCAAATGTCCGTTTGTTTCCACAAGCTCTGATATGTCAAAATTTCGATTCTACGCCCTAAAATTACCTAGAAAAAAAACATTTGGAATAGAAATTGGTTAATATTAGCTTTTTAGAGCTTTTTTAAAACGCGAAAAAAGGTGCGCTAATGAGCAAGGTGCGGAAAAAAAGGTAGCCCGCTCCCCAAATTTGAAATCGAAATCTTACCCAAACCCAAACTGCTAAAGCTTTTAACCGAGAAACACTAATTCTAAATGATTTGCCAAAACGAGAGGAATAACAAGACGATTCGTGGCTGGACTTATAACTAACATACTCTATGAAAAACTGAAAGTAATCTACTCAACTATCAAATTTAAGAATGAGTAAGGTCTTGCGCTTCTAAACATCCAAACATCCAAACATTCTAAACAACTTCTAAACATAAATCGAAATCTTACCCAAATCCAAACTGCTAAAGCTTTTAACCCAGAAACACTAATTCTAAATGATGTGCCAAAACGAGAGGAATAAGAAGAATGGACTTATAACTACTATACTCCATATTAGCCGACACGGGACCAACAAAGCAGAAAGACCCGGAAAAGTACAGAAACTCTAAAAAATTAACAATTAAAAAAAACCACGGAAGGAGGAAGGTCAAAAACAACGAAAGGAGGAGGGAAATTTTTAAAATAAACAGAATTTTCTGATGGGATAGAGAAAGGGGAAAATACACGCGCAAAAGACAGAGCGAAGCGCCGAACGCGGCAACGATTTTTCAAAAGAATAATTTTTTAGGCGGAAAGGGAGACGGTCTCGTCCGTCTTCCGTCCGACTTCCGTCTCGAGTACGGTAGCTTAGGTGTATTTTAGGGGGGTGGGACAAATGCTACCTTTTTTTTGCGCACCCGGTCAAAAGCGCACCTTTTTTTTCGCAACTTAACACTTTTGCGTTAAGTTTTTGCCTTTTAGCCCAAATTTGACGTTAAGTTGCGTAGTTTTTGCGCGTTAAGCGTTAAGTTGCGTAGTTTTTGCCTTTTAGCCCAAATTTGACGTGTCAGCGAGGTCTGATTTGTCGAAATTCGGAATCTACGCACACGATTCCCTTCTGTGGAATCGTAGAAACATTTTTGAAGCTCTATGACCTTTCCTAAGGCCTTTTCCAGCGAAAAAAAGGTCGCTTTTGTCCCACCCCCGTATTTTAGAGTTTAGGGTTGGAAACTTTCCAACCCGTGCTCAAACTGCGGGAATTGGGTCTTTTTTTAAACTAAAACTATCAAAACTATCAAAAACTATCAAAAACTTGACAATCTACTCAGCTATCAAGTTTAAGAATGCATTTTTTTTTCAGCTATAAAACCCTGGATGACGAATTCGTCGAGATCGAGTTGTACAGCACCGAATACACGGCGGGCACAAATTATGTGGCTGTTGGATTTTCGAAAGATGATCTAATGGTCAGTGTTGTTAAAGGAAAAAGTCTGATTGTTTTACTTTGCGCCTCGCTAAACATATCCTTCGCTAAACATACCTTTCTACCCTTTCTAGCCCACGCAATTCCTCAATTCCTTAATCTCCTCAATTCCTCAATTCCTTAATTTCCTCAATTCCTCAACTTCTGACCCCTTTCCCTTGCAGCAACTAGGTTTTATGGAAAGAATTGAGAATTCAGTGAGCCAGAAAGGGTGTGCTTGCGAAAGAAGTTCTTAGAATTCTTAGAATTGAACTGTTTGAGCTTTTCAGGGTGATGACCCAGTCACACAATGTGTTTTCCCAGACGGTGGTGGTCCTGAAGCGCACGCTTCGTACAATTTCGGAAAAAGCAATCAACCTGTGCAGGATCCAGAAGAAAAAGTGAAAGAATTCAAGTTTTTAAGTAATAGATTTTATAGGAAGCCGAGAAAACTCAGATCCAACTACAACACGCGCACAAGGATGACAACAGTATCTATTGCCAAATCCATCAAAAGGTCTCATCAAAAGGAATAGCTGTTAGAAATTAGATTTATAATGGCGTAATCTGTTAGAACGTAATCTGTTAGAAAGACAGATTCTATTAGATCGGACAGAAGCTTCAAAGATCGGACAGAAGCTTCAAAGATCGGATAGAAGCTTCAAAGGTCGGTCAGAAGCTTCAGAGATCGGTCAGAAGCTTCAAAGATCGGACAGAAGCTTCAAAGATCAAACAGAAGCTTAAAGCTCGTACTTTGTTTGGAAAGATAGCTGGTTTAATTCAGCATTCAGTTCACCATTTATCGGGCTTTGAAAAATAGAGTGACAGGCTCTAAGAACGATAGCTTTTGGAGGTATTGAAAGATAAAATGTTCTTCTATGAGAACGACATTTTATAACATAACAACAACGACAACAACAACGTCATTCTCTTAGAAGAATTACGGTACTAGAAGAATCTGGTACTAGGTACTAGGTACTAGAAGAATCTGTACTCAATAAATTAGGTCTGTACTCAATTTTCATTTCAGATCTCATCCGGTTCATCAGCTTTTTTCCCAAATCTCGATCAAGAGCACAAGCTTTTCCTCGTTCGCGGCAAAGCACGGAAACCCGAAAGTTTGTTGACTCAAATGTTGTAGACAGTGAAATAGATTTTTTAAAGTACAATATTTTGAATGGATTTGAATGCATTTCTTTAACAAATACGCGAAAAAGCCATTTTTTATCTTTTAGACAAAACATTGATGAATCAAGAGGAGCACTTGTACCTTTATTGCATTCCTAGTTCTGTAGTTACTGTTGAATTACTTTAGAGCTACTTTAGAGCTACTTTAGAGTTATATGACTACTGTAAGGCTACTTTAGAGCTCCTTAGAGCTACTTTAGAGCTATATGACTACTGTAAGGCTTCTTTAGAGCTACTCTAGGGTTATATGACTACTGCAAGGCTACTTTAGAGCTTCTTTAGAGCTACTTTAGAGCTCCTTAGAGCTACTTTAGGGTTATTTTAGGCTTACTGTAGAATTGTTGTAGTCAAAAACTAGCCAGCTTTGATCCTAAACCCAGCAAGTGCTGTCAAAACTTTTTACGAAATTGATAAAACCAGGAAACACTGGTAAACCGAATGAAACCGAACTATCCATATTGTTGTTAGACATACCGTCAATTTCAGTCTTAACAATTATCAGCAAGCTTTACTGTAACCCTTTCACCATTTCCAGTTCTCGGCATTCACTCACTCGACCCATCATCACCCGATTTCCCGTTCATTTCCGATGAACGCCACAATCTCGCTAAAAGGGAAATCAAGATGAAAGCTGTATCTGAAAATGTAAGGAAAGAAATGACTATGACTGAAAGACTGAGAGACGAAAGACGAAAGACGAAAGATGAAAGACGAAAGACTGAAAGACGAAGACTGAAAATTTCAGCGCACCGACTCAAACTTACCCGATGGAGGCGAGCAATTGATCTCGAAAAAGGGGAAAAGTTGGATGAAAGCTTTCCACGGTGAGTGGATTGGTCAAATAAATTCAAATCCTATAGGCTGGCGTACAAGCTTTCTTATGAAAGCTCTAACCGAGTTAGAGCTTTCATAAGAAAGCTCTAACTCGGTTTTTCGACTCTAACTCCACACCCAATCATTCAATTCCTCTAATTTCAGATTTATATAAGATTTCAAGTTAATTACTATGAGCCAAGTTCAAATTTTTAGCTCAAAAACAAAGTGCTACGCTTTTTATAGCACTTCGAAGTTCAGAGGTAGAAATCAGTGCCGAGTCTGACACAAGAGATCCGTATTGGATCGTCAAATCGTATCTAATATCAAATCGATTTAATATCAAATCTTTGTAACCTAGTTTAATCCAGAAGTCAGTCCTGGCTTCAACTTGGCTCACTAGGGAAAGGCACGGCCTTCCCATAAGCTCCCGGATCACATACATCTTACTAAATCGAGTATGGAGATCAGACGCTGAAGTCAAAATCTACCAAATAAGCTTGCATAGGCGTAAAAATTGAATTGAAATTTAGCTTTAAATTTAGAAGATAAGCTCATCATTTAGAAGATAAGCTTTTGAAGGGCGGCCCATTAAAGAGCGCTTTTCAATCACTGGGTTATGGGCACCGGTTGTCTAATGAATAGTCGACCTCTCGGCCTGTCGATCATGGCCTCTCGATCATGGCCTCTCGATCATGGCCGTCGATGGCCTTCGATTGCCTTGATGGCCTCTCGATCATGGCCTCTCGATCATGGCCTCTCGATCATGGCCTCTCGATCATGGCCTCTCGATCATGGCCTGTCGATCATGGCCTGTCGATCATGGCCTCTCGATCATGGCCTCTCGATCATGGCCTCTCGATCATGGCCTCTCGATCATGGCCTCTCGATCATGGCCTCTCGATCATGGCCTGTCGATCATGGCCTCTCGATCATGGCCTCTCGTCTGGCCTCTCGATCTGGCCTCTCGATCATGGCCTCTCGATCTGGCCTCTCGACAGGCCTCTCGATCATGGCCTCTCGATCATGGCCTCTCGATCATGGCCTCTCGATCATGGCCTCTCGATCATGGCCTCTCGGTCATGGCCTCTCGGTCATGGCCTCTCGGTCATGGCCTCTCGGTCATGGCCTCTCGGTCATGGCCTCTCGGTCATGGCCTCTCGGTCATGGCCTCTCGATCATGGCCTCTCGATCATGGCCTCTCGATCATGGTCTCTCGATCATGGCCTCTCGATCATGGCCTCTCGATCATGGCCTCTCGATCATGGTCTCTCGGTCATGAGATCAGGGTTCAATCCCGCTCTTCTTCCTTTTTTAGATGTAATACTTTACCTTGTAACTATTCAATATAATAAAGCAAAAGGTGAAATGTTAACATATATGAAACGAGGTCACTGGAAAGCTCTTTAAAATGACCAAAAGTCCCATCAAGGCTACAAGAGCCAATTTTTCTCCTAAACCAGAATCTTTTGCTTTTAAGAATTATTCTCAAAAGCAAAAGATCGAGTGCTGCTTTCAGTGAACACAAAATTTTCCAGGAATTCTGATGATTTTCGCGTGGTTGGTTTTCGTGCCAATGGCCGTTTTCGCGGCTCGTTATTTCCGCGATCACTGGCCTGGTTCAGCGCCGAGAGGACTCAAGTGGTGGTTTCATGTTAGTTCTCCAAAATTCTAATAAAGCTTCTCCAAAAACATTACTGTTTCTCATGAGCTTCAAGTTTCTTCTTCTTCTTCTTCATTCTTCGATTTCAGCTTCATCGAACCCTCAACTTCATCGCATTGCTCTTTGTTTTACTCTCAGTATTGTTGATTTTCTGGGCTGAAGAATGGGAATGGAAAGGACCCGTGGCCGGACATTCATCGGAGTCAAATTGGCATGCCGGATCAGTGCACTCATTGGTTAATTCAATATGATTTTCAATTCAATATGATTTTTCTTGAACTTGAGCTTTTCTTGACTTTGAAGCTCTTAATTCCATCAACTCACCGAAACGCTTTCCAGTTGGGCGTCATGGCAGCAATTGTGGCTGTCCTCAACCCATTCATGGCTCTTTTCCGTTGTGCACCCGACACAGGCGCTCGTCCGATCTTCAATTGGACACATCGCACTCTCGGGATCGCCGGTTTTCTTCTAGCAAGTAAAAATTTATCCATTTATTCACTCGAATCTGTGCCACGAATAATTTGGTTCAAATAATACAAAGCACAATTCCTAAGCCCTAAATGTAGGGGGAAAAAGAAGCAAAGAAAAAAGAGACAAAGAAAGAGCCGACGGGATCGAACCCGGGCGGCGGGATTAACCTCCCGACTCAGATACAAGGCTTTTAACCAGTCGGCCATGGTGGCATAAGGGAAGCCCCAATAAAAACCATTTTTCAGTGGCAACTCTATTCATCGCGGCGAATTTCTTCATTGGCCAGTGGTCGGATCCATTTTGGGCGTTGACACTCGTTCTCATTTTCTGGGGATTGCTCGTCGTCGCGGTTTTGTTATTCGAAGTGAGTCATGAGTCAAAAGAGAGCCAAGAATGAATGGCAAAGAGATGAAGTAATAGTAATAGTAAAGAAAAGAAATTTGGCAAATAATTTAGTAGTAAGGGGAATTGAAGCAAGATTGAACTTCAAACCCGACCCTCCGCTTATCACGCAGAAGCTCTACCACTGAGCTATCGGCGCCTGCTTTGCCCAAGATGAAATAGGAAAGACAAAGAAAAAGAAGCCTGATCATGGCTTCTAGAACCGATTTTCTAGGCCAAGTCAAGGCAATTTTTGACGAAATCCAACAATAAGACCAATTCAAAGCCTGGTTTGCCTGGCCGTGGTTTTTGACTTTTTAAAACACCTCTAAACAGTCATAAGTCATAAGCCAAAATTTCAGATCTTAGACTGGATGAAAACGAAAACCGATCACAAAGTGCATCACTTGGAAATGCGAGGACGCGGGAAATATGATGACAATGGACGAATTGTTACCCACACAAAAGTCTTGCATCAAAGGGTGAGACAAGGCGAAACTTTGACTATTTTAGATCATTCTCAAGCCTAGCGTATCCTTTTTAAAACTACATAAAAAGTCCACAATAACACTGTCTCTGAAGAAAGTTATGGACTCATTCAAAAGCCGCCTTTTAACACGTTAGCGAGCGTGTTTTTTCGGAAACTACCGACCATTCCCGAATGTCTTAAATTACAAGAGCCGAAAACTATTTTCACAAGCAATCGCAAACTTTCAGCCAATGCATGGTACGACAATCCTTTGGATTCTCTTCGGACTCATTTCCATCACCATTGCTGTCACACTGTCTGTGTTCATGATCGTTAAACGGATACAGTAATCCAACCAAAAAGTCACTTCTGCCTTCACTTTTCGTTTACTTTGTAGTTGCTTCTTTGTTGCATCTCATTTGCACGGTGCTAATAAATTATTGACTTAGCATTCAAAAACAACAATTTATAGTAACAAAAATAAAAAATTAAGCCTTGGTTTCTTGTTCGGCAGCGAATTCCTTCTTGAGTTTTCCCATGAAAGTCTTCTTCTCCGCAGGGGTTTGGAAACGTCCGTGTCCGAATTTGGAAGAGGTGTCGATCCACTTGAGGTTGATCTTCTCGAAGGCGAAGCGCTTTGTGTGCGTGTAGAGAGATTTGCGGAGGGTGATTGGGCGCTTCTTGGTTCCGAGGCAGCATCCACGAATCATGATGAAATCCTGCTTGACCACTCCGTAGTGAGGGAAGCCTCCCTAAAAAGATACTTTAGTAAGGTTCCAGATAAATTTATACACGTAAACTACCGTAAATACTCTAGTAGGCTCTTCGCCTCCCTACAAGAGGGTCGCATAGTCTAAGTTTACCCTCTGATTTTTGAGATATAACACATATTTTCAGCTTTAACCAACGCTTAGAACAAAATTATTGAAAAATCGGCTTTTTTGCCACTCTTCAATCATTCTTTTTCTAGGAGCTGGTTATTGCTAAAAATCTGTGTTATATCTCAAAAAAATCACCCATCCTCTCTACTTTAATTTGATACCTGAGCGCGCAGAAGTAAAGCGTACTGGCGCTGAGATATGAGCGTTTCTTTGAGTGTAAACTTAGACCACACGACGCTCCTATAGGGAGGGCTTCTCTATTAGAGTGTTTGCGATATTCTCTTCTGGCTCAGTTTTTGGTGTATTTGTTTCCGCACAAGATCTAGGGCCACTACTTTACACATCATTGCCAGAGAAGAAAGAAAATTAATGTCAAAAACCATACCATTGGGTTGATTGTCTTCTCAGAGACATCGAACTCTGTGGCTCCATTGTTCTTGCCCTCTTTGGTCAAGCATGAGCGACCAATGCGGTAGATCTTCTTGTTCATTTCAGTGCGATGATGGTATCCCTTCTGGCCGGCACGAGCAACGGTGAATTGAACGCGAGATGGATGCCAAGCTCCGATACAAGCAACCTAAACAACTAATAAATTAGAATTATTTAATACAACATCACCTTTCGGAGACCCTTGTGAGTCTTTCTGGGAAGCTTCTTGGTGTGCCAACGGCTGGTGACTCCCTTGAATCCGTGTCCCTTGGTGACTCCAATCGTGTCGACGAGTTCGTCCTGTGAGAAAACGCTGTCGACTGGCACTTGCTTCTCGAGGTGTTCACGGGCCCAGTTGACCTGAAATGATTCGTCAGTTTGTCGAGTTTCAGCCTAAGTTTTGTTAGATACAATATTTGCGACTCAGAAGGAAGGCAACATAGACTGATAATGGGATTCCTCACAAGACTAGGAATCAGTCTTTCGTCATCGTCACATTAAATAAAGCAAATAGGAGCTGATTCTACCTTCTCCTCGACGGTTCCTCCATTGACTTGAATCTCGACAATGTGTGCCTTCTTGTCACGCTTCTTCAACAGCTTTTGCTAAAATAAAAGCATTATTGAAATTTTCAGAATCGAATTTATTTTTAGGTAAAACTCGGGCTCAGAAGGAAGGCAACATTGACTGATATGAGAATCCTCACAACTGTAGGCATCAGTCTATCGTCATCGCCCGTTACATTGTTCAAATCTTGACGCTCAACCTATACCTGAGTATGAGCGATGACGCGAATCGTGGTGCAGTATTTCTTCATCTTGTTGAGGTCGGACTCGATCGATTTCTTTCCATCCTCGTCTTGCCACTTCTTGACGTACTTGGTGAAGGCCTTCTTCTTTGACTTGTACCTATATGATAAATAGAGCATTAGCAGCTCCTTTACTCTCATGTCAAAAGACAGCGGAGAGTTATCATAAGGGTTATTGTGCTAAAAGAGAACATGTTATAATGCTCCAAGAGGTTGAATGCTTCATGAAAACCCAGCGTACCAATTCTTGTAGAATCGGCGACGGCAATCCTCGGAAAGGTGCTCGGCCCAGATCGTCTTGAAAGCACGAGGGCCGTGTGGAGTGTCGATGTAGCCGACGACTCCTACGATAACCAATGGTGGAGTCTCGATGATGGTGACGGCTTCGACAACCTCCTTCTTGTTGACCTTTGAGCCAGGCTTATCCACCTAAAATACAAATAGGTCAACAATGGATGCTTTAGTAGTTGGGGCGGGGAGGGGAGGCGGCGAATTTTCCTCCAAATGAGCTGATTTTTTGCACCCAGACTATGCTGAATCGATTGGTGATGGTTTCACACAACATTTCTTAACTTCTAACAACATTAAATGCTCCTATATTTACCCAGGCTTTGGCTCTGCACCTTAGAGGCACGTGGCTCCTAGGCTATCGCTTGATTCTCCTGCGGCTAAGGTGAGTTTCGTACCGGAAGCACGTGGCTTCTAGCTGGAATGAAACTCACCTCATCCGTATAAGAATTAGGCGACATCCTAGAAGCCACGTGCCTCTAAGGTGCGGAGCCAAAGCCTAGGCAAATATAGGCGCCTAAAAAAAATCAGCTCATTTGGGAAAAAATTTGCCCCCGGCCAAAAATGTAATAAAGGATTTTCGTATAAAACGCCGCCACACACTAAGTAAACTATTAAGTGTAGACGAAGGTATTTCAAGAAAATACAAACCACTTAGAAAGCCGAAGTTATAACAAGCAAACAAACTCACATCTCTGACGATGTGCGTCATTCCTGCCTTGAATCCGACGAAAGCGGTGAGATGAACGGGCTTTGAGGCGTCATCCTTGGGGAACGCCTTTATCCTTCCGCGATGAGTCCTTGATCGCTTCTTTGGGACGAATCCCATTGATCCATGGCGCGGTGCAGAGAATTTGCGATGCGACATCTTTTACCCTGAATTAGCAAAAAGTTAATCTGTAAAATAAAAGAAATTTAAAAAAGAAAGCAAAATGGGCATTTGCGTCTGCGAACCCGAGTTTAGGCCGAATGAAAAATGAAAAGATTTCGCCAAAAAAGATTTTAGGCCAACGAAAAGTTACGTCGGGTTACGGTAATTGGTCGCAGTTTAATGGTCACCGAGGGCACGAAATAAAAAAGGCAATACCGCCGATTAACCTTTCGCAGTGTAAATTGCCTCAAAAATTGGAGTCTGGTCAAAGATTATATAAATACTTTATTCAGAAAGAAATAAAGTGCGAAAACGACATGAAAAATGTACTAGATAAAAGATCACAAAGTCACTTAAAATGCAACGAAATAGTCCTCTTAAAATCAGACACGGTGGAGATCAAACGGGGGCATTCCAAACTTTAGTCACACGATTTACGAAAAAAGCTCTAGAGGATTTAGACAAAGTAGATTCGGGATGCAAGATAAAAGAGCCACGCCTAGTCGCCAAAAGCCTCGAGTTTAGTCGAAAAAGATTTTTAAAAAGAGGGTTTTGATGTTTTCCTTTTACAATTTTAAAGCACTCAACCAAATCTATGATAAGACGGCGTTGTTCTAAGGTTTCAAGTGAGAAAAGTTTCTATCTATGTTTATATTGGGCGGAAATTTGAATATTTTGCTATTCTTCAATATTTTGCTAGATATTTTTTAAACTTCTTCCAAATATTCAGATCGATTAGACTTTTTTGCACATAAAAAACCAAAAATCATGTAATTCTTGAAAAACAATGCAAAGAAAGCTTTTATTTCTTTATACGAATATCAATATTTCTTTTTAAAATCACATCTTTTTGCTTTGCGGGGTCGTTGCCATCCTAAAATTGTAGATGAATGAAGAAATAAAAAAAACAACTTTTCATTTGTGCTTTGAACATCTTTGACTGCTGGCAATGTGCTTGAAAGATTCGCGGGACGCAGAGGCGTCGATTTACTCTAAAAACAAACGTTGGACGAGTCAAAAAATAGTTTACAGTAAATACCATGACTTTTTCTATAAATTATTACGTGAAAGTAAAATGAAATGCACCTTTAGCAGTTCACGACGGGAAGTGATAAACTCGCGTTCGCTTTCACTATGCTTGACAAGAATCGGCTCCTAAAATAAAAAAAAATCATCAACAAAATTTTATTTACAACTGCTTATAATTTAATGCTTTCTTTTTTGCAATACTTTTCCTTTAGATCCCCTTTTACATCTTTTTTGGGGCGTCGGGGTTTTAGCCTGAGGCTGACTTTGGAGCATCTTTAGGTTAGACAAATATGTCCAGCCAAACAAATATGCTCTAGCCTTTCACCCAGATCGGCCCAGACCGGCCCAGACCGGCCCAGACCGGCCCAGACTCGACCCAGACCGGCTTTCGGCTGACATTCTTTTTCGTAAGTCAAAACTCTTGAAAAGATGGGTCCCTGATTGGGCTGCGCTGCGCCCCGAGTTGCTGGGAGGGGGGGGGCTAAATTTTATCTAAGAAACAAATTGTTGCATTTAATTTCTACCTCAACCTATCTCAATTTTCTAATCCAATGATTAAAAAAATAGATAAACATTTTCTACCTTTGACGACGATTGTTTTCGGACGCGTTGATACTCGGCAATCTCCGGATCGACATCCTCCCCATTTCTCGGTCGTCGGCACCACAAAAGCGAAATGTTGAAGACAAGGCAGAACAACCAGAAGAAAGCAGCATAGAAGTAGACCTAAAAAGAAAGAAATCAATAAGATACACGCGTCAATGTTGACTAAACAATAATTTTAGCAAGTTGTGCTTAGAAAAATCGTTGAAAGTTGTGATTGTAAGAATCAAAAGAAAACGTACGCCAGAGAGCGGATCGAAGTATGAATAGTTCGGATGATAGGAGTTGCCTAAATAAACATCATTATCATTAGTAAAAGATAATTTAAAGAGATCATGATTTATACAGCAGTAAAAGTTTTGTATGCAGTTGCAGTATCCGCGTAACTTAACGTTAAGCGTAAAATCAAGAAGTACTAATCCATTTAAACTTATACTTGAGTCATCAAAACAACACACCATATCTGTAGGCGTCGTCTTTGTATCGCGAAAGTCCCAATACCATTTGTCAGCCCAGTTGAAGAACAGCCAAATAAAAAATGATGTTTGTTTGCCGGAAACTTCTCCTTTCTACATGTTTTAAATGCAGAATTGTAACCACAATCAAAACTTTTCAAATGCAAATATTTTATATTGATAAAGCAAAAAAAAATTTATCGTAAACTCTAGTACAACTCAACAATAACAATTCATAAATGAAATAAACAACTCAGTTTAATTGTTTTACTTTTTGGTTACCAATACTTTGCTGTTTGACACGGAGCGCTTCCTCGGCAAAAGCAATCTAAATGAAAGGTTTGTCTTGCGAAGTTTTATGGAGTTAGTGTACCGTTTTTATCTTGCATTTTTGTAAGAGTTTGGCTAATTAATTCTATGCGAAATTTCAACATTTCAACAAGGCAAACCTTATTTTGCTTCTTCTCAACACGACGCTCTCTTTGGGCATCTTTCACGGCCAGTTTCCGTAAACGCCTTTCTTCAGCCGTCTCGTTCTTTGGTCTACACTTTTTAGTTAAAATAATGCCTCTTAAAAAGCCACTAACCGAACAGTTGAAACGGTCGAAATGAGACTTTCCCCATCGTCCATTATTTCATCCTCCTCAACCTGTTCGGCTTCGGCTTCTTGTTTTGACAATCGATCAATTCGACGCAAAGCTCTAAACACAACTTTTAAGCAGATTTTAAAGATTCGACTGCTAGAATCAGAATTTAAACTCACTTCTTACTGAGCTTGCCAGGTGGTTCACGTATTTGAGCTGGATGATTGTAGATGTTCGTGTATTGAGAAGCAAATGATTCGCAATCCCACTTCAGACGTTTACTGGCCCCTTCATCAACCTAAAAAAATAATATGATGTAAAAGACTCTTATTTCCTCACCTCAATCATTTCCATTTCGCCGTCATCTTTGCCCTCTTTTGCCCAAGCGCGTAAACGTTTGCGAACATCTTCTTTGGCAAACTAAAATTCAACTTTACTCTGCTTAGGAGATTATTCAAATAAAGAAGTTAGCACCTTCTTGGGATCTGATTACAATATGAATTCCAAATAAAATGCTATAAAAACTACCTCTGAATCGTACTCAGGATCTCCCTTTTGCTTTGAAATCAATCTGATGATCCGTGGATTGTTTGGATCAAGAACACCACGCATACGGGGATCCTAAAATGACACTTTTTACTATAAACAACATTGAACACATATTTGATATTTAAATAAAGCTTACCTCAGGATCAAGACCGCCAAGCTTTTCTGGGCAATAAGCAGCCTCCATGAAGCTGTCGAATCCTTCATCAATATCTCGTTGCAAAGCGGCTAAAAGAATCTTATCAATTTACATGAACTAAAAACTTACGATCGCGATGAACAATTTTGTCCTCCTCTTCTTCATCTTCATCCATATCATCAAACTCCATCGAATACTTAGCACGAGCATTTGACATGTATGCATCCTACAAGTACTTAATAACTATAAAATAAACAAGTCAACCTCTTCATCTTCATCTTCATCGCTATCGTAAGCACCACGAGATTGCGGAAGAGCGAATGAAGACTCAACAGGGCCTCCTAAAACATGATTAGTGTTTAGCAAGAAACGAACTATTTTACCTAGCATTTTAATAAAATCATCGTCCATATCATCCGCATCATCAAACCCATTCAGAACGCGTTCGATTTCGGGGTCAATCGTATCGTCGTTCTTTTTCCCTTTCTTGGAAGGCTCTCCAAAGCCAAGCTCTAAAAGAAATACATTTACCTATGTGTTATCAATGTTAAGTGAATAATAAATTCGGTTCGTTTCTTCTAGGCCGATAACTTTCTCGTTTGTCTTTGGTAATTTAAATATCATCAAGTTCAATAATACTTTGCTGATTTAACTTTAGTTGCATTTTGCTTTTTAAATACCAGCGCAAGACAGAGAAGTGTCACAAATTCTCACCTCCAAAAAGAAAAGATCCAGGTGGCGGCTGAGGCGCGGGTGGAAATGAGTGATCTCGTAATCCAGGGATGTTTGCCGGTACCGCTTCCTCGTCAACACGCACCAGCTGAGCTTTCTAAGAATAAATGATTATACCCATTGTGATTAATAAATGTTTATACTCATGGATGTAAAATACGAAGCTTCTAACCAAATTTTAAAAGCTAATCACAATAACAGCTTACATCCTCGCTTGAGCGCAAGTGTTTCATATAATCATAATCATCGTCGAAGAAGATTCCACATTCATGTTGTTCTTCCAATTGCTCAGCTGTCGGAACAAACCTAAACGAAAATTTGCATTAAATTTAGCCAAATCCAATAACCTTAGCACTTTCATCAAATTCTCACCGTTTTTCCGAAGTAGTCGATAATTCTTCCAAATCATCGGCACCTCCTCCGTGTGTTGGCAAAAGTCGAAAGCGATTTGCGTTCTTCTTGTCCACAAAGCTGCGTTTCTTCGTCTAAGCAGGAAAACAAATCAAATTTCAAGCTAAGAAACGATTACCATTTTGTTTCAGCACGTCTGTCCAAATTTCGAAGGCTTTCCAAACGCCGCTAGGGAAGTTTTACCTGAAAATTTACTAATTACTAAGTGTACATCAACAATCAAATAAATAAAAAAGAGCACGTATCAAAAAGCGAAATTCTAACGATGCAGTGCGTATCAAAGATACATGGCCAAAGTTTGATCGTTATAGCAAATCTAAGATAAAACAGAGAAATTTTTGTCAATTTTAAATGAAAACTAAAAGATTCCTGTGTTTTAATTATGATCAATAGGAAAAGGAATAGATCCTGCAGCGGCAAAAGTAATTTGTTCAAATTCAATGTTCCAGGTTGTGAAAGCTTCTAAAGCATGGTTTTACATCGAAAACTAACAAAATTTCTCTGCTTCTTGCTAGCTTTGCTTAAAAAAATCAAATTCTGGTGGTGTAGTATACGAAAAATCAAATTCTGGTCATATCCCGTTTGAAAAAGCATACTTATACTTATTCCCCGACACGACAGCTAGAAAATCCACCGTTTGGAGGCTTTTCAACCGATTGCAAGAATATATCACAAATCAATGCAAGAAAAGTTGATAAACAGGAACAATTTACAAGCTATTTATAATTTTGAGGCGGCCGCTTTGTCGAGGAAAAATTTGAGCCGTCCGCTTAACGGTTTGACAAGAGCAGCTGGATAGCTTTGTTCACCATCGAGAATGGACTGAAAAGTTCATGATTGGTTATAAAAATTTGCTCTTTACCTTGAGAATATCCGCCTTTTCTTCGCCTGTTATCAGAAAGGCGACGTTTTTCGCATTATTGATAGCCGTGATGCTCAAAGTAACCCGTCTGAAAAGCAGTTCTGAAAGCAATTTTCATTCTAACAACCTTGAAGGTGGCTTTGGGGAATCCTCGACGTGCATCACAGTCATCTCGGGGAGTTTCCAGAGCTACAAAATGATTGCTTATACCTCCCATTGACTCAAATGCTTATGACTTAAATCATTATGACCAACTCACCCTTGAGCTAGGAAACAAACTAGCCGTGTGCCCATCGGGTCCCATTCCCAAAAGCAAAAGATCGAACCGGGGACCTCGAATTCCGATCATTTCTGGCTGCAGTTCGTTGCGCAACTTTGCCTAAGATTCTCGTATACTTCGAAACTTTCAAAACCCAAACATCATATTGACTGGCCGTTTTGCTGAGCGAGTCGAGCATATCCACAGCCACGACATTTTCCTTCAACGCTGGTGGCAATAATTTGATGTATTGTCCTAAAAAGGTATTTGCTTGCTAACTTCCGGGAGTAGCTCCTTTGCATGAAAGTTTTTGCGGAACTGGGTCTTTTGCGCAACTCGCTATAACTTTCTTCTAAATGGGTCAATCTTTATGATTTTAGTGTTATTTTGTAGATCTCAACAAGTGCAACAAAATGACACTAAAATCACATAGATTGGCTCACTTAGAAGAAAATTATGGCGAGTTGCGTTATGGATAAAGTTATGGCGAGTCAATTCACAAACCAGCATTTGAATCCGGATGATCGAGTGAAGCGTACCTTTCATCGACCTTAGAAATAAAGAGATATAAAATGAGAACCAATCTTTACCATAAACAGCCGAATCTTCTTCCAATTCAAACCCTCCATGCTCAACAAGATTGGCACTATCAATTTCGGCATCGATCCGCCCGAGACTCCAATTGAAACGATTCCGTTGACTTGGAGTTCTTTCCGCAAAACCTAGAAATTAAATGCGGTAGGAGCTTTCCTGTATAAACACAGTATCCATTTATCATAGCTAGTATCATAACTATATTAAACAGTTTGACCTTGAATCTATCTACTATAGTTCACCCATATTCATTTTATAATAAGTTCTGTTATTGCAACTGAACAGTTCTCTTGTCATCGTTTAGAATAAAAATTTCTCTGGATATCTGATCATTATCAAAATTGTTACCTCTTCCAAATAAATCTTCAGCATATCGTTGTAGTTTTCGGCCGTCTCGCCGATGAAAACGTTCTCTCGATTCATTTCTAAACTTCGTTTAGAATTTGAGAAAATAATAATAATCCAAAAAAGAATTAAGCAAGAAAGATTCTTTGCTAAAGGATTAAATACTAAAATATTAAAAATTAAATACTAAAAAAAGTTTAAAGTTGTGAGAATTTTATGGCATAAATTATTATAAGCTCGACGGAATTTAAATACCTAGTCTAAGTATAAATTCAATCCAAATAAGCTGACTATCTAATTGCAAGAAAAACTTATCAAAATTGGCATTGCTTATCAAAATCGCAATGCTTATGCAAAATGATGAAGATGAAGATGCAAGATGATGAAGAAATGATAAGGATGCTATTTTTCTCTAGGAAATGGCTATATAGGGTTATATATGCTTAAAGGCTCGAAACTCAGGGTATTCCGTCTTCTAAGCTGAATATCCATAGTTATTGCTTCTACTAGAGTTCTATTGTTATTGCTATTGCTGCGTTTCTATTGGAGGATGCGCTTCTATTAGAACAAATACAGTAACGTTTTCTAAAAATTAAAAGTTAATAAATAAAAAGGGCATTCCAAAATTAAAAGTTAATAAAAAGGCATATTAGCCAATACAAAGCGAAAAAAAGAGCCAGCTGATACAGTACACAAAAGACACCAAAGAGGGGCATGCTTTAAAAAGCAACTCAGAAATTTTAAGGAGGCTAAACGTAAATCAAGTTTTCATCTAAACAAACCATTAAAACATTAAAACGTTATAAATGTTCAAAATTTCTTTTAAAATCAATAGAATTGACTTCAAGGAGTGTAGTTTTTACTTGCAATTATCTCTCCTAAATCTCCCTTTTCCTTTTTTGATCCAAACTACGACAACAAACTCCAATCCACAACCTCGATTTCTATATCGATATCTGGATGTAAGGCAAAAAAAAGGCAACTTAGCGAATCTTATGCTTTTCTTTAGACTTTTTGTTAGTTTTTTTAATTTTTCTGAATTTAATCTATTGTACCTCGATCATTTTGTATAAAAATTCGAATATATTATTTGCCAAATCGTTTACATCTTGCCTACTTAGATCTTAGCTTTTTTAGAGCTAGCATTTTATAGAGCAGCTAGCAATTTCTAGAAAAATCTTTGTTCCACAAGTGCTACAAAGTTTTAGATAAGAAATTGGTGTATTAAAGTGATTCTTTTTGGCTCATTTATTACTCTAAAACCGCTCTCCTAACTCATTTTCTCTTGAACTTTCAAATTTTTTCAAACCTTTTCAATGTTTTACAAATTCAATGAAAATTCAATGAAAATCTTCAAAATACTCAAAATTTCAAATATTGATCAATTTATTTTAGCCACAGTAAAGAAAATTGGCAACGATTTCAGAAGGAAATGCGTGAATGGTTGACTCAAATTTGTTGACGTCGCAACTTCTCGTGAAAATATGTTTTCTACTTTTGATCGTCTTTTTTCTATTGTAAGTTTAGCCACTTAGAGATGGGAATTTCAAAAATCGACGGGGAATTTCACTTATCCATAATTCTATTTACTTTAAGAAAACTTTAGATACTACTTGCTTCAACGCTCTTCTATGAATGAAACAATTGCGAAGACTTTGATTCTAAATAAAGGATTTCCCGAGGTTTGTATGGGGATTTTGAAATAAATGAGCCTGAGATTTTAATTTTAAAATCTATCCAACCCGGTTCAACTTTTCAGAGAATCGTCCATTTGGACCTAAAAGGAGCCCCACTTCGCGTCGATGCCTATCGAGAGCTTTTCCCACTTTTGCATCAAAATGGAGCCACCGGAGTGAGTAACAGTTCTGCATTTAAAAAAAAATTGAAGCCTACCAACTAGTAGCTCTCCTAAAAGCTTAGAAAGCGAACTAATGCAGTTCTAATGCAGTCTAATACATAGTGGAGGTCGTTTAACAGTGTAAAGTGATAATTCTTGCTATTGATATCTAGATTTCACAAGCAGATCACTCAAAGTATATTTCAGCTTCTTATTGAATACGAGGATATGTTCCCATTCACGGGAAGACTCTCAACTCTCGCAAGACGCAATGCTTATTCAAAAGAGGACATTCAACAAATAATACAAGTGAGTAAGAGGATAAATTGGTGTATAAGTCTTTCCAATTTTTTTTTCCAAACGTCTTTTAAAAATAATGCCGCCATCGACAAAATTTCTATTTAAACTATTAAAAAGCTTGATTGTTCCCTCTGCAAAATGGCTTTTGGGAAGTTCTTGAAAATCATTGTTTTTGTGGATTTTCAAAGGCGCAAAGGCGACTTGCGACCTTTTTTCGAGAAAATCCTGGGTTGGCGCTTTAAAGGGTGGTAAAACTATCTCCTAATATGTACATATCTCCTAATATATATGTATAAAAGATAGCACGACTAAAAAGTCACAAAAACAAAGCTCCCTCCATAGAAAATGATAAAAACCACTTAACTTAACATTAGTTGGCATCAAATTCGTGGAGCAGATCGTCGGGAAGCAAGTGGGTCTAAAAAACTTTACAAACAAAGCTTCTGCCACAGGAAATGCTGTTAAAAACGTAACTTAGCTTTATTCTCTTTGTTTTCTGCAAAAACAAAAATGGGAAACACATCAGAAAAACGTAAAAAAATTAAATTAAATGAAGAAAAATGAAAAAATGAAATTTCGCGCTATCTTTTAGGGTTACGGTATTTTTACCACGCTTTAAAGCGCCAACTGAGGATTTTCTCGGAAAAATTTCGCAAGTCAAAGGCGAGCACTCAAAACTGCTCCGATGCCAAAGTCGCAATTTGGGCACTTTCTTCAATAAAAACCTATTTTGGTGTCAAAGTAAAAAAGATAGAGCTTATTTGATTACATAAGTCTGTCAAATTTGAAAACGATCCGTCCAGCGATTTTCTTTAAAATAGCAATTGAAAATTTTATACAAAAATATGGTTTTGTGTCCATTCTACCGTAGGCCTTTTGATGGCGCGTTCTAAAAAGCGCACTTTTCTGTATTTTTGCAAAAATTTCATTCTGGTCAATTTGTTTAGTGTGTATAGCCGGTGTGTCTAGCCGATAAAACTAAAATTACCGACGAGAATGTGCACAAAAGGGCATTTTGTGGGTGGAGCGCTAAAAAGCGCAATGGAATGAAGCTTTTTGAAAAGCGGAGGTACAAAATGCCTTTTGATTGACAAGGAAAGGTCAACTGGCTGAGCCGGTCAAATGCTATGCGACCTATACCATTCGACGCAGAATTTTATGCTGACTCCGATTCTATGTTCCGTTTTTGCCAAATGACAATTTGCTAGGTTATAAGCGTTTAAACTTTTGTTAGGTCTCTGAAAATGTGGTCATTTGGGTCTTAGCAGCGTCCTTGCCCCAGACAGTGCAGCTGTGGCCCAGTGGTACAGCTTTCCAGAGCGAGACCTCACAAATTCCATCCCCACTTTGGATTTTTCTTTTTCTTGTTTTCAAGAAGTGCTGACTAATAGACATGGTTATCTGATCCAATCGGATCGGCCTTGATCGCATCGGATCAAGATCGATCCAATAGATCCGACCGATCGATCTAGCCCGATCCGGTCCGATAGGTCCGACAGGTCCGACCAATCGGGCTAGCCCGATCCGACCCGGTTTTGCCAAAAACCATGTCTACTGACTAGTGTTCTTTCTGCGCGCGCACAACAAATTTCTTGTTGTCACACTTGTTGTCAGTTAAGGCGAGCTTTGAGCTTTCTCTCAAAGCCATTTTGTAGAAAAATCATAGATCTTTTTAATAGTTTAAGAAGCAACAAATTTGATAAAGAATTCTTTTCCATGGAAACAAAAATTTGAAAATATTATAAAGACTTATGCATCAACCTGTTATCAAAACCAGTTTCAGCTATCGACCTCCTCGAATCTCGAAGTGATTCCTTTAGTGCAAACATTCGGTCATCTCGAATTCGTCCTTAAACAGCCGCCATTCACGAAACTTTCCGAAAATGCTTTAGAAGTGAGTTTTATCTTCTTACTTGATATCAGTTCCAAACATTTACCTAGAATTTTCAGCTGAACACGATTTGCATCTCGAATAACGAGAGCTGGACGGTGATTACAGAGATGATCGATCAGGTTTGAGGCTAAAGATCTATCTATTTTGTTTAGTGTTCAAGTAATGATAGTGAATGGAAAGAATCCTTTTGCAGATTCGTTCCCTTCACCAATCATCCACGAGAATTCATATCGGCGCCGATGAAGCCTATCATGTGGGCGAAGATGCGATCTGTCGGGAAAAATTGAAGAAAACTTTCGATGAGCACAAGGATTCGATGGGAGTTGCGCATATAGCCAGGCGAGTAGTTTAAAGATATTAAAATGAGTTTAAAATGTGACTTTAAAGTGTTGCCTAAAGTTAGAAATCGTTAAGACTTTCAATAGCCACAACAGGCAAAACTTACAGGCTACTGCATATGTACCATTGCGTTTCATGCATCTTTTTGACTTTCTAAGACAATACATTAACCTAAGCTGAAAAACAAGAATTAATCATAAAATCTGGGCGTATTTTTACCTAAAATAGAAGAACCGTAATATTTTAATGACTTTGACAACCCTGACTGAGCAGTACAAAAAATGCTATGCGGTACGCTGCTGAAAAAAAAGTGAAATTCAAGTTTGGGGTCTCTAAAAAGGCTCTTTTTCGTCTTTTTCTTTATTCATCCGTTTTTAGAGTTAATTACTATAAAATGAGTGCTTTTTGAGCTCCATTTTTGTAAATGCGAGCTAACAAGTCAAAAATGGCCACATTTTTGACAAATTCAATTTTTCGAGAGCAACAATCACGTTTAAAGTCTTATTCGAAAAGACTGAAGTTTAAATTTTTACACAAACTCATGAATCTAGTGAAAAAATGTCCGTAGATTTAAATATCCAAACAAAAAACTGTCAACTCTTTTGGCTTTTGAGAAAATCATCCTTTTGTGGAGCGGAACACTATGTATGTCGCACCCTGTAGTGCTTTTTAAGTGCTAAACCGGATCAAGATGATACTAAAATCTTATCGTTAAACTATGAGAAATCTGAAGACTTTTCGATATAAACAGCCTATAACATCTGCAAGGGTTTTGGTGACTTTGGGGATTTTCTAATTCTAACACTGCCCCAACTGGCATTTCTCTCAAACTTGACAATTCATTTTTCTCCGGTTTTATAAGCAAATTAATTTCACAACAAATTCTACAAAAGAGATTCACAGTTTATTTTGCAATAAAATCAACAATTATTGAAAAACATAATATTAAATGAGATCACTTGGTAAATTGGATGACGGTTGCTTTCGATTAGTCGACCTCTTCGATGGTTGGTCCTCCAGCTCCAGCTGCACCTCCGGGGGCTCCTCCTGGGGCACCTAAAAAAAAGATATTATTTTAATCTCATCTCAATAGTTTGAGCCATAACCTCCTGGAGCTCCACCAGCTTGTTGATAAAGACGTGTGATGATGGGGTTGCAGATTGATTCGAGCTCCTTTTGATGATGTTCGAACTCTTCTTTCTCAGCTGTTTGGTTGGAGTCGAGCCATTTCAAGACCTCATCGCACTTTGATTCGATCTTCTGACGATCCTCAGCGGAGAGCTTCGATTTCATTTGTTCATCGTCGATCGTTTGTTTGATGTTGAAAGCGTACGACTCAAGTCCATTCTTAGCTCCAATGCGATCCTTTTGAGCTTCATCATCTGCCTTGTATTTCTCCGCTTCTTGCACCATTCGATCGATCTCTTCCTAAATTTAAATCGTTAATAATTCGATTAAGTGTAAGTATCGAATATTAATCGTCACATTAGTTGCGAAAGCTAAAGTATCTTACATAAAATATAGTAAACTTCAAACCTTTGACAAACGTCCTTTATCGTTTGTGATGGTGATCTTGTTCGCCTTTCCTGTTGACTTGTCCGTGGCAGAGACATTGAGAATTCCGTTCGCATCGATGTCGAAGGTGACCTCGATTTGAGGCACTCCACGTGGTGCAGGTGGGATTCCAGAGAGCTCGAACTTTCCCAGCAAGTTGTTGTCCTTGGTCATAGCACGCTCTCCTTCGTAAACCTAAACATTTCAATTAGTCAAACAGTAAAATTGGTGCACACCTGAATGAGCACTCCAGGCTGATTGTCCGCATAAGTGCTGAAGACTTGCGATGTTTTGGTTGGGATGGTCGTGTTTCTCTTGATGAGAGACGTCATCACTCCTCCAGCAGTCTCGATTCCCAAAGAGAGAGGGGCAACGTCAAGAAGGAGAAGGTCTTGTACAGTCTCAGACTTGTCACCGGAAAGGATTGCAGCCTAAACAAAGCGCTTTAAGATCTAATAAGTCTTCAAATCAAAGTAATAAGACTTCTTACCTGAACAGCAGCTCCATAAGCGACAGCCTCATCGGGGTTGATCGATTTGTTCAGTTCTTTGCCAGAGAAGAAGTCGGAGAGCAGCTTTTGAACCTTTGGAATACGAGTCGATCCTCCAACCAAGACAATTTCATGGATAGAAGACTTGTCCATCTTGGCATCACGAAGAGCCTAAAATAAAAAAATGAGGCAAGATTTTACCCTTTTAACTTCTAAATAGAATCAGCATTACCTTCTCAACAGGGTCCATGGTGGAACGGAAGAGGTCGGCGCAGAGTTCTTCAAAGCGGGCACGAGTGATGTTGGTGTAGAAGTCAATTCCCTCAAAGAGTGAGTCTATCTCGATCGAAGCTTGGGACGACGAGGAGAGGGTTCTCTTTGCTCTCTCGCATGCAGTTCGGAGACGACGGAGAGCCCTTGGGTTGGAAGACAAGTCCTTCTTGTGTTTTCGCTTGAACTCAGCGATGAAGTGATCCACCATCCGGTTGTCAAAGTCCTAAAACAAAAATGTTTATCATTTCCAAAGGAAATTTTATACCTCTCCTCCGAGATGAGTGTCTCCAGCAGTAGACTTGACTTCGAAGATTCCGTCTTCAAGTTTTAGGATCGACACATCGAAGGTACCACCTCCAAGATCGAAGATGAGAACGGTTCGTTCGCCAGAGGCCTTCTTGTCCAATCCATAAGCGATGGCGGCAGCAGTGGGCTCATTGACGATTCGGAGCACGTTCAATCCAGCAATGGCACCAGCATCCTTTGTGGCCTAAAAATTTGATAAATAAACAAGAGAAACCATATCTTTTACTTGTCGTTGAGAGTCGTTGAAGTAAGCTGGAACGGTGACGACGGCATTATTAACTGATTGTCCAAGGAAGGCTTCGGCGGTTTCTTTCATCTTGATGAGCACCATCGACGAGATCTCTTCGGGAGTGAAGGTCTTGTTTTCTCCCTTGTATTCGACTTCAATCTTTGGCTTTCCGCCTTCGGCTGAGACGACTTTGAAGGGCCAGTGCTTCATATCCGATTGAACAGCTGAGTCGTCAAATTTGCGACCGATGAGACGTTTTGCATCTAAATCGACATCGTTAGTACATTCAAGAGATTTTTAAAACAAAAAACTAACCAAAGACAGTGTTGTGCGGGTTCATCGCCACTTGATTCTTGGCGGCATCACCAATTAAACGTTCCGACTCCGTGAAAGCGACGTACGAGGGAGTAGTTCGGTTTCCTAAAATGCAAAAAGATTGATTGGGTCTTTTCTGCCCTTAGAAGGGGCGGATGAGGAACAGGGAGCGACGCTTTTGCCACCTCTGATCTAGGGTAACTCCTTATCATTTCTATTCAACCAATGTCGGTAATTAATAGGTTGATGCAAAAGTCTTTTCGTTTTTTTCGTACTTCTGTTAAAAAGTAACAAATTCACCAATTAATCTATAGTTTGCTCTATAAAAAAAGTGTTTTTTTGTTCAATTTGCATCTTTTTAAATCAATTTCGGTTCACTTTCAAGCAAATTCGAGAGTGAAAAACGCCTTTTTCGTAAAAATCTATAAAAAACTCTACGGAAAAATTGGCTGAATGAATTTCTCTGAAATTTTGGCGAAATATCAAACTTTTTTTTCTCTATCTTTTATCTATTGACACGAAGATAGGTTTTCTTTAGCTAAGGTGTCTAAACCGCATCATCGAGTTAGCCCTTTTTGACTACCCGACTTCATACTCTCAAGAAAATCCAGGCATAAAATATTTTTAAACCCGTTTTAATGTTATTTTGCAGAAAAATAATTGGTTTTTCTAATGAAATCAACCGTAGTTTAATTGGTGCATTTGTTGGCTTGAAACGGCAGACGAAAAGGAACAAAAAGACTTATGCATCAACCTAATAGATTAACTAAAAAATAAATCAAATAAAATAAAGTTTGACTTGCTTTAAAAGCATTTTGACTCAAGTAAATAAAGTTTACCTTGATCGTTGGCAATGATTTCCACTTTGCCGTGCATGAAGACTCCGACACATGAGTAGGTGGTTCCAAGATCGATTCCAATAGCGTTTGTTTTAGTCATTTTGTTTGATTGATTGTAAAGTTGATTGTACAACTATCTGTAAATAAAAAAGTAAATCTACAAAGATCGAATTCCAATAGCGTTTGAAATGAAACAAATGAATAAAAGGGTCGGTTTGCTTAAATAGCGCGCAGATGGGTCTAGAATAGAAAGTGCGCTCATTTGGGCAATTTTTTATACGACAAGCTTCCAAAATTGAACGAAATCAATCTTAGTCTTGGATAATCTTAGCCGTTCGATAAAAACTAGCAAATCTACGCATTAGCAACAAAAATACGATACGAGATGAAGAAAAAAAGTGAATTTTCGTCGCGCACTTACGTTAAATAGAGCTTGGCAATGCTACGGTATAGTTGAAGTGCATTATAAAGTGCCAAATTTCCGAGTGCATTTTAGAAAGTAGCAAATCTTCATTTTGCAATTTTTGCTGTTAGTCGTACGTAGTTTTGTCTTTTTTTTGTACTCATTAGGTCTGGAATATCTGAACTAAGACTTTACTTACCATTTGATCTTTAAGAGTGGCTAAACACGCGCACAATGTCGGTTTCTCAACAGTTTTCGCCTGGAATGACATGTTCGAGAAGACCGATCCACAAGTGCTCAAGGTAAAAAGTTTCGATAGACAGCTCAAGATTTCGATAGACAAAACCTCAACCTTACAATCCAGTTTCACAATCTTCACTCACTGATCACCCCCGTCGTTTGGGGATACAAAGAAGATGTGACAGTTGAGGGATATTTCTCGGAAGGACTCTTTGATCGATTGAATACGGTAAGCAAACTTTTGCAAGTACTGTAGATCTATAAATTAACTGATAATTCAATCTCCAGACACGGAAAAATAGCATCTGCTTTCAGGTTTTCCCCTCCATCTATTTCGCGACCGCATTCAAAGGCGCCAATGGAATCAAGCAATCATTCAGCAACATTAATCGATATCTTTCCACTCATCAAAGTTACAATCGATTATTGAAAGGAGCCGCGGAAGTAAGTTGAAAGAACAGCCTAAGCAAGCTGAAAGAAAAGCCTAAGCAAGCTGAAAGAGCAGAGATAAAGTTTAGCAAAGGACAATTGATCAAAGGCTTCAAACAAAACTTGTTATCGATTATATTTCAACTTTCAGATTGTCTCCAACAAAACGGCGGGCATTTTCGTGACTGGTTGGTCTCGTTATTCCCACCATCGTCCTCTCTGTGAGCTTCTTCCCACCTCACTTCCATCACTTTTCATGTCATTAATCTATTTACAAGATCCACAGATCCCTGCCTCAAAAGTGCATAAACGATTGAAGGTTGGGTTTCGAGAGGTTTACGAATAGCTTCGCGAACAGCGAATAGCGAATAGCTAAATTACAGCCGAACTCATTCCGAATATTGTTTTAAGTTTAGTTCGAAGAAAAGAACATCACTTTCAAAGAATTAAAATGAAAATGATTTCAATTGTAGAAATCAAACGATAAATGAAGATACTGGAATTGAAATCTAACACCGCTAATCAGAATTCACTCAAAATGTTGATGATTTTTAAATTACAGCGTCTCCTCAACTGTAAAGAGGCTGAGATGCGGCGGGCAGCAAGGGAATTTCAACTCAATCACACTGAGATCTACTATCCACCGATTGAGACAGAGTACTCGACATGTCACTTTCTATGGGCACCCATTCATAAAGAGGTTTGTGATCAGGGGAAACTCGATTCAAACTAACAAGTGATGGCCGATAAACCTGCTCTCAACTAACAAGTGATGGTCAATAAACGCAGCTCACCAAATGAAATGAGCTATAGACCATTCGACGCAGAATTTTACGATGATTCCGAATATTCGTTGTTGCAAAATGATTCTGAATCGAGCGCAATTTGACAAACAAACCAAACAAACAACAAGTTTTTGGTCTCTCTTTAGAGAGAGCAAAAACTTGCTATTTGTTTCCGGGCTTCCGCGCGCAGCACGTGAAGATGTCTGCGTGGTGTAGTGGATAGTAGATTAGGACACGGAGTACCTCTCGAGCGTTCGGATCCCCTCACTGCTTCCTTTTTGTTTTTTTTGTAAACACTTTTTATGGTGTCTCTCATAGCTACAAGTCTCTCCTATATATCACGAATTTATTCAGATATTCGGCATCAGCGTAAAATTCTGCGTCAGATCATCTATGGTTCATTTTATTTAATGAGCTGGGTCTGTTGACCATCCCTTGTAAATAAAGCTACAATCAATCTTTTACCTAACTCCTTTTGCACCTGATAAAGAGTACTTTGTGCTCGAATTTGTCAACGTACGTTTCCTAGTGCACTGAATTTTGCATTTTCTCATGAAATCAAAGCGCTGCTATGAGAAAAATGAAGAATTCAGCGTCAGAAGGCTTTTGACAGGATTGAGAACAAAGCACAGAAGTACTTTACAAGCCGAGAAGATAATTTGTTAGAACATTAGGAAAACACTAGACTAAACTAAATTAAACCCTAGACCAGTGTACTTTGAGCTCAAATCTCTAAGCCCAAGCTATCTGGCATACTGAAATCATCATTTTCCTACGATACAAATCGTTCCTGTGAGAAAAATGAAGAATCAAGTGTGCCGGAAAGGGTATGTTTACAGAAATTGAGCACAAAGTAGACTCTATTTATAAAAAATGAAAGCTTGTACTTAGCTTTTATTCTCTTCCAGCTAGAGGACCTTCGTTTCTTGACTTGGTTATCTCATCGGGTTTCCTCAATGGACAAAAAGACGCGAAAAGAATTGAGAGAAAAACTTGAGAGAAACGAAAAAGAGGTATTATCCCAAAATCTAAACTTAATTTGACCTTTTTTTGAAGTAAAAATTCCAGCTTCGATCTCAACTTTCACCAATATTTTTCGACGAAACGATTGATGAGTTCATTGCGGGCAATTTTGATCCGTTGAAGAGGAGAATCGAGAAGAAAACGATTAAAATGAACTCGAATATTATTAATACAAAGTGATAATCAAATTATCTTATTTGTATCATTGCCATAATGGTTATCGGAGATTTGATCCGCGTCCCGTCCGTTTTCCATTGGCAATCAAACTTTGAGCTAAAATATCTCGGTGTTGGGTTATTCAATTTCAATACTTTTTATACCAATCGACAGAGAAAGATTTTGCACATCTAATGACTACAAGAATATTTAAATTGAACAATCCAAAGTCAAGATATTTGAGTCCAAAGCTGGATTGCCAATGGCGAAGGGGGGCGGAGCATGCCCCGCCTTTTATACGCGCCCTGCCCCTTTTGCCATTGGCAATCTAACTTTGAGCTCAAATATCTTGGTGTTGGGCGGTTTAATTTAAATAATTTTTTGTACCATTCGACAGAGAAAGACTTGGCGCATCCAATAATACCAAGAATATTGAAATTGAATAACCCAACGCCGAGAAATTTGAGTTCAAAGTTTGATTGCCAATGGAAAACGGGTGGGACACAGATCAAATGTCTCACAATCTACCATAATAACCCGCACCCGCCTTTGTATACTTAGCTCCAAAAGCTCCGAATACTTAGCTCCAAAACTTCAATGAGCTATTCCAACTGATCAACTGATTTTTCTGGGTAGGCAAGCTTGGCTTCGTCGTCAGCATGGCCTAACATGCCGCTAAGAAAACCTGGACTTGATTTACAGATCCTAGATCCATTGGAACATCTCTAGTCAATAGTACTCTCCACAATTTACAAGCAAATCCTACTAGAGTCCAGGGTTTAACTCTAAGTCCGGTTTACTGTGATTTACGGCTAATTTACACCCATTTCACCCCAAGTCACGCAAAGATTTTCCAAGCTCAAAGCTTCAACGTTCTGCTAGTGCCAAGTGCTGTAAGCCTGGGCTAATCTTGTTGGTTTGACTTGCCCTCGTCTGGCTACAACATGATTGGAAATTCTTGCCGACAATTTGAAGTGTTTCACTTTTTCAGCCTCAATTTTTTGAGTATTCACTCAACTCTATAATAATAGATTTTAAAATAATAGACTCTATAATAACTCAGCTGAATTCACAATTTATAATATTCCATTGTAGGCAAAAAGCCTTCCTTTACTTCCTTTACTCCCTTTACTTTCTTTACTCCCAAATCGTCCCATTTACCTGTGATTTGCATGAAATGCAGTTTCTATCTACTGAATGTACAATGATTCTCTATATATTGGGTTGGGGAGAATGAGTCGGCGCCGAAAATGAAAAAAATGTCTAAAACTTCAATTCGACTTCGTCAAATAATATGCGTTTGATATGAGTAGAATGGTTAACTAATTCTCTACAAAATGACATTTAAAAGAAAATTCAAACAGCGCCTCCGCTCAAGAAAAAGCCATTTTTTCACAAAAACTACAAACTGTGATCTAGAAAAAACCATTGGTGGGTCTTCCTGCAAATTTGGCACCTTAGTAATTGTGTGCTCTATCTTTTATATAAACACCAAAGAAGGTTTATGTGAAAGAAACTGTTCAAATGATGGTCGGACCTTTGCCATTTTAACCAGCTGGTTTGGAAGTTCATAACTCCACGAAAGAAAAGCTTTGTGGAATCTCTCAAAAGTAATTTTGTAGAGAAATAGTGGATCCTTTTGATTAAACCAAACGTATGTTTAAAGAAGGCTTTATGTGTGCAAAAAGTCCCTTTAAAGTTCGGCGCCGACTCATTCTCCCCAACCCAATAGTACCATAATTTTGTGATCAAATTTGCATTTATCCAATCTTTCTTTTAACAATTTGGTGCTTTTGCGGTTTTACGGGAGTCGGTGCCTTTTAAAATACTGCAAATAAATACTGCAAATGTCATTTCAAAAAGAAATTGTAATTTATTGGGTAAATGAACCGATATTTCACAAGTTCTGCCAAGAATTTTTTGTTTCAAATCAATTTTATAGATGATCAAAGCGATTCTCGTTTTCAACAATCACGGGAAACCTCGTCTACTCAAATTCTATCAACACTACGTGAGTGGGACTTTCAAAACAGTTTTGCTACTGTAACTGTTTTGCTACGGTAACTGTTTTGCTAATCCAGCTGAAAAATCGTAGACTTGTAGGGATCAATCCAGTCAATTAAATCTTTAAATATTTGATTTATATAGTACTGAATCTGTGAGCTATATAGTCTATTATCCGCTTATCGTAGCGGATACGAGCGGATCGTAGCGGACTCAAAAATAGCACCAAAGATATCAAGAAATCCAGTCAATGGCGAGCTTATCCAGTCAATTTCAATATTTCAATTAGATCCATGTATCTGACACCAATTTTAGCTCTAGCTAGAGAGCTAAAACTGGCTTTAAAAGGTGCGTTTGTAGTTCTTGCTTTAAAAGGCTTCTTCCTAGAGGGGAAAAGATGCATTTGTGGCCTAGTGGATAACGCATTAGACTTCCGCGTAGGATCAGGGTTCGATCCCTCCTGATCTCTGGTGCGTATTGACAGTATAGTGAGAGACACCAAATTTTCGATTCAAGTTTTACACGCCTGGAAAATCATTTGGGAGATTTTGATTTCAGATTCGGATTCCTCATTCTCCTTCAGATTCGGATTCTATTCAATATAAAGTGTACTAGGAAATCCCAAAAAGTAGCACTGACTAGTGAGTCTGATACTTGATCACTGTTACCTGTTAAATGTACTGGAGCCAGTACCAGTGCTGGAGCCAGTACCAGATTAGACAAAATATCTGATATCAGTAGGCACAGCCAGTCAAAACTCAACACCAGCTTCGATAAGAGAACCAAAATTTCAGAGCGAAGAGCAACAACAGCAAATCGTTCGCGAGACTTTCCAACTTGTCTCCAAACGTGACGACAATGTGTGCAATTTCCTGGAGGGTACGGTGAATTGATTGAAAAACTGAAACCAACAGGAATCATTTAAAAAACTGAATCCAACAGGGTTACGGTAGAAGAAAAAGCCCAGTTTTTGCATATTTCGTCAGAATCGACTTTACTTTTTGTAAATTCAAGGATCTGCAAATCTGCAAGTCTGCAATCACAAGCAATCAAGTACATTGATATAAATGCAATTTCCCAGGCGGTACACTAATCGGCGGGAATGATTACCGTTTAATCTATCGGCACTACGCGACACTCTATTTCATCTTTTGTGTCGACAGTTCGGAGAGCGAATTGGGAATTCTCGATTTGATTCAGGTTAAAGAACTGGAAATCTGAAATCATCAAAATCCCCAACAAATCGCAGGTTTTCGTTGAAACACTCGATCGTTGCTTCGAAAATGTTTGCGAGCTCGATTTGATCTTTCACGTGGACAAGGTAAATCAATCAAATCAGTCAAATCAGTCAAGTCAAAGGGTCAAAACAAATCGTTTACGGGCAACTTGCTGTATTCCTTTGATGTTCTGTCTGCTCTGTCCTTTCAAAGTGTCCTTTCAAAAGCTTCTTATTCCACAAAAGTTCTTATTCTTATTTCTTATTTCTTATTTCTTATTCCACAGGTGCATCACATTCTCGGCGAATTGGTTATGGGCGGAATGGTTTTGGAGACAAATATGAGCGAGATTCTACTCCGAATACAAGAACAAGAGAAATTGGAGAAACAAGAGGTTTGTTCGCAACAGTTTTGCTCAAAACTTGTTTTATGATGTGCATTGTGCTCGGAAAAGTACGGAAACACACCAATTCATTGTACTCAATTCATTTTGTGCAAAAACTTTTGCTAGAAATGAAGAATTCAGTGCCTAGAAAGGCACTCGAAAGAAAAAAAACGATGCGTTTCCATTTTTAGACATAAAGTATGCCCAACTCCAAGATAAATCCAAGATAATTATCAATCTTTTCTTCAGCCGAAATCCATTTACAGGCGGGCATCTCGGCTGCTCCAGCTCGTGCTGTTTCCGCTGTCAAAAGTATGAATCTTCCTCAGCAAATCAAAGATCTCAAGCTGCCCGATTTGCCTGGTTTGAGCAATTTGAAGAACGCTTTCTGAAATGATTCCCTTTCTGCGATTTGATCTCTCTTTAAATTGTGATACGTATGAACTATCTTGATCGCATTTTCACGACTTTTCTTTCTGTATTTACTGTAATAAAGTATTGAGGCGTTGAATAATTGCCTCAATAAGGCGTTGAATGATTTGGTCGAATCCATGAAAACATCGTCATCTAGCACAGATTCAATAGTTCAAATCGGATCCTTTCGTTCAATCGGATCCTTTCGTTCAATCGGATCCTTTCGTTCAAATCGGATCCTTTCGTTCAAATCGTAGCTATCACTATTCCAAATATCGATATCGATAAGAAAGTGTTTCATCACTTACGTCCGGCCAATTCTTGAATAGGCTTCCTTAATTTGGTTTTTCGCTAGCTAGCTCCAAAACACTTGCCAAGGTTGAAAATGCTCTCTTTTGCTCTCTTTAAGATTGACTTTAAGACTCTTTAAGACTAAGATTGCTCTCTTTAAGATTGACTTAGAGAAATATTCAAATCAAATCAAAGCTTCGGTACAAACACCAGCTAAAGCTTTTTGATCTTGAATCTCTTTACCTTTTCAATGTTTTCAACTGTTCAAGTAGCTTCTAGCTTCCGGAAACGAAAGACTCTGATAAACCTAGTGAACCTTAAGTCCCTCATTGTCAGGGTTTGCGGTATTGAGCAACAGCAACAGAGCAACAGCAACAGAGCAACAAATCCTAACTAACTATCTTTATTCTTTTGAACAATAACTCTACAGAGCCCAATTTCTAAGCCTCTAAGCCTCAAGCCTCAGGGATTATGCTAACAGCACGACCGAGAGACACCTCATTCCCATTGAACCCTGTGCTTTGTGTGGAATTCAATATTTCAAGTTATTCCGCGAGCTGATTACTTTGAGAATTTCTTATATCTTTTATTTTTCAAATCATGTAAATTGATTCTAAAAGAAATGTTGCTTCGTTTCGGCTTTTGCTTAATTTTGTTGTTCATCGAATCGATCATTGCCCAGGAGAATGGCTTTTCAAAGTTGAAAAAGTAAGTAAGAAGTAAGAAGTTATCGCTAATCTCTAGTTATTCTATTGAAACAAAAGATATTCAGCTTTCTCGGATGAATACTTTTAACTGTAAGAGAAATAGACAGCTTTTTAAGTTCACTACTTTTTAGCGCTCGTTGTTCCGCTCTTCAGGATTGTTCGGTGAATGGCGATTGCCTTGAGTGCCAGTTCCCTAGTGAATGCAAATTGAATGAGGACATTGTGGTGAGCTGAAGAGTTTCATGTAAAAATGCATGAGTGCAAAGGCTCATCTAAAAAGCTTAAAGCCAAAAATGCCATTATTTTCTCGTTTACTTTCAGGCGAATTGCACAACTCTCCCGAATTGCGTCCTTCGACAATCGCTGACAAAAGCGGCCAAGTGTCGGTGAGTTAAAATTCTCCTTGTCTACAATCTGCCCGTAATCTGAATGAACATTTGTAGATTTTGTTGGCAAAGCGATCCATGGGAGCACACGTGTGATCCAGTGGCGAACTGTTCCTCAACGAGCACTCAACTAGTGCCCACAAGATGCACGGTAGGTGAAGACTTTGATGTTATTTCTCAACAACTACCAGGCAACAGGGTTTTTGAAACCAAAAATACATTTATTCACTCCAATAATGTGATACAAGCCATACAAGCAATACAAGGAATTCGGAATCGCGGGAAATGTCCTAGTAGCAAGTTTTATTTAGAGAATTGTCCCTAAATAGGCATTCGCCCTACAAATTCGGCCCTAAAAGCTCTGTATCGTACTAGAGAACTGTTTCAACTTACCACCGATTTTCAAAACCGGCCAGCTACAAACCCACCGGACTTTTGAAACACGGTTTCTTTTTTTTTTCCCTGGGGCCTGTTTCGAAAAAACGGTCAACCAAAAATTTTGGCAAACCTCACCTTAGGCACAACAAAAGCAAAACAAGCCATACAAGCCATACAAGCCATACAAGCCAGTGCTTCTTGGCGTGGCGCCCTCTTAAAGGTCGCGGTTTGCCAAAAATTGCCGAAACTTTAGACGTTTTTCTCGAAAACCAGGGTAGGCTAGACCAAGTCCAGACCAAGAATAAGGCCAAGTACAAGGCCAAGAACAAGGCCAAGTCCAGACCAAGAATAAGGCCAAGCCAAAGCCAATGTTTTGAGCCAAATTCTTCCAATCTAACGGCAAGCTCAAGATTTCAGGACCCAGAATGAGACCCTTGGCTTTGTCTTTGCCTGACTAGCCTTGGTTTTTAGCTTTTATGCCAGCTCTGCTAGGTAGCTTGTACTCACTCGGCCATTTGATTGGCACTATTTTATTCTTTTATACATCTTGTATCTCTTTTCCAGATTCACTGGGACGTGATTTGCATGGGAAAGAGGCACTTCTACAAAAATGTCAAGTAAGAAAATCGAAATAAAATAAAATCCTCATTAAAAATGGCATAAAAATGGCATTCAGATGTAATTGGACATCGGGTCATAGCTGGGCGAAAGCGCTCTTCTTGTCGGTGGTTCTCGGCGGATTTGGGGTGAGTACAAGTTTTCAAAATATCCGCTAAGCTATGATGCGTACTTTTTGCTGGAATAGAAACACGCCCAATCTAGTGCACTTGTTTATCTTCCCTTGTTATCTTGCCAGTGCACCAGGAAGTGCGCATTTCGATAGCACAAAGTACAAAAGTGTCATATTTAGGTGGATCGCTTCTATTTGGGTCTTTGGAAATCGGGAATCGGCAAATTGTTCTCATTTGGCGGTTTGGGCGTTTGGACGATTATTGACGTGATCCTGATTGCGACGGGTTACATTCGACCGCACGATGGATCACATTATGTTTGATTTGTGTTTTGGACTTTTTGCTTGAACGGGTGATAAATTTTTTTATACAATAGAACTTTGGAAACACATTGAAAACTATGTACTGTATGTAAAAGTACTGTATGTAAATGTACTGTATCTAAGTGACAAGATTTTAGGCCTGGCATTGCTCTTGGTACTGTAGATAACAGATCCGATACCTTAACGATGTTAGCTAGATAAACTAACTTTTTGGTTACGGTAAATGTAGTCTTTCCCGAAAAGGTAGTAGCTTTGCCTAGAGCGAAATGACTACACTAGGCCTTCATGCCTAGATAACAGATCTGGTCCTTGACCATGATTCTGGATTCGGTTCTAGCAGACACACTTAGCCAACGTAAGTACCAGACATGCGCTAGATCCATACTAGTATAGAAATGGTTTATTTATCTGCTTTTTGGCTTACGGTAGGATTACGGTAGCAGTCTTTCTCGGAAAGGATTACTTACCGTAAATACTGTAATAGTACCCCCCCCCTCGAACAGTCGGGTAGTCGCAAAAGTTTTTTAGTATTTCATTTTCTGCAAAGTACCCGTACTTTCAAAAAATGCGTCTTTAGTATGAAAAAATAGCCCTGAATTTCAGCTATTTTTTGATACCTAAGAGCGCATTGTAGCATAAACCAGTGTCGAGAAAAATGCGTCCAAAGCTAGACTACGCAACGCTCCGCCATTATTGCAGTATTTACGGTAGCTATTTCTAAAGCGCATCTTTTAAAAACAATGTTAACAATGATGTTAGCTTAACTGGTGTTAAAACAGTCTACCAGGATTGCGAAACTCTCGAGCTTATCTCGGAATGTAATCTTTCCTAATCAATACAAAAACCTATCAAAAAAAGCTCAAATGTTTTCTCTTTTCTTTTCCTTTTTTCAATGATTCACCAACTCGTTCCACTTTCTCTTTTTTCAAGATAACTGAATATTTTGGCTGCTACAAAACACTCTTCTGCCCTTCTTTTCTGTTCTCTTTGACCTCTCGTTGTCTGTACTCTGCACGTTGCTAGGAAAGGCCTTTCCCCGTCCATTCACCCTCCATTTTCCTTCTTTTTATTTATTCATCACCGATTTTTTCTATTCTTTAACTCAAGAAGCTTCCAAAATCTTTCAAAAAATGACTCAAAGTCAGGATCAGAATCGAGATGAACCGCCGTTGTTGGTGCAATTGGATGGGAAATTGTTTGATATTGCAAAGTTCGCCAAGAAGCACCCGGGAGGGGAAAAGGTGGGAGTTATTGGAATCATAAAATGGACAAAACAACAAAGAAAAAGATCAGCATTTTTTTAATTCCATAAAGCCAAATTCGCCTTCCATTAAGGGCTAAAGCTAAAATAAACTTGTCTAAGCTAAGCTAAGCTTGTCTTTTAAATATTTCTAACTTTAATTTGTAAAAAAGACTCTTCCTGATGCACTAAACTCTCCATTTTCTCACTGAAGCTATCTATGTCAAAGGAAAATGGTGATTTCAGTGCACCAGAAGAAGCGTGTTTCTATTTTTGACTGACTGTGCCATGAAGAACAAGTTAGACTAAAAAAAAAGCTTTCAAAACAGCAACACCTTTCAGGTTTTGCGAAAACTAGCCGGTGGGGACATTGGTGGCTACTTCCGTGGGGAAAAAAGAGTGATGGGAGTGAGGCACGAACACTCGAAAGCCGCGTATTCGATGCTAGAACGATACGATGTGGAACATTTGCAAAAGGTTCGGGAAATCGATTCTTTCGGTGATAAGTGGATTGGAGTCAAAATCTTGTAGTTGTTAATAGGTTATAAACTAAATAATCGGACTTTTTGGAAAAAGCGGGTTTTAAAAATGGTTGGCTGAACCAATTGTCGTTTGTATCATTCGAAAGATCTTTTCTCAACAAAATGGCTTTTAAGAGATTTTGGAAAGCTTTTGTTTTTGAATATTTTCTGAGGTGCAAAGAAAAGTTGTCAAAATTGACAAAACAAAACAAAAAAGCGCCGATTTTACAAATACTAATTTGAATTTTTCGCGCAAAAGTTTTTCAAAGCTTAAAGCTCTTAGTTTTTCACATTTTCTTTAAAATTATCAGCCAAATCCGTCTCAACTGCTTGCAAATCATGTAGTCTAAAACAAATACAAAACACCAAACGCAAAAGCTTTCCCATTTGTTATTAACTTTCTATACCAAAGAAGGATCAATCTCTTTTACATTTTTAGTAAAATTATCAGCGAAATTCGTCTAAACTGCTTATCTAAGCTAATCTATCTAATCGTGTCTAAAAGCAACCCCCCCCTTTTTTCATTAACTTCCCAAAGAAAGAGCAATCTATGTTACGTTTTTAGTAAAATTATCAGCCAAATTCGTCTAAACTGCTTATCTAAACTGCTTATCTAAGCTAATCTATCTAATCTATCTAATCTATCTAATCTATCTAATCTATCTAATCTATCTAATCTATCTAATCTAACTATCTAACAGTAGTCAAAAGCAAACACCAAACGCAAAAGCTTTCCCATTTTTCATTAACTTTCTATACCAAGAAGGCACTATGTTACGTTTTTAGTATTTCAGCCAATCGCTACTGCTTATCTAAACTGCTTATCTAAGCTAATCTATCTAATCTATCTAATCATGTAGTCTAAAAGCAAACAATCTATCTAATCTATCTAATCTAATCTAATCTAATCTAATCTATCTAATCATGTAGTCTAAAAGCAAACACGAAACGCAAAAGCTTTCCCATTTGTCATTAACTTTCTATACTAAAGAAAGATCAATCTATGTTACATTTTTAGTAAAATTATCAGCCAAATTCGTCTAAACTGCTTATCTAATCTAATCTAATCTAATCTAATCTAATTTAATTTAATCTAATCTATCTAATCTAATCTAATCTATCTAATCTAATCTAATCTGATCATGTAGTCTAAAAGCTAACAATATATCTAATCTAATCTATCTAATCATATAGTCTAAAAGCAAACACCAAACGCAAAAGCTTACTCATTTGACAAATTTTTCAACAAGAATTGCTTTTACTTTTTTTACGTAAAATAAAGACATAGATATTCTATCTTTTCAGTAAAATCAACCAAATCCGTCCAGCCGTTTTTTCTGAATTTTGGTTTGAACATTGACAAAAAGGATTTTGATCATATGAAAACCCTCAAATAAAGGATTTTGATCATAGTCATCGATTTTGATCATCTGAATAACCTGAAATTTGTACAAAACGGCTGGATGGATTTTATTGGGAATCTTACTAGAAATGTAACAGATATTGATCTTTTTTTTGGCATAGAAAGTTAGTTTCAGTTCCTATCAAAAAAAACGTTGCCAACTAGAGTCTGCTCCTCTCAAATCATGTTTTCTAGACTACCGTGAACTCGCAATTCATAAGTAGAAAGTTATTTTCATTCTCCAAAGACAAAATGAAGTGTAACTATTGCTTTTTTCTCTACTCTTTTGCAAATAGGATTTGATATTAACCTTTAGCTGTTAATGGAAGGCGAATTAGGCTTTATGGAATTAAAAAAAATGCTGACCTCTCTTTCTTTGTTTTTCTGCCTTCTGAAGTTCTTCTTTAATTTCTTTTCTTCTTCTCTTTTCTTTCGTCTTCTTTCTTACGTTCTTTCACTAAAGAAAAGCAATTAACCCCGGTAGATTTTTAAAATATCGAAAATATACAGAAAAAAAAACTGTCCTGGCACATCGTTGGTCTTTCCTTTTTTCTCTTTTGTTTGACGATGTTTGACCTGATCGACCATCTTCTTTCCAGTATTTGTTGTTTCTAAAAATAAATATTCGTTTAAAAGTATAAAATTCAGAAAGAAAACTTTCAAATCCGATAAGAATAGAAAAAAAAGAAAAACTTTTAGAAATAATAAAAGAAAAGCGCAAAAAGAGCGTTTAGAAAAGCGCGCTTTTTAGAAAATGACTTTGCTGAGGAGCATCTTTTAGAAAATATGATTTAAACGATTTGATTTGAGAGGAAGACACTCTATTGCTAACCGTCGATTCTTGCCACTTTTGCATATCCAAGATTTCCGGCCAAGGTCAACCAAAATTAGGCAACAGTGGCTTACAACTGCTTTGGCTTACTATTAGCTTTGTCTTACAATTAGCTTGGTCTGGCTTGTGCTGACTTGCTAGCCGGAACTTTTAACTTTTAAGAACTTGGTGCAAACCGTTCCGTTCAAATGGTGCAAACGTTCAAAACCGTTCAAATGGTGCAAACCGTACTTGGTGCATTCAATAAACTAATTTTTAGTGAAAAAGTTCGGTTATTTAGTTGAGAACCTAGCCAAGCTTGAAGAAAGATAATAGTCAAGCTTGAAGAAAGCTAATAGTCAAGCTTGAACAACCTAATAGTCAAGCTTGAACAACCTAATAGTCAAGCTTGAACAGCCTAATAGTCAACCGGAGCCTTATCCTTCTTAGATAACAACTCTATTCCAGGATGATCCCTATTTGGATGACAAGAAAGGTGTGCTTGGTAGAATCGGTTTATTGGGTGCCGACTATTGGACATGGATACATCAACCATTTGAGGGAACAATTCGGTGAGTTTGAATATTCAATTGTGAACACACCTTTCTTGGAGCCACTGTCGCCTTTCTTGAATTCTCTTTTGGTGTAAAAAACGAAGGTTTCAGTGCAAAAAAAGACGGTTTCAGTAATTTCAGTAATTTCAGTGAAAGGATTTGTTTACAATTTTACAAACGAACAAAATACCCAAAAACTTTTCAGACTTTTCGATTCGGATTTCCTCGAGAGTTTAACGAGAACCTCTTGGTGGGTGGTGCCGCTTGTTTGGATGCCGTTTGTCGTTCTTTTCACTCTCGCTGGCCTCTACGATCTACATGGGAAATATGGTGAGTTGATGACGAGAATAGCTTCCAATAATTTCACAATTTACCTTAAGATTTCAATATGGTTGATGGGTATGTACGTGACAAATTTTGCTTTCAGAAACATTTTGCTTTCTTGAGATTTCTCGAAAAGAATAATTTGTTTAGGATTGGTGACTTCTGCAGGGATTTGGGCTTTCTTGTTTGCGGGTGGAGTGTTGATGTGGACGTTGGTTGAATATCTCTTGCATCGTTTCGTCTTTCATTGGCATCCGAACACCGAATCGAAGACACAAATCGTTTTGCATTTCTTGATTCACGGTGAGACTTTGGAAAGAGGATTATCTAGAGATCTAGGATTATCTAGAGATCTAGGATTATCTAGAGGGCTAGGATCTAGAGATCTAGGATTATCTAGAGATCTAGGATTATCTAGAGATCTAGGATTATCTAGAGAGCTAGGATCTAGAGATCTAGGATTATCTAGAGATCTAGGATTATCTAGAGATCGAGGATTATCTAGAGATCTAGGATTATCTAGAGATCTAGGATTATCTAGAGATCTAGGATCTAGAGATCTAGGATTATCTAGAGATCTAGGATTGTCTAGAGATCTAGGATTATCTAGAGATCGAGGATTATCTAGAGATCGAGGATTATCTAGAGATCTAGGATTATCTAGAGAGCTAGGATTATCTAGAGAGCTAGGATCTAGAAAGCTAGGATTATCTAGAGATCTAGAATTATCTAGAGATCTAGTCTAGAATAGATCTAATCTAAAAACTGCCTAATGCTAGTGCAACTCGGCTCGGCTGGTTGCACTAGCATTATGGAAAATGGAAAATACAATAATCAATTCCCTGTCCGAATCCAGGGCTTCATCACAAAACTCCAATGGACGGCGATCGTTTGGTTTTCCCACCAGTGCCCGCTCTTCTCATCATTTTGGTCTTTGCCAGCATTTATATCTCGATTTTGCCTTGGTCAGTGCAAAATAAATCAACGAATTTTATTTCTTCAATTTCTTCAATTGAAACCTATCTACAACCAAGGTATCTCAAAATTTCCAGGGCTGTTTTCTGTTGTTTCGGTGCGGGCAAACTCTGTGGATACATTCTTTATGATTGTACTCACTATTATCTTCACCATGGTTCACCTCGTCCACAAACGAATATGCACTACAAGAAAGTTTACCACCATAATCACCATTTTAAGGATTATGACGTTGGTGGGTGATTGGAAAGAATTTTTTCGCTTTTTCGATATACAGACAGAGTGATCGCGACTTATGACGACACCTTTTTTGGAAAAGTTCTTGTCACACACTTATGACCAAAGTGTCAAGTGTTATATAGAAAGTGTTATATAGAAAATAAAGCTCTTCATCTTGGCATCATTTATCTAAAAAGAACTTCCCGATTCGACTTATACAACTCATTTTACAAGCTCTCGAATGAGCTGAAGTCGACCTTTCTACGGTGATTTGCCATTTTAACGATTTGCCATTTTTGATTCACAATATTTCCATCTAGAAAGGGATTTTTCCAATCAAACTATGTTATTTTAATTAAAAAGTACTATTAAAGTACTATTAAACAAAAAAATAGCTTATACAATAAGATTTTCTTGTCAAATGGATCAAGCTCAATCAAGCGAAAAAGCTCAATTTTCTCTTTTTTTGCGGATTTTCCAAATAACCCAGATATCAACCCCAATTTTGGCTATGAAAGTTTAACAAAAGAGTTTGCTGTTATTCTTATTGTTCTTAAATGATATTCAGTGTTATTTTCCCACGAAGGAAATATGGGGAAAACTTTTTAAGCGTGAAAAATGGCAGATCGCTGGAGAGAGGCCGATTTGAGCTCATTCGAGAGCTTGTAAAATGAGTTGTATAATTCGAATTGGGGAGTTCTTTTTAGATAAATGATGCCAAGATGCCAAGATGCCAAGATAAATCATGTGCTTCAAATTGTAAGCTAATATATTTCATATTGATACAGCTACATAAAATCCCGAAACAAAACCCTCAATCCAATTTCAGCATTTGGAATCTCGACTCAAATCTGGGACCACGTCTTTGAGACTGTTGGATTGGGCCCATTATAAATCATTTTCCAATGTTCTTTTGCAAACTTCTTCATGTTTCTGGTTAAATCTTGCTCACAAACTAAGCTACTAATTTGGAAATCATGTTAGATCTTATCGATCATTCATTGTTCAATCTTCAGAACTTCTATTCTTTGAAGAACTTTCACAAACAGTTTCCTGGCTGAATCGTCGAATTCGAGAAGGAAATCTCAAAATCTTCATCTTTTCTCGTGCATTTCCTTAATTCTTGTACAATTCCTTAACTTATTATGTCTTCTCTTCTGTATCAATGCCTCTCGTTTTTGTACTTGTGCGTCGTAGTGCCTATAGAAATCTTTTGATCTGTGATACTCTTTCTCGATTTTTTGTAAATAATAAAGGTATTTATTCATTTTTTATAAATTCGTTAAATTTTTAGAGAATCGATTACCTCATAAAATGGCTTACTTCACGGGGATTTGATTTTGGAGTTTTTCCACGCAAATACTAATGACTTTCGATGGGTGAACCTCTTGGATTAACGGCTTTTTTTTGAATTTTGAGTGTAGAACTTTGCGAAAGCCTTTTTAAAAAATCTAAATAAGTAAACGTTAGATATTTGTGCGTAAAATCAGCAGCAAATGTCTTAAAAAGTCATGTTTTTATAAGACTTTTGTCGAAATTTATATCCGCAGCTTTTTAACTGAATATCTTTAGTCTAACAATAAACAGCAGACTATACAAAAACTTGCTCATTTTTGCTCATTGCTCATTTCTATCATCATTTTTCTTGTTAATAGATTTTCTCTTCCTCTACGGCTATCTATTTTGAAAGTTAAAAACATAACAAAGATAAAGTATTTATGCGCAGCAGTAATTTTTTCAAAAAGTTAATCAGTTTATATCAGTTTTTTGAATATTAAAAATAACAGCTTTTCAACTGAATATCTTTAGTCTAAAAAGCGCACTATAAAAGAAATCCCCCATTCGCTAAAATCATTATTTTGGGGGTGGCTACTTTGCGCCAAATGTTTTTGCGCAACTGGTTCGTTTGCGCAACACGCCATAACTTTCTTCTAAGTGGGCCAATCTTTATGCTTTTGGTTTCATTTTGTAGATCTCAATAAGTGCAACAAAATGAAACCAAAATCATAAAGATTGACCGACTTAGGAGAAAGTTATGGCGAGTTGCGCAAATGACCCAGTTGCCGACCATTATTTTCTCTCGTGTAATTGGTATATTTTCACTGAGTCACTTTTTTAAAACTTTCAATTCTTCATCATTTTCTAATTTTCTATTTTAGAAGCCAAGCGACAACGGAGTGCTCACTTCGGATCATTGCAAATGCTTTTGAGATACTTCATTGACGAGAACGGACGCCGTGTCTACACTTTGAAGGTTTATTTCTCAATTTTTATTTATTTTGACGCGTATTCTAGTTTAAGAAAAAGAAATTTGATTAGGGTGAAGCAATTTTGCTTGAGATCTACCACTTCTTTTTTACATTGATCTATTTTTTCGTTACAGAAAACCGCTCCTGAGGGTAGTCAGACGTTTTCGGCACACCCCGCAAAGTTCTCGCCTGAGGATAAGTGCAGGTATATTTTGGTTTACAATTGTTGGTGCTATAGTAGTTGGGCGGGGGCAGTCTGAAACTCGTTCAAAAGGCCTAAATTTTGCTTTCTGGGATTTTTGACCATGCTGGATCGATTGGTGATAATTTAAATATGATTTATTTTTTTAAATATTACACCTTGTAAAAAATATTTATCAACATCAACAAGGCAACAACGCAAGGGCAAAGTAACAAGAAGAAGCCAATGGGTATTTCTTGGCCACTTCGTCGCTAAGACAGGTGTCAAAGTCATCAGATGTCTTAAAAGCCAATTTAGCTCACCCCGTCAGTAAATTGATTTTTCAAAAAGTTAAATAATTTATACCACTTTTGGGTAAATTGAAATCAATTCTTGTAGCAGCAGTAATTCCATTCTGAAAACAAAAACTATACTTTTGTCAAGAAAATAAACTAAAATTGGGGTTCCTTTGATCTCCGGTGCTCCTTTTAAAGAAGTTGCTTGACATGTAGGAATATGTTAAAACCTGTTTGAAAATTCAATTAAAAATAGCATCAATCGATTTAGCATGGTCGAAAATCCCAGGAAGCAAAATTTCAGCTCTTTTGAACGAGTTTCAGACTCCCCCCAACTATTATAGCAAGCACCGAATTGTTTTATCGTATTTCTTTCAGCAAGTACCGTGTGATTGTGAAGAAACGTTTCGGATTGCTTCCATCTCAACAAGCAAAAATTGTCTATTAATTTCTCGGGTTTGTTTCCACTAGTTAAAAGTTTTATTTATCTTTATTAAAAGTAGGGTAGTTAGGATTTCGTAAATTATCAATTAAAATTTATTTGTACTTAAATCACTAAATTTTTTCATTTAGATGACAATATATTGGGAATGGCGTCGAATTTTTCGACAAAAACTTCGTTCTTTTTCTCCACAACAAAGCAAAATTTCTTATCAACAAGTGGGTTTTATTTTTTAACCAACGAAATTATGTTTTAGTGGGCTAAGCGTCGACTCGTCATATCATTTGTGTTCTTTTTTTGTCGGCTGGAAGGTTTTCGGCTACACTTTAACAGAAATGGGCCTTTATGTTTACGATGAAGAGACCGGCAAGGTGAGGAACGTGTTTGTGAAAGCGTGAGGTCTACAACTAAACTTGCTGAATTTCACCTATCTTGCTTTGAAGATTAAAATATGAGTCAATCATCTTAATTCAGGGTCACTACCGTACTCCGGCTGAAGCTCGTGAATTGCGCAACAAACTAGAGCTCGAACATGAACGCCGCCTAAAGAAACCAATTGATGTGAAGTCCTTTCCACTCGACGCCTAGCCCTTCCCCAATTTACTTTTGTATTTTTTGTTTTTGTATAGGTACTCTAGATTACTCCACATTGTTATTTCAGTTTTGTTATGATTTTTTAGACAATTTCTTTTGTTGTTAACGTTTAAATGAAGCTGTTTCCAGATTTTTCCAGAACATCTAAAAAGGGTTGCCAAGTTTGCAATGTTTGTCTGAACAAAGTTTCGGTTGAAAGTTTAAATTCTGAATAGAAAATCATATTATCGACATTCAAGCAACGTTGTAAGCCCAAACATACAGAGCGATTTACAAGGGAAGGTCGACTGGATGTGCTGGCCTAATCATATGAGCCGTAGACCTTTGGACGCAGAATTTCACACTGATCATGATGCTGATTTTCTTTTTTCTACTGAGCACTCTGTCAAAAGTTATACGCGTTTAAAGTTTTGTAAGGAATTTCAAAAATCAAAACGCGACATTACAACCCTGTCTTCCGCGAGCTCGGCAGTTGCAGGGCTGGCTGAGTGGTAGTGAGTTAGGACGCAAGGCGAGTCTGGATCGAGTCCGGTAACTGATTGTCTTGGTTTCTTTTTTGTAGGTTCTAATGTCTTGTGTGTTCTCTATCGCCGCACGCCGCACAGCATTGACAATTGAATTTCGAAGCTTTTCGATGGTCTACTGTATGCCAGTTGAAGTGTAAAGTATGCATACTTTTAACAAAACTCAAGGATTTCATTATCAAAAGTTAGATGAATCTTTTGTTTTTTGATTAAACATTATGTTTCCTAGAAAAATTTTATTTCAGATAATCAACAGTGAAGGAAGAAATGTGAATTGAGATCGTTGCCAAACAAATACGAATGAGGTTTGGAAGAGTTAAAGAAAAAGAACTCAAATACATAAAAACAAAGAACTTTTAACATTTAAAATGGGCAGTATCAAAAGAATAAGGAAAAATTTTCGAAAAATTATTCAGATTTTTCTCCACCATCCGATGCACCGGCATCCTCGGCACCAGAAGCTGGCTCTTCGCTCTGAATATTTGAAACGTAAACGTAAAGTGATTCGAATTTGACTGAATTTGGCTTCAAAACTATTGGAAACGGTAAGTTTTTGGTGTACATTGGGTACAGTTTTACAATAGGTGTACAGTTAAAGTTTGAGCTTTCTGTGATTAAACTGTTTTAGGAGGAAAATCTCTTTTTTAGATTGAACTAGGATTATCAGATCAGATTATTAGATCTTCTTGTGACTAGGCTTTTACCTGTTCATTGTGCTCCTCAGCACCGCTATCCGAGTCGGCTTTGGCCGGTTTCTTGGCGGCTCTGAAAGTTGAAATGGTTTAAATGGTTTAAACGCTTTTCGGAGTGAAAAGTTGAACTTAAATCCAAAGTTTTTCCATTAATTACCCTTTTCCCTTAGCGGGTCCTTTCTTCGCTGGTCCCTTTTTCGGTCTTCCTCTTCCCTTTTTCCCGGCTGGAGCCGCTTTCTTCTCGATGGTCTTTGTCGCCTGAATTGGTTGAATTTTTGGAAAAGCTTTAGCTGAATGAATTGTGCTGAGCTTTAGTTGAATGAAGAGCTTTAGTTGAATGAAGTCTTACTAGATCTTAGCTTACTGTAAAGCTCTAACTATCGTATACTGTGCTTATGCGTATACAATATATCGAGATCTTCTAGAGTTATTGCCCGTCTTTATAAGCTATAAATCTTACTCTATTCTCTATTTTCCAACTTGATTCTCTATTTTCTTCTTTTCTTTCTCACCTTTGGCAGTGCCACTTCATCTTTCTCTTCTTTTTTTCCCTTTACTGCTGGGGCTTTTCCCTTGGCTCCTCCGCGCTTTCCTTTCTTTGCTGGCATTGTTGATGCTCACCTAGAATATTGCTAGATTTATCTAATAGAACTCAAGCTAGAGGAATTGTTATAAAGAGGTTATAACGATAATTGTAGCGGATGAGTGATGAAACAGCGTCAGATGAAATTAGTGAAAAGTATAAACTAACTGAATTTTGACTTTTTCAAAAAGCTTTGGAAGCTTTCCAAAAAGCTTTCAAAGCTTTCCCAAAAAAAGGCAAAACTAGCATTTTGTGGCCAAGAATGCTCTAGAGAGCTTATCAAAAAGTAAACAAGAAAGAAAGAAAAGAGATCTGAAGAAAGAGAGATGGCTGATTGGAGATTCGAAAAGGAAAATGATCTGAAGAAATTGAAAATCAAGAATATTTATGAAGAAATGCAATGGCTAAATTAAACGATTGAATCAAAGAAGGCAGTTTGAACGATTGAATTCAAGAATTCACAAGCTACACAAGAATTCGAACATTCGAACATTCGAAAAGTGTTCAAGATAACTATAGACTTAGAAAGTTTCTGGCAAGGCAGCTGCGGCAAGGCAAGGCAGCTGCGGTAGATAAAAAATGAGAAGAGAATATGAAAATAAACTGTTTCAGAAGCTCTTCGCCTGAAGAAAACATAATTCGAATCGATTGGGTGCTACTTTTTGTGAGCGATGGGGGAGGAGCGGTCTTCACATTGAGTCCCTCAAAAAAGAAGAGAGGATCGAGTTTAGAAAGAAAAAATAGAGATACAGTTGGGAAGAGAAAAAGAGAGATGGGCTGAGAAGAGAGATGGGTTGAGAAGAGAGAAATAAATGAAATATGGATATGTTGGGAGATGGAGGGAATTGGAGAGAGGTTCTGTTGGAGTTGGAGATAGAGATAGAGATAGAGATAGAGATAGAGATAGAGATAGAGATAGAGATAGAGATAGAGTAGAGTTGGGGGTTGGAGATTCTGATGGTGTTGGAGAGCAGTTGGAAGGGATTGATCGATGGAGAAGTGGAGAAGGCTGGGGAAATTGTGGGGAATTAGGGAAGAAAAGAAAGAAAGAGAAGATAGCAAGAAGAAGAAAGAAGGAAGGAAGGAAAAGATAGAAAGAAGGAAAAGAAAGAAAGAAGAAGAAGAAAGAAAAAACATAGAGAGTTGCGAGAATGGAGAAAGTCGAGAAAGTCGAAAGAGAGGTTTATAGAGAAAGAGAAAAGGATTTTGAGAGTTGATACAGATGGATAGAGATGGAGAAAGGTCAGGGAACAGCTTGGGTATAAGATGAAAGGAAAAAAGGAAATGGATGATGAAAGAGTGAGAGAGAAGAGACAATCAGAGCGTTCCATGGCCCTTTGCCCAGCTTTTTTTTGCCTCGTGACCCCGTTTTTTCGCTATTTTCGCCTCCCCCAGCGTTCCTAGCCCTTGCTAGAAGAAAAAAAATACTATAAAATATTGATTTTTTTGAAGAAAAAGAGGAAAAAACGGGAAATTGAATATTGGAACAATTTCAAATACAATTGTTGGACTTTAAGAAGGACTTTAAGAAGTTAGGTTTAATGGATTGGACTTCCAACTTTAACTATGGATCTCCTACTATTTAAAATGAGACACGAGTATGGTAGCTTTAATCTACAAACACTACACTACTACAAAACCAAGAAGAAAAAGTCCAAAAGATGATAAAGTTGTAGAGAAGACACCAAAACTCCTCATGAAAACATGAAAAGAACAAGAAAGAACAAGAAGAACTGGCGGATAAATTATCCTCTATGCACAGTATGGGCCAAAAACGCTATGCACAGTATGGGCCAAAAACGGTCGTACTTACGTTAAAGTAAGCAAAGTAAAGTTAAAGTAAAGTTAAAGTAAAGTTAAAGTAAAGTTAAAGTAAAGACAACTGTATCAAAAGTAGTTGCTGGTAAACTGTAAGTGTTCCTGCTCAAAATGTAGCCGATTAAACCAAACCCACAAATAGATCAATAAATGCGCAGTTGCGCTGATGAAAAGTTGAATGCTTGAAGAAAACGAGATGAAGGAAACGAGTAGAAGAAAATGAGTAGAAGAAAATGAGTAGAAGAAAACGAGGTGAAGAAGAAGATGACGAGAAAACGAGGCGAGGGGACGCGGTTGAGGGGAGGAGTGCTTGGCGGGGGGCGTGGTACGGCCTCCGCCTCTCGTCCCTTCCCTTCCCCCGAGTCTTGCAGCCCCCATCCCCCCTTCCCTTTACCACCAGAAAAAGCCCATCCAAACGATCAATCCAACTGGGGAACACCTAGAAAAAGAAAAAATGGGTACATTTTTTGTGCGTGAAACCCGTGAAAGAATGACATTGCCTCGAGGAAAAGGATTTTATACGGTAACAACTAAAACACAGATTTTCGTGAATTTTCTAAAAAAATCCACGCAATCCAGCAATCTAATGTCCAATACTTAACCATACAAACTAGATTTGTTCATTTTCAAGCCCATTTTCGATCTCATTTTCAATAAATGTACAACGGAAAAAACGAGTTTTCACCACTTTAATGAATACTTTTTCAAAGGATTTTTCAGATCAAAAGATAGAGCTCAAAAGGAGAAATCAAAAGAAGCAAAAGATTTAGCATGAGATCCTGAAAAAGTCGTCGTTGAAGTGATCAAAACTTGCTTTTCCGTTGTACACCTATTGGCAATCAGACCGGCAATCAGACCGGCAATCAGACCGGCAATCAGACCGGCAATCAGACCGGCAATCAGACCGGCAATCAGACCGGCAATCAGACCGGCAATCAGACCGGCAATCAGACCGGCAATCAGACCGGCAATCAGACCGGCAATCAGACCGGCAATCAGACCGGCAATCAGACCGGCAATCAGAGCTCTAGTATAAACCCTGGTTGAATAGCACATCACAGTCATTTCGAAGCAAATTTGCATTCAAATTCAAATGAAATTCGAGGGATAGGTATGTCCAAAAGTTGCCAAAGATACACCGTTCTGTCATTGCCAAAAATTGCCAAAAATAGTTTTGTCATTGCCAAAAGTTGCCATTGTCCTACTCACCCAATTCGATCACCCATCCAACACTAAACAAATCGCATTTTCTTTCCGAGAGATTTTTCATTTTCGAGAGAAGAGATTTCTCTGAAAAGTAATGCTTAGATTTCTTTTTGAAAATCCTGTAGCAAAGTTTGAGTTTTAAGTTTAAAAGAGCTTGAAAATACTTCAAAATCGATTGGAGTACATAGCATACACCGAGTATCGCACAAAGGCGTTGATTAGACCTGCTTAACAAGTTCGGGCAAAATTTTCAGATAGTCTGCCTTACTCTTCGATTCTTACTCTTTACTACCCAAAGCTTACTCTTTACTACCCAAAGCTCCATCAAGCATGAAACCCAGTTCCCCTGCAAGCCCTTATTTTAGGCTTCATTTTGACACTAAAAATGGCTAAGTTCTGTTTTGCCATTCTTTAGATTTCGATCAATCTTTCGCCGGACTCGATAAGCTTAACGAGTCCAGAAAAATTTTGGTCTAAAATAACCTTTGATCTTTGTGTCACAAAGGATTAAAGTTAATGCACAGAATTATTTGGATATTTGGAAAAACGGGCTTCAACCATTGGCACAAAATCATTTTGGAAACAGAATTTGGTCCTTTCAGCAGGATGGAGCACCGGTTCATAAAGCAAAAACTGTCCAAGAATGTTCGCAACTTCTCCATCTTGAGCTTTAATCACCTTCATCAGCTTTAATCACCTTCATCTCCGGATCTCAATCCGATAGATTATGTCTGTGCAATGTCTTAGAATCAAAAGCTCATACAAAAGCTGATTTCAGCTTGGATTCATTGAAGAGATCACTTTAAAAAGTATGAGACGAGCTCGATCTTGAATCTTCTTGATCTCCAAGATCTTCTCGCCACTTCTCCCGAAATGTCTACAAGCTTCGTAATGACTTCAAGACTTCAAGACTCCAAGACTCCAAGACTCCAAGACTCCAAGACTCCAAGACTCCAAGACTCCAAGACTCCAAGACTTCAAGACTCCAAGACTCCAAGACTCCAAGACTTCAAGACTCCAAGACTCCAAGACTCCAAGACTCCAAGATTTCAAGACTCCAAGACTCCAAGACTCCAAGACTTCAAGACTCCAAGACTCCAAGAGCGATAGCTTTGAAAAGAACTAAACAAAATTGTTACACGTTGTTAAAATAATGAATTTTATTGTTTAGTCTTTTTGTTTTAAAAGGTTTTCAGTTTTTACATCATCTTTTCTTGGTTAATGTAATTTTGGGACACTATTTTGGGACACTATGCTCTAAAAACAATAATAAAAACGATAAAATCGATAAAATCTTTCTTTGCAAGTAAAATAATAGGTACAAAAGGTCGAGACTTTTATTTTTTCACAAAGAACTTTTAATTCTGTTGAATCTGATCTGCTGAATCGACGTTATTTGAATCGTAAATTTTGCTTCGAAACGGGATCTTCAACAATTTAAGCACTTCTAATCGCATCGATTTGTTCACAGTCAAATAGACGATGGCCATTGATCCTGAAATGTGATCTGGATCTAGATCTGGATCCAGATCTGGATTCAAATGTGATCTGGATTCTATTGGGTTGGAGAGAATGAAATGGTAAACCATTTGTGTGGTAAACCATTTGTAAAGTAAACCGTTCGAGAGGTAAACCATTTGTAAAGTAAACCATTTGTAAAGTAAACCGTTCGAGAGCTGCCAGCAAACATTGGCCACAGTTATCATAAAGATTGGCGTCGGGACGAATTGCATAAAAACATAGATCCATCCGGTCACCAAAACCGACATTCCGATTGCCAAACATTGAAACATTATCTACATTTCATTCAATTATCAAATGAGCTTTTCTTTTCTCCTCACAATCCTTTGTGCTTTTGTCATGATCATGAAATTTCGATGAAACATTGCAAGAATCATTAGAATGTTCAGAATCAAAATCAACGCCGCCACCAATCCATTGTTTATTGTGTAGAGGAAAGGAACCTGGACAAACAGACGAGTTTAGTCATTGCTAGATTGTAAATATGTACCTGTATATGGGCAGGATCGACCGCAAAATAATAAGTAGCACTGCCGGGATGATAAAGTGCTGCCGGCATTTGAATACACAAAGCAATCCCATAAAGGATTGGTGCTCCTGTCCACAGAATGATCATTCTCTCGCCAAAGAGTTTCTATACAAAACAAAAAAAAATAAGAAAAATGGATTTGTTGTACAGTTTTATGCCGAATACCTGTTGTTTATGTGGCCATCCGAAATCGATACAGCGATTCACTGCCAACGACATGCTCAACCCGCTGTACACTGCCCATATGGCTAAATACGGATGATCAAAAGGATGATTTACAGGATGATCAAAGTTCAAAGATCAAAGATCAAAGTTCCCGCACAAATTCTCTGTAAAAATGCGGCGGCTGCTTGTGTGCGGCTTATGCTTGAGCATGATTATCAAACTTGACTTGGGCATGATTATCGAACTGACTTGAGCATGATTATCAAACTGTACATCTCTCAAGAAGCGTTTCAACGTCCGAAATAAAAAATAATCTAACGATGCAAGGGACTAGGTTGCGTAAGGCAAAAGCTTCCAATCTAGCTCATCAATTTCATGAGTCACTTTTACCGTTTGGGGGTTTAGCGTTGCCAGTCAGATTGCCAGTCAAATTGCCAACCAAATTGCCGGGAAATTCGAAGTGCTTTCTTCGAATGATTTTCTTTATGCCCTGATAATATCAAACTGTTTTGTTCAACTTTATTAATCAAAATTCAATTTGATTTTAAGTTCATTTTGAAGTTAAAGGAAAAAAGGCGAAAATTGAGCGTTTTTTGATGTTCAATTTGCATCTAGATTTTGATTTTGATGAATGCTCTAGCTCTAGAAATTTATTGAATTTCATTTTTTGAACAAGAATACTGCAAAATTAGTTTGGGGAAGCCCTTTTTGAGCAAAGATTTTTGATAAAGAAAGTCGTCAAAAATGACAGCGTGCCGGTGGGATGAGCTCATTCGAAAGCTTGTGAAATGTGTTGTATGCATCCAATTCAAAAGCTTTTCTTAGATAAATGTAGCCAAGAATCAGGCCAAGAATCAGGCCAAGAATCAGGCCAAGAATCAGGCCAAGAATCAGGCCAAGAATCAGGCCAAGAATCAGGCCAAGAATCAGGCCAAGAATCAGGCCAAGAATCAGGCGAAAAACTAGGCCTTCAAAGCTCTATATAATCTTAAGACTTTTTGAAATCAGTTAGACATTTGCTAGCTGCTTTTACAGTTGTGCTGTGGGTTTGTGGTTGACGTTGACGTCCTTAAAGTTGTGCGGGAACTTTTCCTGTATACAGTTTGCACGAATTTGTCAAAAAATATCGAATTTCCGAAGGGAATACAAAATTTTTGAACTCACGTAAGCAAACCGATCCGAGTGAAAGATTGAGCAACGGAGAGTGACAGAACGATTGACCGGTGATCAAGAAATATGCAGGCAACAAGGAATTCCAGAGCATTCCCAGCATATCGAAGCAACCGATGGCAAAACTGAAAAACTAGAAAACTAGAAAACTAGAAAATTAGAGATTAGATGATTAGAGAAACAAAAAAAAACCGCAAATAAAAGTAAAAACCCTGAAAAACCTAAGAAACCTAAGAAAAGGATGCATTTTTCACCGCACTTACAGTATCCGATAACAGACGATATTCAGGAATTTTGGTTGACACATAGCGATCATACAAAGCAGATAAATAAACTCAAAAGTGATGCCAATTGTGAAGTAAATTGCGCCTGAACGTTCTCAGATTCTCAGCTTCTCAGTTTGCCTCTTTTCGCTGACCTTTTACGGGATCCGGGTGGAGTTTCATCAAATCCGGATTCAAATTGCATTGCTCAGCGTAGAGGTTTAGCATGCCTGGATGGAGGAAATTGTAGATCTGAAATAAATAAGAAACCTGAAACAAATAAGAATCTTCAAGCTCACAGTCAAGCTCAATCTTCAGCTACAGTCAAGCTCAACCTTCAGCTACAGCCAAGCTCAATCTTCAGCTACAGCCAAGCTCAATCTTCAGCTACAGCCAAGCTCAATCTTCAGCTACAGCCAAGCTCAATCTTCAGCTACAGTCAAGCTCAATCTTCAGCTACAGTCAAGCTCAATCTTCAGCTACAGTCAAGCTCAACCTTCAGCTACAGCCAAGCTCAATCTTCAGCTACAGCCAAGCTCAATCTTCAGCTATAGCCAAGCTCAATCTTCAGCTATAGCCAAGCTCAATCTTCAAGCTTCAAGCATTTACGTCATTGCAACAATGCAATGCAGAAAAACAACAATGAAATCTTAGAAATCAATGCTCTAACTATAGCACAGTAAATCTTTATTTACGATTCCCGGAACCTACCTTTACAATTCGGCTATCTGGATAGGTGAAATTGATCATTTCAGCTAAATAATAGCAATCCCACTGAAAGAATCTCTAAAAACGCTTACAGAAAATAAGTGAAACTTTCGAAAACTCGAAGTTCAAGTCGAAAATCAAAAACTAAATGAGAAATTTTCAATACACAAGGGACTCAAAAATTGTATATATCTTGAAAACTCGAAAGCCAGTGTAGTCTAGAAAGTTTTATGTACTTATAAAGCGTACTTATAAAGCGTACTTGTAAAGCGTACTTATAAAGCGTACTTATAAAGCGTACTTATAAAAAGCGCATTTCATTATTAGTTGAAACAAAAGAAGTAGAAATGTTTAAAGTTCAAGTTCTTTAGTTCTATTTTCCTTAATGACCACTAACAAGGGAATGGTTCAAAGTTAAGGTAAAGGATTGGATCGGCATAGTGATAGAAAAGGTATTTCGGAGATGGGGAATCCGATGGTGTATTTAGTTTTTGCCTAAATACCGTGGTTTTCCAGAAAAATGCTTTCAAATTTGGGATGAATCGTTGCAAATATCGTTCAGATACTAACGCCACTGAACCTCCAGCTTGATGGGAAGCTTGAAGGGAAGCTTGAAGGGAAGCTGGAAGGGAAGCTTGAAGGGAAGGGCTCATGCTTGAAGGAAAGCGAAAGAACCGTTATAATGGTTCTTTCCCTTCCGGCCAAGCATCACCGCGTGGTGTAGTGATAAGTGGCCATGCTCTCAATCTGGCCTTTACCTTTGGTCTTTAATCTGGCCCTGACCTGCCCACGGGTTCGAATCCGTCTAGCGAAAAACTTTTGAAAACTCACAATTTGATTTTAAACAATAATCAATCAATTTAAATAATATTTATTGTATGATTTGTTTACGAATTGAAAAGTGAATTAGCTAATTGTAATTCTATTGCCTTTATGTATGAAAAATTCGATTGTTTTTCGAATCTTTTCATCATGGTTGCTTATTCTTTGCTATAAATTTTCTGTTTTTCTTAAAAAAATTGGAACAAATTACTTACAAAAGATATTTACTTGCTCTAATGGAAAAGCACAGAAAGGAATGAATGCATCGGAACAAGAGAATTCAGTTGTTAACACGTTGACGACAATGGCGTTTTTGCACAAACAATCGCATGGGACAACGTTGTTTTTTTTTCGACAAAAAATGTCACCTGACATCAGGTGACAATGTCCCACAGAGTTCTTTTTTTTTCAAACTTAAAATTTTTATGAAAGTTTAAAATGATTGTTTGATAATTATGAAATAACAATAATCTAGAAAGTTTTGTTTATTGGTGATGTTTCTAAGTAGGAGATTATTAGCACTTATCGCCGTTGGCTCTCTAAATAATTCCAGATCGTAAGGGCTGGTGACTATAAATCACCACGGATGTCCTATCAGTATTCAACTTTTTATAGTTGTTTATTTATTTTTATGTAAACCACAAACCAGTTGTTGTTGTTAGTTGTTGTTATTAGTTGTTGTTCTTGCAAGGAAATGGTCAGAGGGGTCCGTATTAGACTTGGGCCGGAATTCTGGTTCCGGTTCCGGAATCCGGCTTTTTGTAGCATTTCGGTTCCGAATCGGTTCGGAATAAGCTATAGCTCGTAGCAAAAGACCACAGACCCCGCTGACCACTCCCTTGTTAGTTGTAGTTCTTATTGTTCTTATATCTATTATGTTATAAAAAATTAAAATTTTAATAACCAACGGTTAAATCGACATTTTCCGGGACCAAGTCGAATATAGATACTACCCTACTTGCTTATTTAATATCCATCATCAGCAAACATAAATATGCAAAAAAAAATCAATTTTGGTACTGTCACCTGACATCAGGTGACAATGTCCCAGGCAAACGAATATGTGTCAGACAGCATCAGGTGACAATGTCGTCAACGTGTTAAATCATTATTTTAGAGTGTTATCTATGTAAAATAATTGTCAATACACAATTCAAAGTTTATAAAAAATAAGTTTTGTTTTGCAAAATGTTTTGCAAAAGAAAGCAAAAGTTTTCCTTTACCTTAAATTTGGAAAATTCCCGTTGTCAGTCTTATGATCTTTTCATTTTAATCATAAGCTTTGTTTGATTTTGTTTATAGGTAAAATCGGAAATGTTCATAGGTAAAATCAATTTGTGGGGTCGTTTGAAGAGCTCACCAGACAGTTGACTTGGAAACATCAAGCTTTAGCTCCTCCCTGTCATCATTAATTGACTTTAGAGTGTGTTCCTCGCGAGTAATGCGTTTTTTAAAACGCACACTTGGGAAAAAATTACCGTACTTTTAGCAAAAATTATTGCAAAAAAATGACGCAAAAATCACGAGCCCCGCATTATATACGACACTTTTTAAAGATACTCAGCCGTTTAACTGATCTGGTGGAAAATTCCCTTCCGATGTCAAAAATCAGTTTTTTTTGGACAACCTGCGCATAAAATTGCTTTTATATTTTTTTCGCGCAGGGGCACTTTTTAGAAAACGCATTACTCGACAATTACTCATGCAAATTTACTCGAGTAATTACTTACTCGCTAGGAACACACTCTAATTGACTTCCCGTGAATCGTATTGGCGATATGTCGAACATCTCGATCGTTCAGCTTCTTCTTCGTTCAGCTTCAGTTAATGCGCTTCCTTGTGCCATATCCAGCAGGATCCTTCAAATAATGTTCACGACAGAAAGTGTTCTCTTGATTTGCTTGCCGATCGAGCGATTTGACTCTCTCTGACCACTTTCTCTGATTTAGCCTTTTTAGAAAGCTTGGCTCCTCTTGCCATTTTCTAAAAATAGCATGCTGCTAACTTAAGATATTACGATTTTCTTGGGTGAACGCATTGATGTGAAACGCGGTAAAGTACTCCTTTCATTTTAGCTCTTGGACTATCATACTATGTAATTATCACCAAAGGCACAAACTACAGTCCAACTGAATAATGGCAGTTCAGCTGGATAATGGCAGTCCAGCATCCAGCAGTCCAGCATCCAGCAGTCCAGCATCCAGCAGTCCAGCATCCAGCAGTCCAGCATCCAGCAGTCCAGCAGCCAGCAGTCCAGCATCCAGCAGTCCAGCTGAATGATGACAAGTTGCTCGAAATCTTTCAAACCAACAGGCTTCTCTTTTCGCGAAATAGCAGAAGAGTTATCAGTTGTTCATACAATAATACTTGAACATTGCATTGGGTTTAAACCGTACTTGGATTCCACATGATTTAACGGACACTCAGAAATGGCAACCTGTCAGAAATCAGTGCCGCTCATCTTTCTCGCAAATCTTTTTTACCCTGTATTGTGACGGAGGATGAAAATGGATTCTAAGTGTTAAATTTCGAAACTCATCTGATGCAAAAACTTTATGAATTGTTAAAAAACTAAGAAGAATAACAAGAAGAAGAAGACAAAAGTGAATCTTAATATTTAGCGGGCTGCTTGCAGACGGCGGCTCGGTATTTATTGGTGCACGTGCAATCGTTCCATTTTTGCGAATTCGCGTCTGTTCGATCGGCCCAGATCTGCAAGTGTGCGACGAATTGAGGGATTGAAGTTTATTGAAAAACGTGTATACCTCAAGGCAATACTCATTCCCCTTAGTGTTGTCCGGTTGCCCAGATGCCCATGGATGGTAGTCCCACGGAGTCCCGTCAACCCATGTGAAGTCGGCGATTCCCGGGCCAGTCTGCAAACAAGCTCGCTATCTTTTGCAGTAAATCTTTGCAGCAAATCTTTTCATTGCTTAAACTAATCTTGCTTTTGTTTTGTTTTGTAGCTTCTAGCGCACCGAATTCCGAATTTCCCTTGAGACTTGAGAGAGTCATTGCGCAAACAAGATGGAGAACAAGATGGAGAATTCGATGCGGCAGAAACAAAAGCCTACGTGGACCACAAGTGTTTCCCTCCCTTCTTTTCCCTCCACAAATCTTTCCCTTACCCGTTTCCCTCCAATCAGCAACTCGCTGTTTCCATCGTTTGTCCCGAGTCCAGCTTTGAACAGTTCTGTGACTCAATTTTATCGAAAAAACTAAAACTGTGAACCGCTGACAACTCGATTCTCCTCGTCCGAGTGAATCGACGCCAGCACTCCGCCCAGCGAGCGACAATTCAAATCGGCGGTACCAAAATCGACCCCGTAGACCGACTTGTAGCAGGTCTTGAATTCGGCCACATAGACCCATTCGTCGGGACAGGGCGGCTGACAGCTGGTGGTTGGCTGAGCCGTTGCCGGGTTTGTGGTTGCCTGAATAACGTAATAAAGTTCTGAATAAAGCTCTTAGAAAAATCTCTTCTCTAATCGTATGGTTAACCGCGGAACAAACCCCGCCAAGGCCACAAATGAACGGAATATTGGTATTCCAGGCGGCTGTAGCCCATTTCCCCGTCGCCAAGTTCAACACAATGTCGCCCGGATCACTATCTAAAACTGGAGACTGGGAACAGTTTTTCAAGCCGAACTGCAGCTTTCCTAAAGCCGAACTGCAGCTAGATTTCTTTTTTCAGGAAAATGGGGACGTCCTTGAATTAAAAACGAGATTTTCTATATGAAAATGATAGAAACTTGGCCCAAAGTTCTTGTAGACATCCGGCGACCCGTCGTTCCACGTGATCCCATTTCCGTCGTATGTTCCGCCAATCCACACCTGGGCGGCGTTCTAAATCGACAATCAGGTCGACAATCAGAATTCGGCTATCACGAGGAGCAAACTTTTCAGTTTATCAGAAAACATTTCCTTTCCCCATCACACACCGGCATCGTGTCCCTTGCCATATTCAGAACGACCTGATTGTCGAAAGCACTCTGGATTGAAGCTGTGTGCGCGTAGAAACTAAAGAAAGATCTTGACTATAAATGCTGACAAATAAACATGTTTAGGGTAAACTTTAGGGTAAACTTTAGGGTAAACTTTAGGATAAACTTTAGGGCAAATTTTAGGGTAAACTTTAGGGCAAACTTTAGGGCAAACTCTAGGGCAAACTAGGGCAAATTTTAGGGCAAACTTTAGGGCAAACTTTAGGGTAAACTTTA